GAACAACCCCCAGGTTGTCTGGCAGGTTGGCCAGCCCGGCGATGTCGGCACCGTCGAGATCCAGGACCTCATCTTCGAGACGCTCGGCCCCCAGCCCGGTGCCATCATCATGGAGTGGAACGTTGCCGGTTCGTCCCAGGCCGGCGCCGGTCTCTGGGACGTCCACTTCCGTATCGGCGGCACTGCTGGCACTCAGATGCAGTCTGACCGCTGCGTCAAGACGCCCAACGTGACCACCAACCCCAACCCTTCGTGCTTCGGCGCCTTCCTGCTCGTGCACGTAACCTCGTCGGGCTCCATCTACATGGAGAACACGTGGCTGTGGGTGGCTGACCACGAGCTTGACCTCGCCGACCACAGCCAGATCAACATCTACAATGGCCGCGGCCTGCTCGTCGAGAGCACCAAGGGCACCTGGCTGTGGGGAACTGCCTCGGAGCACAACGTGCTGTACAACTACGCCTTCAACAACGCCCAGAACGTCTACAGCAACATTTTGCAGACGGAGACGGCCTACATGCAGGGCAACCCTGACGCCCGCGTGCCCTACACGAGCCAGGCCAAGTACGCCGATCCCGACTGGAGCACCTGCACCGACTCGCTGTGCGCCCGCACGTACGGCATTCGCGTCGTCAACTCGAGCAACACGCTCATCTACGGCGCCGGCATGTACAGCTTCTTCAACAACTACGACGGCAACACCTGCGTCAACGCCAACAACTGCCAGGATAACATCATTGACGTGCGCAACTCGCAGGTGCACTTCTTTGGCATCAGCACCAAGGCCAGCATCAACATGATTACGCTCAACGGCCAGGGCGCTGTTTTTGACCGCGACAACCGCAACACTTTCTGCGGCACCGTCGCCTCCTTTGAGACGTCATAGAGGGACGATAGCAACGAGGAGGATGAGGAGGATGCCGTGAGTGCTGCCGCGCCGGGGCCCAAGACGAGTTCAACGGTAAGCGGCAGCCGTGTTGATGATGCCACGGGGGCTGTTGCTGAGCCTCCGGGCAAGCCGCATGCTACTGGTGGGTTGTCGACGACGGGTGCGCCTCTGCCGCTTGCGGGATGCGGGATCGAGAGGACGGTGGTGGTGACTCGGACCGTGTTTGCTGCGAGTACGGGGAGGGCACGAATGAACATAGTATGAGTGAAACATGTACATATATACGCGCTATGACTTAGGAACCCAAAAATGAAAAAAAGAGAGCTTGAAATTTCTTAGCTTAATCCTTGGTTTCTCCTTTGCTGAGCCTCTCTGTGGTGCATGTTTGTATGCCCTTCTAATCGGTGACAAGGGGAGTCTTGGAGAATGGAAGGGATGGGCAGGAAAGAGGAAGAGGGATATGGCGGAGGTAATATGGGCAAGGTAGTTGGTGAAACAAAATGAGCGTAAAATGTGTCTAGCAATGAGGATGACTATGAATGCTTTGAGTGATTTGATATGCTATTTTGAACCTTGTATATGCGATTTGTTGCTGCTGTGCTCTTGAAAGCTTGTGCTATAGGGTGAGGATTATGTGGATGTGAAGACATGGAGAGATAGATCTAGGTCTCTTGCCCAGTCGATTATTGCTTGCATTATGCTAACAAGTCACTCAATTTAGTTAAAAATAAAAGGGGAATCATATTGACTTTCTAGTAGTAGAGAGTAAAAGAAGCAGTGATTTAGGGAAAGTATCTACCTACCTACTTAGTAGTCTTTCTACGGAGTAGGTATAAAAGACAAGATAACAGGGACAAGAAAAAGAAGCCACAGGGGGGTTTCGAACAGGAAAGCAAAAAACAAAACAAAAGTGAAGGGTCTCCGAAAGGGAGAAAATGGGTAAGGTAACTAGAGCGTTATTCAAACCAGCTACTTCACTGATTTCCAACATGTTATATTTTGAATTATATGGCATTGACTGTTGCTCGAAAGGGGGATGTTGTTAGGTTGGGTGTACATACGAGTTAGGAGAATGGGTGGCGGTGATTGGTTGGAGTGGAGTGGACTTGGCTGTTGGTTTGGTGGGGGTGAGTCATACCGAGAAGTTGGCGGCTTGAGGCTGGAGTTGATTCTTGGGACCATGTACTTGACTGGAGGTGATGATGAATTTTCGTGCAGTGGTTTTGAGAAAACAATGGATATAGCTGCAGTTTCTGGAAGGGAATTAGGACTTGAGTTACTGGTGATGATGCGAAGTTGTCATTGTCACTGCTACAGAAGTAACCGTCATGTACCTACATTGACGACGCCATGTACACATTCACGATACAAGACATGTAACAACAACAACAGAGGTGAAAAAGAGTGAGCAAGGAAACAAAAGAGGAATGCTTCAAGCAAAAGTCGAACAGAGAAGCAATTTCTCACACAAAAAGTGAAGGCTCTAGGCTGGAGCTTTATCTGCTATACCATGGGTCTGATGATTTCAGCTACTTCACTGAGTGACACCTCTTCTACTTTGCTTTATATAGCACGTTCCACCTACCTATAACATGTCAATTTTAAGAATTGCACCCAGGCACGTTTGCAAGGAACCTCTACTCTCGTAGCTATTTGGACAAATGGAAGCAGGGAAGAAAGGAAAAAGAAGAAAGAAAGGGAGAGAAAGAAAGAAGAGACGGGAGGCGTGAGAAAAAAAAAGATGCATAAAAGAAAGGAGACACCAAAAATGGATGAAGATACAAAATGGAGAGGGAGAAAATTGGACACCAAAGCAACTCGAACAAAGAAGCACATCAAAAAGTGAAGGCCTCCCCGTGAAGGGAGCATTAGTTGTTTGGTTTTAATCCAAAGTGACCTCTGTCTGTTGAGCTACTTCACTGAAAGTCAGCTCGTTAATTTTGCTTTATATGCAGAGGTGCTGCTGCCTGGCAAGCAGGGGGGTCTAATTGGTCTGCTCGGGTGAGAAGGGAGTCATGTATTGGTACAGCTACTTCGTAAGCACTGGGATGGGTAGATGGGTGGCTGTACATATGCATAGGTAGGTATGTAGGTACGGATAAGTGGTCTCGTGTAGGTGGGTAAGACATGACAGGCTGCATGTAAGTGCAGTGGCTGGAGAGGATTTGCCATCACCACTTCGTTAACAGGCTTTCTGGGGAACAAGTATAACCGCAATCATTGGGTCAGCGCTTCCATCAATACGTTGCTTCGAAAAGACTCGATATGTGAAGCGGAAAGTGCTTGGCTTCTTCACATGTGATGGTCATCCGTCCCGCAGGGCTCCCCATCGGTTACGACTGGTACCAAAGGGCTTTGAGTTCATCTTTCTCATGGAAAACCAAGGGCCAACTGCAAGAACCATGGCAGAAGTTCACGGCCCCAGCCCGCGCGAGCTCCTGGTAACAAACTCCCTAAATCTATCTCGCTGCTCAGTCGTATAGTCGCTGCCCAAGGCGACTACACTGGAGCTTCTAGGGTTGGCCCCCCTTGCGAGCAACAACTCCACGGCGGCATCATTGCCTCTTTCCATAATCGCCCGATGCAGTGGCGTAACGTGGTCTTCATCCTCGGCATCGATATTGGCTCCGTTGTCGAGAAGCAGCCTCATGATGCCGAGGTGTCCCCTAGCAGACGCCACAGCCAGTGGTGTCGAACCGCCAACGTCCTTCACATCAATCTTGGCTCCCTTGGCAATCAGAGCCGCAACCATGGCCTCCCGCCCATCGTTGGCGGCGACTAGAAGCGGCGTTAGACCACCCCTCTCTGTCGCTTCCATATTGGCCCCTTTGTCGAGTAGCAGCTGGAAGATGTCTTCCCTTCCAAAGTGAGCCGCAGCCAAGAGAGGCGTGCAGCCGTCCATTTGGCCTTTTATCTCCATGTTGGCTCCGTCTTCGAGAAGCCGCTGGACAATCCTCGCATGTCCATTCTGGGTTGCCCACCGCAGCGGCGTCTGACCGTACTTGTCCTGCGAGTCGACATCGGCTCCCTGTTCGATCAACATGCCGGTGACGGCCAAGTGGCCGTTCCTGGCCGCCAAGCTGAGCGGCGTCCGCCCATTCTTGTCCCTCGAATCGGCCTCCATGTCGCTTCGATCCAGAAACATCTCGACAACCGTCTCGTGCCCGCCCTCTGACGCATATGAAAGAGGCGTCCGCCCCTTGTTATCTCTCATGTGATGCTGGGAATCCCCACGGGCCAGTAGCATGGAAATGACAGTCTTGCGCCCGTTTGCTGCGGCATAAAAGAGCGGCGTCCGCCCTACATTGTCCTTGGAATGTATGTCGACATCGCCTCGGGTCAGCAGCAGCCAGACAACTTCAGCATGCCCCTCTCCAGCCGCGTGATGCAGAGGGGTCCTTCCTCTTGCATCTTTGTCGTCTGGCTTGACGTCTCGCCGCAAGAGGAGCAGCCATGCAATCTTGGTGTGGCCATTGCTTGCTGCGTGGGATAGAGCGGTTCGCCCCTGTTCATCTTTGTGATCAGGCTTGGTGGTGCGCTTTGCCAGCAGCCACTTCGCCTCTTCCACACGGCCTTCTTCTGCCATGCGAATGAGCAAATGAGGCGTACTCTCATCCCAATTTTCTGGCGATGTTGACGACATGCCATTGGTGAAATCTATGGTTGAGTCAAATAAACCCCAGTCAGGATGGTCTCTGGAAGGCGGCGGTTTCCCCAGGATCTGGTGGTGATTCCGTGCCCGAATTGCTGTCGGCCGGTGCTGTTGGACGTTGAGCCATCTTTGAGGGCGCTGGCTTGTTCGAAAGGGCATCAGATTGAACAGCTCGAACCTGTCGCATCCGACGCGGGCAAAGTGCTCCATTGTGAGGGACACATCTTTGAGGTATATGGCAATGAAGATGTTGCCCTTTGTCTTGCGCTCGGCACAGTGAAGGATGCCGAGCCCTAGCCCCTGGTGCCCGACCCCCATATAGGAGAGCTCTAGGCGGATGCCTTTGTTACTGACCGTCCACGGTTTGCTATCAGGCAACCAAGCCGTGCGCACATGGACGATATTGCCCGAATGTTCGAATGCGTCCGGAGATGTTGCCAGAAGGGAGCCATGGTTCTGGCCTTTGGACCTCCAGGCAAAGATGCTGTCGTCATCCGTCACCTTCATGATTTCTTCCTGCAGCCTCATAAAGGCCCTCTCGCCTTCGCCGTACAGCAGCGGCATGTTGATGCCAAAGATGCCCATGAGACAGTAGGCCCGGTCTTCGGAGCGCGACGTCTTCCTTGAGGCAGCCCATGACATTTTCTGCGCGACACTCATCCCCTTGAGGTCGGAGCCAGAGAGCACGCTCAAAGGAATGCCGGTGCGCTTGGAAATCTCCTGCTTCAGCGTCTCCCTGGTGCCGAGCTCGGTCCATGCCTCGTCGAGAAAGTTGACCGTCTCGGGCGCAATAAGTTCTTGGAGAGTCCAACCCCTAGTAAACCATCTGCTCTCTGCGAACTCGGCTGTGGACGGCACATCTGCCAGGTAGCCGTAGCACACACCAGCCTCTCCGTACCACTGGTACATGGAGTTGATTGCTTCGGACAGCTCCGCGCTGCTCGTCTTGTCGATGCAGCACGTGTCCACCCAGGCATAGTCGTATCCGTTTGCCCTTGCGAGAGAGCAGCAGCCCTGGATCTTGGCATAGCCCTTTTTCTCTGCAAAATGACCAAGGGTCATGTCCTGAAGACTGACTTCCCCATCGCCCCAGGTATGCGACAGAATGGCGTACGGCGGGGTGTCTTGCTCGCCAAACTCCCTGAGCTCAAAGCCGCCCCTTTCCAGCTCCTTGGTGTAGAGCAGACGCATGACTGAAGATGGTGGTTGAGATGCTTCTTTCTCGATGCCCGGCTATTCCACTTTCAGAGGCCAGACTCCGAATGGGTACGCTGCAAGGATGGGCGAATGAGGATCTGGGGATATTTGGGAGGATTCGCGCGCAAGCCTTCTAGCGCTGTGCGCTGCTTCATTGGCGTAAGCATGCATGCGACCATCTTGAATCGCTTCATCCGAGAAAGCCTGCATGTGTCTGAACTGTGCTTCTTGGGAAGTTCGCAACAACGCAAGATATGCTTCGATTGAGTTGAGTCGTTTGCCCGAGGAAAATTTTAGTCTCAAGGTGTTACGGGGTAAAAAGGTAAGGTAGGTAGACGATGATGGTTTTTGTCGAGAGCGTCACGAGACCCACGGCTACTGATTGGTTGCAGTACAAGAGATTCAACGACATGGAGGCAAGTGCACTCCAGTGGCAGTGACCAACTTCAATCAAGTCAGGAGCCACTCCATACGGTAGCCTTACGGCTTCTTATGGGAGTCTGGTGGCATCTTTCAACAGTATGATACTCTCACTACCCGTATCATCAAGCTACTGAAACAAGCATGGCATTCACAACAACTATCAACAGGAGGATATAGCATCAGATGAGTCAAATCTTCAATTCAATATGGCAGACGTAGCTCATCGACAGTCTAGTCGGGGTATCAAGTCGGGAAGCCTCTCAGATCGCAATCCCAAAAGTCAAAGTGCGGTAGATGCGGGTGTACATGTATGTGAACAGCTCGGCATTGGTCTGCTCAAACTCAAGCATGTGGTGCATTTCACCTATGCGGTGAATGGAACTGCTGTTGTTGTTGTTGCCGTCTCTGTCGGCGCAACCGCAAACACCGCCACCGTCAAGGAGACGACCAAGCCTTCATCAACTCCCGGGCCCCTGAGCTCCGAGCTGGTCTCATTACCCCTATTCACACAGTCCAGTCAGTACCTCATCCCTCATCATCCAACCTCAAGATAAAAAGACTTACCCCAGCTGCTGCTGCTGCTGCATCTCCTTCTCCTTCACATGGTGAGAGTGCACCACCCCCGCGGCAACAGACAGCGAAACCACCAGGATGCAGAAGAAAACTGCCAGGAGCCGGAGGACCAGCACCCGCTTCTGCTGCGCCAGCGTCGCGCGCTCCCGCTCCTCCTCGTCCTCCTCGTCCTCCACGGCCAGCTCCTCCATCGGCCGGTACTTTGGAGGCGGCCTGTCGTCGTTGTAGGCCGGGAGCTGCGGCTCTGGGCTCCCGGACGAAGAAAAGATGCTCTCCGTGGCCGTGGCCTCGGCGAGAGCGGGGAAGCGAGCCTCGAGGTACTCTCGGACGGTGACGCCCTCCGGAAGTGAACTCATGATTGTGTGTGTGTGTGTTGTTGTTTTTTTATTATGGAGTTCGGGCGGGTTGGAGAGATATCCGATTCGAGGCTCGGAAGGTGTGATTGTGTAATAATTGGAAGGAGAGAAGGGGCGATGCCAGGCTCTTTATATACTCGGCAGAATGCCAGCGGCTTCAGTCGTTGAGTAATACAGGAACAAGGCTTGGAGTCGCCCAACAACAAGTCAAAGGCAATTAAGAGGCTTCTCGGAGGCATTGGGTGGTAAGTTTGAGGAGGGAAGACCCTAGGAGCCCACGAGCCTCAAACTCAACTTGGAGCGTCGACTTGTCAAGCCACTCCAGGAGCCATAGCCGAGCTGTGAAGCGCTCAGATAGTTAAGCTTAAAATAAGCTCCATCGTGGTGTTTTTAGGAAGAACTGTTGGGAGTCGAGGCAATTGGTACTCCTTCCAGCAGTCCTGCTATTGTAGGGGACCGGCAAAACGCCACTCTGTTGAGAAACCTGGGAGCGAGGCTGAATGATAGCCACGCCTGAAAGGAGCAGATGTTCCGTGATGCCTCGGATGATTGACACAGGTGGACATGGGAAGAAGTGCTGAGACCTGGCTCGGAAAGGCATTGAATTGCATCGCGGGCAGCATCCCATCAGTTCGGATGCTCTTCGCACTTTGGCGATGACCATAGAAAGGCAGCGCTGTTGCTTGTCAAAAGCTTCTTCAAGCCCATTAGTCGGCTATTGTCCCTTTCTGACTGAAGCAGTTTACGCTCTGATACACCTTGGTGGTAATAACGCCGATATTCTGTCCGTGGCATATGTTAGCACGAACTGCCTCACAAACTTGCAAATATGCAATATCCTGTTACGAGACGGACCCTTTTCACTTATTCATTAGGAATAAGAAAAGGCATTATGTAGGTCAAGATGGTAGAGCAGCTGGAGGATATATGCAAAGACTGGCAATTCCATTGAGATACCAATTGCAATCCTCATCAGAAGCACAGACTCAGGGGACTCGGCGATATCTCCATGGGCAGCAAAACCAGACATAACATAGCAGACTCGAGATGACTCATCTGCAACCGACCGGTCCATCTCATGGCAGATTCATTGTAGACCAAAGGCAGTACATACGGGGTGTAACACCCAGGGAAGAGAATATGAGACTCCTCATTTGCAGGAGGAAAGGGGCAGCCTCCTGGTTTGGTGCATTTACAATGACCAGGATACACATAATGAATCTATTACGGCAGACCTCTTACGGCTATCGTTCAGCGACATGCCCAATGTAGTAGTCAGTGCTGGGGTTAAACCATCTCTCCGCATGCAGTTGACGCGAACTATTCGCAAGACACGGCGTCCGATGGGGTCTTCACGATGTTATACTAGCATCGATCAAGCCTCGAGAAGGTATGCAGCAGCAAATGTGATCAGACTACCAACCCTGGGGTCACATCGATCATAGCGGCATCAACATTCGAGGACGCATTCTTGCAATCGTTCTACCCCTTTCAAACCCGCACATTGGCTACGCCGAAGTAGAAATCAGATAAAAGGGTCAGGCCGAGTTGCAGTACCCGGCCAAAGAAACGAGATCGAGGCGCTCGAATCGGATCCAAGCCTCGTGAAATACAGATCTCGAGGCTTAACGTTCGCCAACAGGCTGCAGCTTCTACACATTGAGGGCCTACGCATCAAGATCTGGACGAGGTGGCTGATAACATGCAGTTGGCTTTACCTCGAGATAACCACCCATGCCTCGGTGGGTACCCTCTGGCAGTATACAATACGTGTACGAACTACTTCACGCGTCTCGCATCCGGCATCCATCATATCTCGCAAGGACAGTGAAAGATGGCATGGGTAGATTTCGCGAGGCAGCAGCATGCGTGGAACGCTGGGCAGACCATAACAACTCGAACTTGTGGTCCCACAAAGGGTCTGCTGCCGTCGTGAGTGGGAAACACACAGGACTTGCATTAGACATGCAGCCTACCACGAGCACGATTCTGTGCGAGTACGTTGGGAAACTTGTGCAACTTGGGGCTTACTAGAAGCCGCACTTTTGCATCTCGGCGGAAATCGACGGAAGGCGACCATCTTGTGACAGGCTGGCTTATCGTCATCCAAAACGATCGCAACGGCCCTAAGGAAAAGCATAACTCGCAGCCCAGCATGCTAAGGAGTAGAGCCTAAAGTCACCCCCGTAGCGGGTTTCTCGGCGACTTTTGTCTCGTTCCTATGCCAAGTTTGATTTGAAATCCACGACAAGTTGTTCATGTCGCCATCAAGTGGCCCGGTGACAACTTCGAGCCATGATGTCGCACTGCATGAGACTCTCGTTGATGTGCTCAATAGCAGCGCAAGAGATGCCATTGATGCTGATCAAAGGTGTGTAACACAGCATCCGCAGCAGCGTAGCGTGTGTCAGGTATGAAGTTGTTGATATCAGACTCACATGATTGCTGACGCATCGATATCGGCGTTGCATCATGTCAAAAGAGTCCAGAACACATCAGGGCCAACAGGGGCCCAAGCAGAGCCTCGTCATGTCTCTGCGCATGCATGTGTGACAGGCGCCCGATATAACCCTCCAAACTGCTGAGAAAAGGGGGCTTCAGGGGCCAATGGGCCTCTTTTACATCTTCTGCTGTCCACAGAAAGTGACTCAGGCGGCGGGCTGCGTTGGTGCTGCCAGCCAACGGATATGCGGCGAGGCATCGAACGCCTTCGTTGGTGAGAATTGCGCCATCCCGGCAGTGCCAGTGGTCAGCCGAAGCGTGTCCCTGAGCCAAATTGCAAGAGGAACTAGGCCTGACTCGGCTGGGGGAGATCGCCAATCGAAACCCCATGGGCAACAAGTTGCGACGGTCCCATTTTTATAGATTGAACGGCCAAGGGCGGGAAGTGTCGAAGCAGTGCGAAGGCGGTCGAGCCGATTCTGCAGGTTCAAGGCGTTGGATGCGACATGCCTGCTTGGGGAAGCTGGTGCGGGACAATCAAAGGTTCAGGCACAAGCGTAAGCTGAGAATGTTGCCAAGATTGTCTGTTGTGATGCTAGGGTGCGTCGGTAGCCTCAAGGGGGCATTCGTGTCCAGTGGTGGTACAAGGAGTTGTTTGCTCATCAGGGTGCGACTCCATGGAGGAGGAGGTAGCCATGCAAGGCAGTCGACATCACTAGCAAAAAGGAACCATCCATCATCAGCTGAGGTCAGAACCTGGCCTGAGCCACCCGCGATCCTCGAACTAGCGATGGCACTTACACAAATGATTGAAGTAATTGCAGACACCAATAGCCTGAAAAGGGCAAAGTCAGCCGTCTGCGGCACTCGCCGCCATCAGTCGCAGAGCAGTGGCCCTTGTCGACGGCTGTCGGGGGCTTCGTTGCGATCGTCGCGGCTCCTGGGATGGCAATCTCGGGACTCGGGGCGGCGCTGTTGTGCTCCGGGGCATCGATGGCGAGATCAGTCGGGCCCGGACCTATGCCAGTGCTGTCGACACGACTACAGAGTTCTCGCAGGGCCGGTGGCGACGCCTTTGGCTGTCTGCCGGCACGTGGACAGCATCAAGAGGCGAAAAAATAGGGTCGAGGCAGAGACTAGAGAACATGAGAGAAGAAAAAAATATGGGATCTCGGTTTGTGTTTTTCGCTGTCAAGTGCTGGGGCAGATGGAGCCGTTATGACTAAGAGGATCCTCGCTCAGTGGTTGATGGCTTTCGCTTGATGCCACCATCGGGTCGTCGGGGCGGGGCGGCCAGCAGCCAGTCTGTCACCTTGAGGGCCTCAGCGCCGGCAGGGCTGTCCCTCCAGGGCGTCTTAGTGCTGTCGAGGCCTTCTGAAGGCCCCGTCCGTCAAGCTTTAGCGAGCCACCCACGCTGTGCGATAACGCCATTTTGGCGCCATCGCACCCAAGCAGCTGCTCCCCGTCTGGCTTTTCGGACTTCTGCAACCTTTGGAGTGCAACCCAATATCGAGTCGATCTCGCCCTCTGATATTACTGCGTCAACCTCCAGCCCCTGCCCGGCTCCTCTCCTGCACTCCCCCTTCTCGATCAACCTGCAGCAAAGAGTCGTGTGAGCGCAGCCTAACGGTCGAACGACGACAAAAGGACGATCGATCGATCCTGCCAGCAGCGCATTGCGCCTTTGCGACCCGACGCAGACGTCTGCCGAAGACGAGCGAGCCTCTGAAAATTCCATCATCAACATTCCACCATCGTCACCACCGCCAACGTCACCCGCCAGGGCCGCTATTCGCCGCCTCCCCAGCAGCCGGACAAAGAGGAAACAAGCGTTTGACGTGTTCGTATCTCGCTTCCAGCGGCCCACGGACCTCGTCCTGCCAGCGCTGGCCCTCTGTTGGACGCGGCCACGGGCTCTCGCAGGGCACTGTCTGACCATCGTCCTTGTACTTTGGTAGGGTGGTGTCTCAAAATACCAAGCCTGGAGCACGCAATCGCCGGCCTCTGCCTGACAGCGCATGAGTCGCCGCAATTCCAATTAAACTTCCTGCGTTGCGCGATAAGCCTTCTCACCGCATATTATCCCCATGGAGTCCCTGGCGACCTCGCCTGGCCGCGAGCCGACTTCTCTCTCCTCCCTGTCTCGAGCCCACTATGAGCCCTCTTCGGCGGCCGGTCCAGCTGCCGGCGATTCTCTGATATCGTCGACAACAGCATCGCCTGCGCCGTCGCCCTCACTCTCGACCTCTACCGTCAACACGCTCACCTCAACGTCTGTAACTTTGTCTGCACCTGCTGCTGCTGTTGCTGCTGCTGTTGACCCTGCTCCTGTCTCGACCTCGGTCCCTGCCTCTGTCTCTAGCACTGCCGCCGTCCCTGCCTCTTCCCAGCCGCCGTCGCGAGACAACTGTGATCGCCGCCGCGAGGGTGAGGAAGAAACTCCCGCCAAGGGCCTCGTCAAGATGCCCTTTGACCTCGTCGGCAAGACCCTGAGCCCGTTCCTCAAGGAGCACATCCCCGGTCAATACGCACCCGTCGGCAAGAACCTGAAGAAGGAGGACAAGACTGGCACAAGCAATGCTTTGGCAAATATCAAGGACCCTAACACCAAGTATTGCTATCGCCATCGTCCCGATTCAAAGTGCCGTCGGGCTGCAGATGAGACCAAGATGGGGACCATTCAAAGGGTATGTCTGAATCACTGAGCTGCCCATCCCTGCTCCTCGTCGTTGTCTGACTTACACTTTTGCTGACAATGCTAACCCCTCTCTGTGCAGGAGCTTAATAGTCTTCCCTCCGCCGACCAGGAAGCCATCACGCACGTGTGGTCTTTGTTCTCTGCCGCGCCGGCCAAGCATCGCGAACTCATGCTGCAGGGCATCATCACCCAGTGCTGCTTCCCCCAGCTCTCGACCGTCTCCCGCGAGGTGCAAGAGCAGCTCAAGATCGACTTCATCGCAACGCTGCCGGTGGAATTATCGTACAAGATCCTCTGCTATCTAGATACCGTGTCGCTGTGTAAGGCGGCGCAAGTCAGCAGGCGTTGGAGAGACCTGGCCGACGATGACGTCGTCTGGCACCGGATGTGCGAGCAGCACATTGACCGGAAATGCACAAAGTGTGGCTGGGGTCTGCCGCTATTGGAGCGGAAAAAACTCATGGCCTGGAGCCGGCATCAACAGACGGCGCACGCGAACCCACCCAACCACGCCGACGAGGCTTCAGCTGAGCCAGCCTCAACGCCCACTGCCGAAGGGTCCAACAAACGGGCGATGGTGGTGCGCAATGACAGCGGCACCAAGCGATCTCGAGTCAACAAGGCGGGCAACGGCCGGGCGCAGCTCGACGAAGAGCGCAAGTTTCGACCGTGGAAGGATGTCTATCGGGATCGCTACAAGGTGGGATACAACTGGAAGACGGGACGATGCTCCATCCGGACGTTCAAGGGCCACGAGAACGGCATCACTTGCCTGCAGTTTGACCACAACATCCTGGCGACAGGATCCTACGATACCACGATCAAGATTTGGAATGTCGAGACGGGAGAATGCATCCGCACGCTGCGTGGCCACACTTCAACGATTAGGACCCTGCAGTTCGACGACGCCAAGCTAATCAGCGGAAGCTTTGACAAGACGATCAAGATCTGGAATTGGCACACGGGCGAGTGCATCAGCACGCTCCAGGGTCACACGGACGGCGTGCTCTCCATCCACTTTGACGGGTGCAAGCTCGCCTCGGGATCCATCGACAAGACGGTCAAGATCTTCAGCTTCGACACCAAGCAGACCTGGACGCTGAGGGGCCACTCCGACTGGGTCAACCATGTCCGCATCGACTCGGCATCTCGCACCGTCTTCTCGGCCTCGGATGACCTCTCCGTCAAGCTGTGGGACCTGGATTCGAAGCAGTGCATCAAGACGTACCTGGGCCACGTCGGACAGGTGCAGCAGATCTTGCTGATGCCACCCGACTTTGAGCCCGACGAGGACCCCAACGCCGACAGGGGCGATGCTGCATCCGCAAGCAGCGGACGAGGCGACTCCCCGTCCCCGTTGCCAGATCAGTCAACCGACCGGCGTGCTGCATTTGGCTACGGCTTCACGTCGGATCCTGCCCGGCCCTTGCCTCCTCGCTACATGCTTACTGGCGGCCTCGATAACACCGTCCGGCTCTGGGACATTGCCACGGGCAAATGCATCCGCAGCATGTTTGGCCACGTCGAGGGCATCTGGGGCCTGGTTGGCGACACCCTCCGCGTCGTCACCGGTGCCAATGATTCCATGACCAAGATCTGGGAGCCGCGTTCGGGCAAATGCGAGCGCAGCTTTACTGGTCACGCCGGCCCGGTGACTTGCGTCGGGCTGAGCGACAGCCGGATGGCCAGCGGCAGCGAGGACGGAGAAGTTCGCCTTTACAGCTTCGAAGGTAACAGCTTGGAGGAAAGGGGGACACCTTCGTAAGGTCCTTGACCGTTTGCAATCGGCCATGTCGGCCACTTGGTCACTTTCCATTTCACTCTTCACTTTTCACGACTATTTTATTCTTCTTTCACCCAAGGACAAGGTATAGACAGGACGGTTAAGGGCCACGGAAGCATGGATGCGCAGAGGATGCACATAAAGGCCCCTTCTCATTCATGTCACCAAAAACAAAGTGATAGAGCGGTCTCTTTCTTTCAACATTGCTGGTATAGCATCAACGCAAAGCGGGAAACGGATACGGATACCCTTGGCGGACAAAGGGAAATGGCGTTTAGGATCATGATGAGACCAGTTCAATGTTTCGCAGCTGGAAGGGTTACGGAAGCAATCGTGCTTTTGGAGTATGTGTGTTGATATTATTGTATGGAATTTCCTGTCAGAGTACATAGCCAAATTGGGGGTTTTTAAGTTGACAGCTTGTCAGACGAATGCATACTGATGGCTTTATTCAATCTCTCAAGTGATTGCCGTATGTGATTAAGTGTAAAGATTCGTTCCAACAACACCACATCGTGCTTGTCCTCCCATTTTCATACCTTCGTCTATCATGGCGATGTCTCCCCTTAAGTTCTCTCAGCACTACGAGTTGATGAGGAACAAAAGGATGATCCTCGTCCAGCTACATCAAGGCCTATCAGATAGGGGATTCTTATTGCTCTTCTCGTCTCTGAATTCCTCTGCGCAAGCAAGTTCAAGGCCAGGTCCTGCGGGTTCTTTTACACTGTCAATGCCGCCCCAGTCATCGTTATGCGCAGCATCGTCGTATAACTGCTGTCGAGTTGCCAAAGCAGTGGTTACAAACACGACCAAGCGAATGACTGGAGTGTCGCCATCGCCGAATTAATCTCCCTTGGACACGGGAATGGCAGGGTTGAGAGTCTTTTTGACATGTCGGCTGTCTTGGTAGTTGGCGTCATGCAAAGAACGTAAGGTGTAGTTGATTGAATGCCGCGCGTAATGCGGCTTCATGATGGATGTGTTGAAGGAAGCCTAGGTAGGTTTTCCATCACAGAACTTTGTCTGTTTCGTAGTCATCCTTCTGCTGTAGCCGTGTCTGGTCCAGTTCGACCTGATAGGATACCCTATAGTTTCAAGAGGCTCTGAGACTCTTTATTGCCCCGAAATAAGCAAAAAAAGTCGGCATAGAGGAGTTGCCTGATCATGAATGCTGTCCAGAAGTTGTAATCACCGTGTTATCAAGTACTAGTGTCGCAAGGACAGGATCATCCACTACCATTTTGACGAGGTCCCGATTTGCGGTATACAGCAGAATAGATGGTCCAGTTGTGCCACCATCTCACTCCACGACTACCCAATATACATTCAAAGCGTCCCCAGAATTGATCCAGCATTCTACCTGACAGAATACCAGGAAGAACCATACTGATCGTCAGAGACAAGAGACTTTGTCGTCACCTCCAACGGGATTTTCTCGTGATAGGTGCTGTGTCGGGGTTGCGTGTGCATTACTGTACTTGTTCTTCCAGCTCGGTACTACTCCGTATCCAAATCATGACTCAGCCAAGATCAGCCCCTTCCCGGCCTCGCCCACGCCAAATGACGTTGTCCTCCGACCTTCTCCCATGAGCCGAAAAGCAGGTTCCCTCTTTGTCTTGTCTTGGATCCCCTTGAACCACAAGAAAGCACAAACGAACCTCGGCCCAGCGCGGCAAATCAGCGGGCCAACCGTGTCCGGTCTCTCCCGGCTGTTTATGAACAAGCGTTTCCGTTGTCGATGCGTAAAGGTACGTACAGTTGTTTATTACTGCTGGGATTCAGAGCTGGGAGTGGCTAAACAACAACTGGACACTAGTCGAGGTACGTACCCATCAAGGTTGCTCGGCACCCCGCATTATCACAAGCTCGGCATGCGGTCGGCACAGAAGCGATAACGTCACTGCTTGAGACGACGAAAGAACACATGCGAATCCCACACAGCAAAAGAGCATTCGCATACTACTACAAGAATTTTCTCTGCTACACAATAATGAATGCTTCAAGCAGTGTCAACGGGGAACGTCGCATTCATCTACCGACACTTAAATCAACAGACAGAAGAACATACTACAATCATACCTGCGTTTGTTTGTAAACCCCCCCCTGCACCCCCTTGTTCCCCCCCTCCCCTTCTCCGGCCACACGGAGCTCCTCCACACAGATCGGAATGGAGTCGCCCGGTCAGAAGCAGCCGAAATTCCTCCACCTGTCCGGCTCAACTTGTATGAGTATGTACTTGTGCTCGTACCAAAACTCCACGTTTTCCTGTCAACCTTGAATTGCCTTTTCCCCAGCCATCATGTGGGGGGACGAAGAGGAACCAATACCAAAAAGTCCGAGCTGAGCTGAGAGGCAAGCCGCGGTCCAACCGAGAACTACCTACCTACGTATACATTCTGCGCCTTGCAATGAATCCGATGCCTTTTGCTTTCTTGTGTAGTAGCGACATCTGAGGCTACAAACAGGCAGTCAAGCGTGATTTTCCAGTTGCAAATCACTAAAGTCATTCTCGACGAAGCACATGTGCCGTTCCGTCCATCACTCTCATCAACCCGGGCCCCAGACAAGGTTACCCGAAAGGCACATGTAGACGAACTTCCCACCGCAAAACCCAATACCGAGCTGTGTGGCTCACCCTTCCGGCACGATCTGACGCCCTTTAACCCATCCCCCCCCCCCCCCCCCCCCAGAAAAAGAGAGCCCTTGTGACTTGGATCCAATAGCCGTTCGTGGCTTGTTCCCTTTTCCCCCCCCAAAGTTCTCGCCCCCCTTTAGCTCCAACGGGCAAAAGGGGTGCGAATAGCCAAGAACTACTAGAAACGACATGGAAAGCTAGACGCCGGCATCATATGTCAAAAACCCCCCCCATGTCCCTTTTCTTCTTCTATCTTTAATGGCGATTATCGGCTTCTCTGGATGACTCTTGTTTTCTTTGTGACTCTTTTTCTTCCTGCTCTTCCTCAATTCCATCTTCTGCTCACATCATATTTAGCTTTTCCTCCATCGTCCTCGGGCTTCCTCCTTTACTCAAGGCATCGTGCGCTTCTCTCTGAGACTGGCTTATTTGAATCTACTCATTTGACTCTCGCTTGATTGAATAGCCGTTGCTGGATTCTCAGCTGCCAAAACTCAACGAGCTATACATATCTAGCTTCACCTCATACAAGCTCGGCTCATCTACAGGGGACGCACAAACATCCTCGGCAGTAACCCACAACCAACACATTGTGTGAACCACCGACCACCTCTTCTCAAAGAAGAGCACAAAAGCTCAACAACAACAACATCAAACTCCAATTCCTCACCACAGTCAAACCACATATCACAAAATGCCCGACAGCAAATCAAAACAACCGCCCACAGCGGCAACAAACCTCATCGGTTCGTCCTCATCCTCCTCCTCCTCCTCCTCTGGTTGAACAACCTCAGCTAACACAATGCGACAGCTGGAGGCGGCGCCGGCATGATGGAAGCCCTCGCCTGCCACCCCCTAGGTCAGTTCCCCCCCCCAAAACCTCCGCCAACTCTCTCCCAACTCACCACTGAAACTAAAAACTCATCTTGTTCGCAGACACAATCAAGGTCCGCATGCAACTCTCCCGGCGCGCCCGCATCCCCGGCGCCCCCCGCCGCGGCTTCATCCAAACCGGCCTCGAGGTCGTCAGGAAAGAAACCCCCCTGGCGCTGTACAAGGGCCTCGGCGCCGTCCTCACGGGCATCGTCCCCAAGATGGCCATCCGCTTCACCTCGTTCGAGTGGTACAAGCAGCTCCTCGCCGACCGGACCACGGGCGCCGTCTCCGGCCAGGCCACCTTCCTCGCGGGCCTCGCCGCGGGCGTCACCGAGGCCGTCGCCGTCGTCACCCCGATGGAGGTCATCAAGATCCGCCTGCAGGGGCAGTACCACTCCATGGCCGACCCGCTCGACATCCCCAAGTACCGCAACGCCGCGCATGCGCTGTACACCGTCGTCAAGGAGGAGGGCGTCGGCGCGCTGTATCGCGGCGTCAGCCTGACGGCGCTGAGGCAGGGGTCCAACCAGGCCGTCAACTTCACGGCGTACTCGTACTTTAAGAAGTGGCTCAAGGACTTCCAGCCCGAGTATGCCGACGGGAACTTGCCCAGCTGGCAGACGACCATCATTGGCCTCGTCAGTGGTGCGATGGGGCCGCTGAGCAATGCCCCCATCGACACGATCAAGACGAGGCTGCAGAAGATGCCGGCCGAGTATGGGACCACGGCGTGGCAGAGGATAACCACCATTGCCAGCGACATGTTCAAGTATGTTGCTCATCCCCCGCTGCCCTTTCTCTCTCTCTCTTCGTGACCGGATCGAGAGGACGAGTTTTGCTGACAGGTATCTTCTTCTCTAGACAAGAAGGCTTCCACGCCTTCTACAAGGGCATCACCCCCCGTATCATGCGCGTGGCGCCCGGCCAGGCCGTCACCTTCACCGTCTACGAGTACCTCAAGTCCCAGCTGGAAAACAGCAACCTGAAGTTTGTCGGCGGAAAATATGAGGAGTAAGAAAAAATAAAATATGGCGGTCTTTCTTTAAGCTGTCCGTTGCATTTATGTTTGTTGCGCATATACCCTCTTCTTTGTTTCATTTGTTCGGACGAATGCGGCATGACAGAGAGATGGTTTCTGACTGTAGTCTAGTTCTAGAGCAGAGATGAAACAGGGTCAGCCCTCGCATGCTTAAGTCTGGAGTTGCGTGAACGGGACGAGTGACAAGGATGAGGACGAGGATGAGGATGAGCATGGTGGTGGTTATGATGATGACGATGATCAGCGGCGGTTTATATGAAGCTCCTTAGGATCGCATTGGATGGTGGCGTTGAATTGTGTTCAGCTCAAAGCTATAGTGGATATATCTTGTATCAGAAAATATGGACAGTGTCTACAAGAACTTCAGGCTAGATCGTTGCATGTCGTGTTGTCGTCAAAATGAAAACTCGAGGGCTCCTCTCCTCTACCTGCCCGGGCGCTTGGGCCTGCTGAAGCCCGAAGACGTCACCGGCTTGGGATGGAGATCGTTGAGCACGTCCTGCTCGGTAATCTCGCTGGGGTCCTCCACCTCAAACTTCTTCTCCGGGCTGATGCCGGCCTCTTGCTCGGCAATCGTGAGGACGGCCTTCTTCATCAGCGGATACAGCATCCTGTTCTTGATGGCCTTGTTTCCGGCCGTCGCGGGGCAAGTGTAGAAGAAGAGGATCGGCGTCTGCTCGGTGCCGTTGTGCGTGTGCGTGAAGCGGTAAAAGGTGAATCGTGGCTCGACCGTCGAGATGCCCTTGATGAGCTCGGTGAGGGAGCTGGGGTCGGGGGACTCAGGTGCCAGCTCTACCCTCTCGGTAGCAGCGTTGATTTTCTGGCACAACAAAGGTGATTAGCTTCCTGATGTACTTGACGAGGTAGATCGACGCCAAACAGAGAAGAGGAGGGAAACAAAAAACTCACCAGCGTCGCCGCGGCCTTTGTTCCCTCGGCAACCTCCTTCATCGCCGCAATGGCATCCTCGTTGACCGGCATCTTCAGGCTCTGGCTGAGATGGATCTCGCGAATGGCCGTGCCCGACCCGGCCTCCTGCTCCGCCCTCTTGACCTCGCCCAGCGACTTCTCCTCCTCCGTCAGCGGCGCCTCCAGCGCGTTGTGCGCGTCGTGGGCCTTGAACCCGTCCGCCGTCAGCTCGCGGGCCATGGTCATAAAGGGCGTCTCGCGGAAGTGCTCCGTGCCCAGCTCCCGCACCAGCGTCAGCCGCGTCGACGCGAACAGCATCTTCTGGCGCACATTGGCCGCGTCGGGCACGTACGTCACGGCCACGAACTTGGGCGAGTCCTCGTAGCGGCGCAGGATGGCGTACAGGGCCGCGTCGGGCTTGACAAACGGCTCCAGCACCGACAGGTTCTCGCCAAAGTCGGACGACTTGCCGGCAAGCGTCTCGACGGGCACCAGGGACTCGCGCTGGATCGTCACCAGCAGGGCAAAGTCGGACGGCGTCGCCTGCAGCGCGCTGAAGGCCTTTTGGAGCTCCTCGGAGGCTGTGCTCGAGAGTTCTGTGGTCAGCTCACCGCAACAATTTAGGGGGGGGGGGGGGGGGGAGCAAGATGGAGAGGCTAGATGGATGCGGCACTGCCACGGCTTTGCGTACCTGAGATTCCGGACTGCATCTTGGCTCGAGGTCTTGATTCTACTGTCGAGAAGGAGATCGAAGCCGGTCAGCAGCCGTGACTGTAGATGTAGATTCCAGGTTTCCAGCCTCGGGTCAGGGCCTGACGACGCATGTAAGTCCAAGTCCAAGCCTCTCCTGGCTGCCCCGCCATTGTTGCGACAACCACCAGAAGCGCCCCTCCATAACGTGGCACCAAGCCCCGCCAAGCGCTGCAGGTGGTGGATAAGGTACTCGTACTGTCTAGCAGCTCACCGTTACCCTGCAGCAGAAGGCGATATATTGGCTGGGCAAATTCTGGGCTTCCTTCTCGTCTTGAGATACAAGTTGCAAACGAGTGTAAGAGAGTTGACATATGGACTTGACAGACATTATATGACAAGTTCTAGCAAAAACAGCCTTGTCCTGGCGGGAATACAGTAATACCATCACAGCAGACGAGTCCGATATCATGCAGAATCGAATCGATTAAGTGGCAGCCCCTTTTCCGAACTATCTGATATGTGACTTGTTTCTGCGCTCAACTGACAGCCTCCACGACCCTCAATCAGCGCCCAAAATTGCCCAAAGAACAATCCCTTGAGATATCTCATCAGTGGTCTCCGCCACAACAACACAGACTATACCGCATAACCGTCTACATGATCATTGCCGCCAACAAGAGAAATCCTCCAATGCTCGAAAGGGGAGGGACAACTCCACAAGGCGAGTTTGAAGCTGGAAGATGCGAAGGAGCCGGGGGATCCCCCTCGGGCTTCTTGCTTGGCCATGGCCAGAGAGTGGTCTGAGACACGACAGGCGAGAGACTCGGGTCGTCGGAAGGGTCACAGTTGTCCACCGGTGTGTCTCCGCCAGGGCTTCCACCTGGGGTACCTGGGCCATCCTCGTCAGAGTAGGAATCCGGCCGAGACGCCTGACAATCTGAGGAGTAGCTTGGTACGTTGGATGACGGTGTCGTATTGGGAGATTGCTGATTGGGAGCAGAGAACGTCTTGGGCTCGGGAGCGTTATCGGGTGGCGTCAGAGGTCCCTGAGGATCTTGAGGACCCTGTGGAAGTGTGCTCGCTCCTGTATCGCCTTGAGTCGTGCATGGGGTTCCCTTGGAGGCCTGAGTGTTGGGGTCCTCGGTGGTTGGGAGCCCTGTGGCCGCAGGATTGCCAGGTGCAGGATTTCCGAATGACGTTGGGGCTTCTGGTGCTGGTCCGGCAGGCGTAACACGCTGAGGTGACTGGGAAGACTCTGCAACTGATGAAGCACCGGCAGAGGAGCACGGAGTTGCAGCTGCAGCAGCAGAAGATTCAACATTGGTTGGTCCTTCATATGTCTGGCCTTGGCTCGGTGGGACTCGTGTGTAGACGTTGGCGACGACGGGCGAGCTTTCTGGACAGATGCTTCCGCACATGCCACGGGTGCTGTCGCCCAGGCATGGGTAGTCGCATTTTGCCTCGTCGGTTGGGTGAACACCATTGGGATCGTCACCACATCGGCAGCAGCTTGCAAGTCTGTCAGATGTGCCACATCATCCGGAGGTAGCAGATGGCTTGAGACTCACTCAGGGAGGACGGCAGCGAACTGATGACCGCGGCATGCAGCTTGACAAGCTTCAGGAGTCACAGCGCCATTGGCAAACGCGATTGTCTCTGCGAAGCAGGCCAGGTCAATCGAGGAGCAGCCTTGGATAGAGAAGTCGGACGTGCTATGCGTGGTCTGGCAGACAACGCCAGTCACGCCGACTATGGCGAGTGCAAGTGTGACTCTCATCTCCTTATGATGGAGGAATGGCCGGACGACTGATGAGGAGTTGGAGAACGTTGAACGATGGGAGAGTAACGAAAGGACGGAGCAGGGCTAACGAGTGGCAGATGGGCTGAGGATGGAACAGAATGTAAAGAAGAGGAGAAAGAAAGAAAGATGATGGAGGGGACTGGAAGAAATTTGGGTTTGGTGATGTATGGCCATCTCTGAGGGAAGGAGCAGACGGTATCTGGGGCAGGAGGAGACTTGCCGCCCCTTCCCCCCCGAGATAGGAGACTCGACTGAAATGACGACACTCGCCAAACTAAACGAATGAAGTGGACTGACTTTATCCAGATATGGCCATGGCAGCCTAATGAAGATGGGAGATGAAAATTCACTGGATGATCGAAGTACGAGAGCCTTGGTGCTGTCATCGCCTTGGCAGCATCTCGCATCGTGGGAAGGTGGGAGATGAGCATCGTCATGGAGCAGCTCAACATCGGGCCGTCGAATGTATCTCCACAGTGTCCTCTGGATGAAGTGTGAAGATACAAGTACCTGGAGGCAGCCATCATATTTGCATGCCTACCGATAGAAAAGCCGAGCCTCTCAAGGAGGAATCAGATCCCAAACAGAGCGAGGCATAGTAATACGACTACAGGAAGAACATGGACGGGCAAGGATGCATGGAGAATTGAGCCGCAATGAGAAAAATCAAAATATATGATGATACTATGCTGAAAGGGACATTCAGCAGTGAAAGGATAACCCCTTTTAGCCAAGATTTATCTGCAATTCGTCATGAAGGAAACATCCAGGATTCACGATGCAAGATCCCAGATCTCAGGAACCCGCACCGGATTGGACAGACAGCGCTCCACTTTGAACAACCCCCATCGCGGTCGAATTGGGCTATGCCCCACATTAACTCGCGGCCTTAGGCGAAAACTTCCCCTAGCCTCTGCAAGCGCACAACAAACGTGAGCAGGGCACGAAAACCCCAATTTAGCGAACAATTTTCCAAGTGCGCCAGAGTCGAACCAAACAGGCAACTTCTTGACTTCTCTGCCACGATCTCACTCATCCAACTCCCTGTTGAGCATCACCACAGACAAGATGAGCGCCATCAACAAGATCGCCGCCAACAGCCCTTCGAGGCAAAACCCCTCCGAGCTTGAGCAGAACATTGCTCAGGCTCTCTTCGACCTCGAGAGCAACACTGCCGACCTCAAGGTTGCCCTGCGACCTCTGCAGTTTGTCAACGCCCGTGAGGTGAGAATGACTTGAAGAAATCAACTCGCAACAGACCGAACATCTCTCGACATCCTGTTCCCAAAGCTATACAATACAATGGCTCCAAGGGCGATTGGCGTTCCCTCGACAGAGGGGGGAAGTGGTTGGATACTTCCAATTCGACAGAATGGAATCATCGACACGCTCCCTCTTCTATATAAAGAAAGAACAAAAAGACATCTGTCGAGGGACGCGCCGCCTGGCCGGAGTAATATTGACTTCTGTGGAGCAGGACGGGAAGCGGTCCAAGGCATTTGTCCTGGAGCTCGCATGCTGACTTTGGGATCTTGAATAGATCGAAGTTGGCCACGGCAAGAAGGCTATCGTCATCTTTGTCCCCGTCCCTTCCCTGCAGGGCTTCCACCGTGTTCAGCAGCGGTAAGCAAATCTCTTCATACTAGAAAGCTCCATCTGCACGGCTGCTAACTCCCTCTCAGCCTGACCCGTGAGCTGGAGAAGAAGTTCTCCGACCGCCACGTCATCATCCTGGCCGCTCGCCGCATCCTCCCCCGCCCCAAGCGCTCTGCCCGCTCCCGCAACACCCTCAAGCAGAAGCGCCCTCGTTCCCGCACCCTGACTGCTGTCCACGACGCCATCCTGGCCGATCTCACCTACCCCGTCGAGATCGTCGGCAAGCGCGTCCGCACCAAGGAGGACGGCAGCAAGACCCTCAAGGTCATCCTCGACGAGAAGGAGCGTGGTGGCGTTGACTACAGACTCGACACCTACTCTGAGGTCTACCGACGATTGACCGGCCGCAACGTCAACTTCGAGTTCCCCCAGACCGGTGCCTCCGAGTTCTAGACTAGTTGATACCAAAGAAAAAAGTTCTAATCTAACTGGCATTCAAAAAGATCTGAAACAGAATCTTTCTTTTTTCCTCTTTCGGGGTCATTTGGGAGCATAAAAATGCGTTGCTTTATTTAAGAAGCATCGGTGGGTTGGTCAACATTTTGGGCTTGGCGTCTGATATCAAGGTAGCTTTTCGTTGAAATGATATAAAGCTGCTGGCATGATTTGATCAATTCACTTCTCATTGCATCCGCTTTGCATTCCCTGCATGTCTCTTTCGCGGTACTAGTCGAATGTTTTGCTTGTCTTGTCTCGGACCATCTATCTGGGTATCTATCGCTGTAAATGTCCCAACTCGCCTCACTCTTGACTGATACGCCCAACGCCCAGCACGCACCAATACGCCAATTCACGCTTCTCCCTACCCTCCTTGTCCTTGCTGGAGGGCCCTTCCATGTCAGCCTGCGTATCAGCCTCCCACTCCATGCGCACAAACATGGGAATCTCAAGAATATCCTCGCCCTCTTTCAGCGGGCTCATGTCGACCCTTTCGCCCTTGTTGCCTGGCTGCTGCTGCTGCTGATCGAGCCGCAGCGACGCCGGAATGACCTCCAGCACGATGCTCACCCAGTTGCGCCCCTTTTCCCAAATCTTTCCCACCTCGGGACCCTCGTCGGCCTTGCGGCTGCGATCCTTTTCGTCGTCCTTGAGGGCATCGTCCCACATGTCCGTGTTGGCATCCACCTCGAACTGCGGACACAGCACGGTGACTCTGCTGGAGAAGCGGCCAGGCGTTGCGTTTGGCGAAGCCAGCGTGACTTTGATGTTTTCGAACAGTGGATTCTTGAACGTGACCACGAAATGATACGGCTGATGCGGCTTCAGCGGTGCTTCTTCCTGGACCATGGGCCGATACGTGATAGGAACTGGCGGAGCGGTAGGATTGAGCGGCCGGATCGTGATGGTGGGTATGTACGACTTTGCAACCAATCGAATCTTGAACCTCGTCGACACGACCTTAGCCTCCGGTTTGGATATAATGTGCCGACAGGAAGGACAACGCTTCGATCGCTTGCTGCGCAAAAGATAGGCAATCGGCCGGAGCTCATCCTCGAACCGCCCAGACTCCGTCGGCTGTTCGTTTCGCTGGTCAAGCGAAGCTGTCGCGCCCCATCCTCCCTCCAACAGCTTCTTGATATCACTCGACTCGTCCAGATTGGCAATCTTCAGGCCGTCGTTGGTGCCGAGTGCCTCGCGCATAATGTCCGCCGGGCCCTGTTGCAGGCGGCCCTGGTGACCACGGCCTGTGTACAGGGACATGATGCGTGTCAGAGCGGCAGGAGACGAGAATCCCAACCCATCGTGCAACGGGAGCCCGCGTAATGATGTGTTTGCCTCTGAGAGCTGTTGTTGGTAAAAGGCCTTTAGGTTGGCGAATTGCAGGTCCGCGTCGACCTGGTCGTCGGGCACGGGGGGCTCGTCTGGGTTGTCCTTTCGACGGTCTTTGACGTCTCGCAGTGTGAGCTTGGGCTTGCCTCCATTGTTCACCTTGGAGAGTTGATTGTATATGCCGCTGGGGCGGTCGAATTCGATGCCGATCTCGGTGGAGGTCCAGTTGCAGTACTGGCAGAAGAGGGCATAGGGGCCACCGCTGGGATTGGCCTGGTATTGTGTAGGGAGGAGATTCGCATCCGTGGTAGGCTGAATGGCGCCAACCTGAAGAGGACCAATGCAGATCGGGCACTGGTAACAGCTCCGCGTACATCTGGCCAGTAGCAGTCAGACTTGAGGCCGTGATAATGTCCAAAGGGAGTGTCTTTTACCTGTTGCCCTCACTGCGTAGGTTACTGCTAGGCACCTCAAACAGGCAATTGGGGCAGTAAAACGTTACGGACTCCTCCGTGACGCATCTCGGGCATCGGATCTGTTGGCAGTCTTCGCAGTAGAGGAGGTATTCGATTGGGTATAAGCTGTAGTTTGACCGCGGGGCTTTTGGATCGAACGCTCGGTCGTCGTCCTCAGGATCTGACGCCGCGCCGCCAGGGTGGAAAACAGTCTGGTCTGAGCAAGGGCATTGAATGTATGTGTATGGGGTCAAGGGCGACATGGTTGCCGTTACATGGCGCGAACGTGGGTGGAATGATGGAAGAGTAAACAGAGGCGGGTATCTTGTGCTGGGCTGCCATCACGAAGCTTCGGTGAGTCGCCTTTGAGCTAAGGTGAGCTCGGTGAGCTTACTGTCCTTTCACGTGATTTTACATCTTTATCAATCAGATCGATTGAGCTTATCGATTTGGCTGATTATGTAATCACCTTGATCCATCCGATAGTGCGACTACTTCTGTCCCTCGTATCGGTTCCCCGCTTTCTCTCTCGCAGATGCGCCCCAGATTCTCTGGTGATGATCCTGGCCAAAGCTCTCAACGACGGGCGATCGATTGATTGCGATGACGCTGCCATGACCAGCAGCAGCTTCCGGGCTGGTGGCAAGAAACTGGCTTCCGGACGGTGGCGGATCTGCAGTGATAATGCCCTCGTGCAGTCTCTGGATGCGACGACGACGATAAGACGGGAGCTGGCCGTTTTCGTTTCGATGTTTGCATCGTTTTGGATGACACGCCAATCTTTGCCCGTTCAGCCTTGGGGAGATCCCCGAGATTATACAGTACATACTCGATGTATTGCCATCACGGCAGCTGAACTTGCTCAACATCAGCTCCTCACATCGGCTTCGTGTAAGCTGGACGACGATCCGCCATCCATGTCCTCTTGGATTAGTAGGTAGTCTTCAGATATCAGGCCACGCAAGCCCCCCTGATACGGACGCAACAGGATAGTCGGATATCGGCCACAAACAGTCCGCGATGAAACAATAGCGCTAGTCGTGCCAATGCTCTCTGACAACCTTGATAGGCAGCTAATGGCAGCCTCGGAAAATTGCTTCTTTACGAGTACGAGCCACGATGGCAGAGGGCACTAAACCTGTGAGATGTGCAGTCCTCCGCTAGCCATGGTTGGGTGACTCTATGAGGCTGCGTCTAAACGTCTTAATGTCGCCGACTTTGTCTCGTCCGCTAGGCCGACCCGTTCTCTACATGTCTCATCAGGCGAAAGGCCAACATCTAGAAGTAGCAGATTCGCTTTTGGGCGTCCTCTGAGAGAATGCTCGACAACCTTCCTTCTTTGGGGTTTGTAAGCGGGGATTGAAGGCGTTTGTCTCTGCTGGATGCCACCACATTTGTCCAGGTCCAGGCCAGGAACAAGAGAGGGGAGAAGCACGGGAAAGCCACAAGTAATCAGGAACAGTGGCTCGTATTTAACCTTTGACTGGAGCTGGCTGAGTGAGCACGCAAAATGGATGTTTACGAGCGTACGTAAGGCTGACAAAACCGAGGTCGGTAAAAGAGACGCTTCTCGGATTCCGCAAGCAGAATCTTGTTCTCTGCCGGGGAGGCTTGCAGGGAGGTGTCTTGTTGAACGCTTAAGCGGCGCGGTATCGCGGATCCGTGGAGTCTCCAGACTCAAGGAGAAAGCCGAGCAGGTTGCAAGATATGCAGAAATGAGGGTTAATCGCTTCGAGGAGGCCGCGACGGTGTCTCACATGCTGTAGAACCATCCAAGGAAAAGGGGAGGGAAGCAAAGGCTTTCGTTGGCGTCGCCGACAGAGACATCGCCATCATGTTTCGCTGGTTCCGGCCAACAAGCCCGCAAGGGAGTTGCGCTCGTACAGTATTCAGTATGGCGGCGACGCAGGTAACGCAATACTGGAAGTCAATGATGCCTGCACGACGTCGGGGCGATGTCTGTCTCATCGGATCTGAGATGGGATGGCCGCAGCCCACAGCAGTCCGCCAGTGCCGCCGAGGGGTGGAGTTGAACATCGTGGATCCCTGTCCGATGGGCCAAGAGCTTGTCAAGTTGCGAGGAGAGGGCAGAGCCCGGATGGCATGATGATACTCGTCACTTTTCCTCCTCGGTCCACTCCCGGGCGGCTTCACGGGGAACGGAAGGAGAATTTTTGCCAGAAGTGCCGTCTGCCAGGATGAGGAATGAGTTGGAAAGAAGCAGAAGTGATCGATCAACAGGGACACAGGCCGCATCAACGTGGGCTAATTCCTTGGGCTAGGTAGGTAGAGATGGGAGGCGACGAGACGTGTAATACGGAGTACTGTAACAGAGCAAATTCCCACAGGCAGCAATTAGGGCATTTTTGCGAGTCTGCGATTGGATCTTGTCTGTTGACAGAGGGTTCAGCCTGGCAATAGTCTATGATAGAGGCAGTGACGTGGATGCATCTCGTTCTGCGCTCTGTCCATTGAGAGACTGGAAAAGGCCCAGCTCACCAACAAAGGATGCTGCTGGTTCCGCCGTTTCTCTGCGTCTCGGGGGACTCGACTGGCCGGCCTCTCCATATTATGCCACGACATGCAAAGAGTGAGCACTGCGTGGCGGGACCCAGACCAAGGCAGGCGAAGGCGAAGGCGACTATGGATAGGTATGGATATCTGGTTTCTCGTGGTCAGACTGGCCGGTCGCGGCCGTGGTTGATATGCATCCGGACTTTGGCCCCAGCAAGATATGTGCGCCAAGGCAAGAAAAGCGCAGAAGCGACTCATTGCCCAACAAGAAGCCGTCCTGTCGTGCTTGTGCTCGTCGTGCATGCGCGTCCTATTCGTTCTCGAGAAGCCAAAATACTCTCGACCGTAACGTAGCAGCAGTTGTTTGCCGCAGCAGTACCCAAGCCGACGGGTCACTCTGTGAACGTGGGCTTTTCTCTGATTTAATTTTTTTTTCTTCTTCGCAGCTGATGATGGCTCTGGTGGAGAACGTCATGCAAAACAAGGATCGGATGCTGCGACTCTGTGCCAGCTCACCACCGCCTCGTGCTCGTTGCAGAGCCAGTGAGCGGCTGGCACACCCCTGCAAGCGATGAACGCTTGGATGAGACATGGCTTTTTTGTCTGCTGCTGCGCCAAAACCGGGCCAAGGCTGTTATAGCATGGTGCTGATGAGCACGATGTCATCCCTGCTGGTGCTGCTGCTGCGTGTTTCTCGTACGTGCAGCTGCATAACGTGGTGTTTCTTCCGTCGTCGCAGCTCGTCTGGGAAGTGTATGAGGCGGTTCGTGCTCCGAGGCTCCCGTCTGAAGCACCGTCGATGCCCGCTCCCATGCCCGTCTTGCCGCAGTGAGCGAGCGATTGATGCTGGAATCAATTACAGATCGTCCGAATCATCGCCTTCTACGGCGTTCCTTTGCTGCAGTGGGGGCGACCCTCGGAAGCACTTCTATTTTTTTCTTCAAGCTGCTGCCGGTGCCTTGAGCTTGACTGATGCAATCGATGGCCGGTCCCGCGCTAAGCCGCTAGCGCCCCTAAGCGGCCTAGCACCATCTCGCCGGGGCTAGAATACAGGGGCCGCATCCCTGCAATAGCAGTTGAGCAGCCACTGGCCAGCGCCTCTGCGGCGTGCTGCTAGGGGAAAAGGAAAATTGCACAGCGCCTGGCTAGGCTGCCCAGCCCCTACAGCAGCAGGCGCTAGGCCAAGCTAAGCACCAGAGCTCAGCAATTGCCTTTTCGGCACCCGACGCTTGAAATGGGAGAGCAGAACAGAGCCAGAGCCAGAGCAGAACCAGCACCAGCACCAGCACCAGAGCAACTCCGTCCTGGTCCAGCCCAGCAGCACGGAAACGTCTGTCGTGGCTTTTCGTGTCGTTCCTCCTGCTTCTCCCCTTCTCTTTTATACTTTCCATGAGCTTCGCCATTCCTCCCCACTCGTGTCCAGCCAAACTCGTACTTGTACGGTCCTAGCCCGGGCCTGGCACCATGGTGGCTGTCGAGTGATTTCATCTCATGGCTGCATTCGACTGCCAATACGCTCTGCCGTGATACCGCCATCGAGCCTCGACGGGCGTCCAGCAAGCTTCAAGCCTTGCAGGAACCACCGCACCAAGCAGTTACACGGCCGGGGAACACGAGGGCGGGCTCACCAGCCACTAGCCTGTGACGTCTCGGGCTGCCCTCTGGCTTTCTTGGAGGCTCGACGAGGAGATCCCGACTCGACTTGCCCGTGATTCGACGCTTTTTGCCTTTTATCTGCCGACAGACTGGACCTGGAATGGTGTGAGGGGAGGTGGATAGAGAAAAGGGAAAAGGGAAAGGGACATTAACTTTAGACTTTTCATGCTGTGGATGCTTCAGCCTGCATGAGGTGCTGATATACGAAATACACACTGCCTGATACACCACCCGGCGCTGATAGTATATAACCATCCGAGGCCTGTCTCGCCGTTGGGGGCCGCCTACAAGTACATATCCGGTCCGCCTTCACCACACAGCGTCTCCCTTCCGTTCCCCCCCTCCCCCCTTCTGCGGGCAGCTTCAACTCCACTCGGCAACGTCGATTCCCGCCTCCTGATGGCCGGCCCGAGGCCTCGATCAAACAGCGTCCGCAGGGCTCGCGGGCTTTCGATTGGAGAGGATGGCAGGCTGGCGCCGCTGCGGCGATGGGATGGTGCCAACAAAACGTGCAGGGACTGGGACGGGCTGCGAAGAGTGAGTCTGCATGGGTCCAATCGAATGAATTGCGCGGGCGGACGCCTGTGGTTGCGTGCGCCAATGGCGTGTGAACAAGAATCTAACCGTTGTGGCTGTTGCATGGCGATAGGACCCCGAGATATGGGAGAGAAACGGCAACTGCCTCGTCCACCTGTATGCCAAGGGCGACTCGAAGCGCGGGCCGTCCTTCAAGCTGCCCTTTGCGGCCCTGCTCTCCGCCGGCTGCCTTCCACTCATCGAAAAGTTCCTCGTGCTAGACAGCCTCGCGTCCAGGACGGCGGAGGAAATCGAGAGGTGGGATCAGCTGCATCCAAGGTCGACGGCTGAGCTGTACATCCCGGCCCCGCCGCATGCCACCGAGAAGCAGGCTCAGCTCTACCACTTGTCTTTCAGGAACCTATTTGCCTGGGTCCTGGGACGGCCAATGGTGGGTGGAAACCTGGGAAGCGCACTCGTGGCGCTTCTGGACTCCATGCGCGAGTTCAGGTCCTCTCGGGAGAGCAATGTGGATGACCTGCTCACTTACATGCGCCACGCTCATTACCTGAACATGGCCGAGGAGCCAGTCCACGCGGCCGCAGTCCTCCACCTGGCAGAAACATTTCAACTGAGTGACTTGTACAGGCGAGCCTTTGTCCACTGCGTCGGCATGCATGAGCGCCTGTTTTGCACTCCAGAGTACCAGGTAAGGGAGGAGCAGACCCCGTTGTCTCGAATTCTCTTGCAGGCTGGGCACTAATCTTGTCTCATGTGATAGCTCATCAGTGCGGCATCGCGAGCGCTCGTCCGCAGGGCGCGCTTGGAGATGAACGCCATGCTCCAGCAGACAGCCAACAGACTGAGGACCTTCCTCTACGAAGAGCTATCAGAAGCGAAGATGGGCATTCCAGCCGCGACCCGCGCTCACCTTGACAGGTTTCGAAGCTTCCTGCTGGCCTTTTACTCCGCCAAGTTTGGCCGCTACCCTCCCAGGTCCTTCAAAGCAGGCCTGCTCAACATCATGGCAGAGGATTTCGACGCCCTTTACGAGCTCCTGGTGGACAACAACTATACCGTTTCGGGCATCATGCCCCCTACGGCGGTCGGCGGTATCTGTACGGAGCAGCTTGTCCAGACGTTTGACGAGAACAACCAGTTCGAGCACTTGCCGCATCCCCTTCCGCTTCTGCCCCAACTCGAGTCTACCCACGACGGGCTCCGCTGCCTCTCCAAGCTGCCCTTTGTCGAGAAGTTGACCGCCGGACAGCGGCAAGACACGGTTGCGGCCCTCATTACGGCATCCAACTGGACCGAGAGGTGTTTCAGGAACGACCTCGTCCAGGCGTACCGCCGCTTCGAAGAGGACGCTGTCCTGTCACCTAGCAAGGCTGACAAGAGCGAGAGAATGTCCCTACTGGAGGCGCGCAAGGTGCGATGGGTTCTGATCTATGCGGTCCACCAAGTGCTGCGCTGTGCGACACAGAAACCGGCCGAGGCGCGGGACGAGGAGGCGTCTTATCATCTCGCAGTCTCGTTGAAGGGCACCCCTCCATGGGCGTCGACGCCTCACGAGGCGAAGCAGACGCTGCGCATCGAGACGGACATTGTTGCGAGCGACGACCTCGTGACCAAGCGGGTCATCAAGATCTCGGAAACTCCGGTGAGCAGGATAGAGATCAAGCCCGACATTGACTACTTTGCGTTGGCGCACAAGAGCCGCGATCCGTCCTTGTCCACCCTGTCGGACAATTCTTCACCGACCACGCTGTCCCGGTCTAGCTCGTTTTCCATCTGCCTGCGGCGCAACTCGACCATTCGCAGGTCGTTGCGGAGGTTTAGGAGGAGTTCCTCGTCGGCGTCACCAGCATCGACGACGCCGTCTTCGCCGGGACCAGCGAAGCCCTTGTACCACGAGATCGTCGTACAAGGCTATGGCAACGGGACACAGACCGTCACGGTCGAGCCAGACGAAGAGGCGCTGATGATGAAGGGAGCGCTGGCGGGCCGGAGCGATTCGACGGCGTCGACCCAGTCCAACGCGAGCGCGAGCTCCAACACGACCGCCTCGTCGGTGCCCGAGAGCATGAGCAGCACCATTGACACACTGTCGACGAGCGCTCTGTCCAGCCCCATGACGCCCACGACGGACGCCGCGTTGGAGCTCGAGATGATGCTCGCCAACTGGAGTCCGCTGGACAAGGAACCGGTTCGGCTGGATCTGCCGCGTTCGGCATCAGCCAGCGCCATTTCCGGCCAACTGGACGGCTTAGCGGCCGGGCTCCACAACCCCGGAGCATCCCGCACCAGCAAAGGACACATCAAGAGGAAGCGATGGAGCCTGGAGCCCACGCGGTCGGCGCCCTCGCCTGCCGCGCTGCAACGGCGGTACACGATGCTCGGAGATCTCCGACGAAAGAACTTTGGGCTCGAGGCCAAGCCCATTTCCGTCCGCATCCGTGAAAACAGCATCACCGAGGAGACGCGGGTTCCCGGGCGGAGGGATTCGGATGACTGGTCCCTGATGCTCGCTTTCATGGACGGGACGAACGGGGAGCCTGAAGAAGCCAAGACGAACGACGCATGGGCACAATACACAGAACTTGGAGGCCTTACCGCGATATGAGTCTAACACTTACTTTTGCATGCATATACTCTGGACGATTAGGAATAATGCATAATGAGGGATGGTGATGTTGAGGAAGGAAGAGCGGATAATGGACCGATTGTGTCCATTGGAGGAAAAGCATGCTTTGGAATTCTGCCACTATCCTTTTTTTTGTTCTCTTTTGTTTTCATGTTGTTGCATATTTGGTTGATACCCAGTGTCGGCAGACACGCTTACGATACCATTTTCTCTGGCTGTCACATTCATTTTGCGTTGGACATTCCTTTCTGTTACAAGTCCTGGGATATGGTACAAAAGACATAAAAAGGGGGTTAATAAAGGGTATATGAGGGCGCGCTTGTTCTTAGAGTACAAGTTTGAAAGAAATACATCACAAGAGCTACTCATTTGAACAGATGCAAAGCCGAGTGTCATTTCTCTTCGTATTCGTTGCGTTGCGGGCCATACATACAGACTCATATACACATATAACATACATGGACGTTTCCTTCTTGCTACCGACTTGTAGTAAACTACCTTAGTCGCTCTTTGAGCGTGAGGCGCGGTCGAGTCCGGCAACGAGGTCGCCGCCGATGGACCAGACCATGTAGGCCGAGCCGACGATCCAAGCGCCGCTTTTTGTTTCAAAAACATGTTAGCAGAGCTGCAATGGTGAGTTGATGAGGAGAGGGGGGGTTTGACTTTGACTTACTTGGGGATGATCCAGAGCAGGATGAGGTCCTCGAGGGAGTTGTGGCCGATGTTGTCGAAGCCACTGTAGTACTCGTTTGCCCCTGGTCTCAAGAGTCAGTTTTTATGCCCCACTGCAATTGGCATAATGAAATGCATCGTGTTGTTCTTACAGTACAGAATCGTCTTGCTCAGCGTCATGACGGCGGCACTGAAGCCGACGAGGGTGGCCCTGGCGCCGGCCCTCCCGCTGACGACCTTGTAGCCGGCGGAAGAGGAGCGCTTGCCGGCAAAGTACCAAGCGCCGAGGTACCAGAGGTAGAGGAGGGTCTCGATGGCGTTGAGGAAGCCCTGGGCGCTGGTGAAGCCGTTGCCGGCGCGGAAGGCCTTGAAGCCGTAGATGTGGTCGATCTCGCCGTAGAGCTTGTAGGGGGCCCAGAGGGGGTAGTGCCAGGCGCCGCCGGGCATGGAGTGGGGGCGGAGGAGGACGTAGCCGGTGTCCCAGATGACGAGGGGGAGGGAGATTGTGAGCCAGAGGAGGGTTGCCGTTGAGGGCGCGTGGGCGAAGGTTGATGAGGATGAGGAGCGTTTGGAGGAGGAGGAGGATTTGTTGGAGGTGCGTTTGGTGGAGGGGGTTTGGGGGAAGAGGGAGGTTGGTTCGACGCTGGCTGCGCGGGAGGAGGCGCGGGTGGTGACCATTTTGGAGGTGGTGATGATGATTTGGTTTTGTTTTGTTTTGGTGGTGTTGATGTGTGTTTTTTGGTGGTTGGTTGGTTGGTTGGTTGGTTTTTGAGGTGAGAGGAGGAGGGGATCGTGAGGAGGATTGATTGATTGAATTGAGGGTTTGGGTGGAAATGAGGGGGAGGGGGCAAAGTAGCGCGTTACTGCTTGAGCCTCGGGACGTTTTTTTTTTTTTTTTTTTTTTTGAGAACTCGTAGGGCGACGAATTCTCAATTGACTTTTTGCTTTGACACGAAAGTGACGCGAAAGATGTTGGAAGACAGAGAAAGAAGATGGTGAAGAAAGAGAAAAAACGGATTATTACTAAAAGTGTGTGTGAAGGAGTGTGTTTGTGTACCTACATGCAGAAAGAGGACAGCGATGCAACAAGGCGACTAAACGGACGAATCACAGTGAGGCAGCGCGGGAAGATGGTGTGGTGCTTGCTAAAGAAAAATAAAATTGGAGTCGTTTAACGGCTTGAGGGGGGTCAAAGTGGGATTCGGAGGTGTGTGTGTGTGTGTGTGGCAGTTGGTTGGGCTTGGAGCACCGGGGTTTGGGTGGTTGATGTTGACGGGGATCCGGGTTTGATGGGTTGGGGGTTTTGAAGGGAGTTGCTCCGGAGGCCGTGGCGTTTCGGGGGGGAATTTTGGGAGGTGAGGAGATGAGATGGGATGAGATGGGATGGGAGTTAATCTGGATGTAGGTACGAGGCAAGGGGGGAAAAGAAAGCTCGTGTATTGTATATCACGGGATTGACGCGATTGGCTTTTAAATCTCATGCTCTAGTGTCGTCGTATTCTCACATGCTGCTGACTGACACGAGGCCTTCTAGTAGTATTTGACGTAGAAGAACATTTCGAAGATGCTGCTCCCCCAGGCAATCATCAGCATCAACCCCCAAACGTGTCTCCTCCATTGTCCAGATACTCGCGCTCCTCCTCCGTCGTCTCCCTCCCCAGCACGCCGTTGCGGTGCGGATACCGCCCGAACCGCTGGAGAATGGCCCAGTGCCTCTCTTCAAAGCCGAGGTTGAGCTGCGCATACTCTCTCGCAGCATCAGGATTCATCTGCACGACCTTTTGCGCGGCGAGGCGGTATGTGTATTCATCATCTACATCGCTCTCCTCGTCATCCCCATTCGCCTTCTTATTCTTCTTCTTCTCAGAGGATGTCAGCAGCAGGCTTTCCACGTCCCTCGCGAGCAGCTGATATTTTGCCACCGCGAGCTCATGCAGTCGCGCGTCCTCGGAATGCATCAGCGGGACGTAGAACCACATCCGGCACGCAAAGCGCCAGCGCATCTCGGGCCAGCGGTCGGGGATGCCGCGGTCGAGGGCTGCGAGGGCGACGTCGCGCGCCATGGGGTCCCAGTAGGTGAAGACGGCAGAGGAGGACTCGCCGCGGAAGCAGTTGCGCGGGATCTGGTCGAGGAGGAGGACGAGGCTGAGCCAGTCGTGGCTGTCGGTGGGCTGGAGGGCGTAGACGATGTCGTGGCCGGAGGTGATGCCGCGGGAGCGGATGGCGGCGAGGGTCGGGCCGAAGCGTTCTCTTTTCGGGGGGAGAGGAGGCCATTGTCAGGGACGGGGGGTGATGGTGTTGATGATGGAGGATTTATGGAGGAGAGGTGAGTTGAATGAGAGGACTTACACGCAGTGCTTGTCGAATTCGGGACCGCCAAAGAACCAGCGCTTGTTGTCCTCGGTGCTGGGTATGATGAAGGCGTCTGGGCCGGAGAGGTGTTCGAACCAGAACTCGCGGACGCTCAGCAGGACTTCTGGCGTGAGGATGAGGGAGATGCAAGCCATCTTGTCCTTGGAGGTGGCGGGTGAGGGATCCGTTGATGGAGGTTGGTGGTGGTGGTGATGATGACTGCTGTGAGTGAAGGCCCTGGGACTCGACTGCGGCTTCCAAGATCTCCAAGCTGGCTGATGAAGTCCTTGAACAGTTTGACCACTGTATGTTATTCTGCTTGACTGGTGAAGTGCATGTGCAGAAGCTGTGCGATGCTTTAGTCTTAAAACGACTTTCACAGCTTGAACTTGCACAGATGGTTGAAGGGTTACGCACCTCGACAGCGGGACAGCGGCCGCGGGCTGTAGCTGGACAGCAAAGCCGGCGGTGCTTTCAATGACAGACCCCTTTGCATTTTATGCAATCGAACTCGAAGGATGCCACGTCTTGGAAATAAGGATGAATTTATATACAAGAAATATATATGACTCCAAGAATTGCCGTCTCAGCTCGGGGTCCAATTGGAGCTGCTAGCCTGCCGATTCTAGCATGGACGTCACTTCGCGCTTGGCCAAGGCCGAAAGGCCGAATTCGACACACCCGACTACTACTATAAAAGACTTGTCTTACCTTCAATATTATTCATCATTGCCATACGCTTACAAAACCATCAATCATCTTCCATGGTCCAAACGGCACTAGTAGTAGTAGTATTATAGACCTGACAAGCAAGACATCTGACTTGCGAAGCTGGAATTTGATTGTGAAAAAAACAATACCGAAACAGAACAAAACAAAACAAAACTGAGAAACATACACTCTGACGGCAAGACATGGCATTATACGTCGTCGTCGTCGGACGATTTATCTTCGTGGCGGTACGATAGAACGCTTATAGGCGTGCGCTTGGCGTTAAACACTGCACGTCCCTCGTCAGCATCTTCACTTACTCACTCTTATATCCAAGTCCTAGATTTTTTCCCAAAACTCACAAATGTCCATTTCTTCCAGCGACAGGCCCTTGGTTTCCTTGATAAAGAACCAGGTGTACAGCACCAGCGCCCAGTTGAAGCAGCAGAACATGAGAAAGGCCTTCCAGCCGAGGTTGTTGACTGCCGCCGGCGTGACTTGGCTGAGGGTGAAGCCAAAGAGCCACTGGGTCGCTGCGCCGACGGCGATGCCTCCTTCGCGGACTCTTGTGGGGAAGATTTCGCTCATGTAGAGCTGTTGTTTCTCATGTGGTAAGCATCTCTTCTTACCAGGTTCGAGAAGAGTTTGATAAGACTTACCCATGGGATGGGACCCCAGGAGATGTTAAACGTCACTGCATTTGGTTCATATCAGCAACTCACAACTCCGAGATCCAACGGAAGGAATCACTTCGAGATGATTCAGAGGGGAGAAGAGACGCACTCGCTTCGAGAAAAATCATCGTCAACGACGCAATCGCCGGCGGCGTCAACCTCCCTCCATCGACGGGCGGCGGATATCTCTGCGTGAGCACGCTGATGATGAACATGTAGGCGCCCATGAGGAACGAGCCGGCGAGCAGCGACCAGCGGCGGCCGATGCGCTCGACGAGGAAGAGCAGGAAGAAGGCGCAGCTGACGACCTTGCAGACGCCGAAGAAGCCGCTGAGCAGGAGGGCGTTTTGGCCGGCGCCGACGGCTTGGAAGACTTGGGGGGAGACTGCGCGGGCGGGCCGGCGGGCGTGTTAGTCGATTTTGATGTACCAGATGAGATGATGTTGGACGGGGGGGGGGGGGGAGATGGCGGAAGAAAGATGAAGGAGGGATGAAAAGAAAGAAAGGTCAGATGAGGAGGCATGGGGGTCATGTTTGCGTACAGTAGGCCAGGGATGTGTTTCCCGTCAACTGCGCTCCTAGAATCTCCCGAGTCAGCAGAGACCTTTGCATCGAACAACACAAGGGGAAAGCAAGCAAGCAAGCAAGCAAGCAAGCATCAACACACCAATTTGCAGCGTCACCGCCAAAAAGATGCGATGCCGATTCGCCGGCAACCAGTATTCCTTCCACGAGAAGCCGGCCGTCAGCCTCTCCTCCTCCTCGATGCCGGCCACAATCTCGCGAAACTCCATCCGCACCTCGAGCCGGTCCCCCCCGCGGACCCAGATGAGCGACTCGAGCGCTTCCTCGTGCCGATCGTGCTGGGCGAGCCACCGCGTGCTCTCCCTGGTCAGCAGCATGCCCAGGCCCAGGATGCCGCCGGGCACGAGCTGCAGGGCGACGGGGACGCGCCACTGCCGGGTCGTCGACGGGGCCATGTGCTGCGCGGCGCCGTAGTCGACCCAGTAGCTGGCGGAGACGCCGAGGGTGAAGAAGAACTGGAAGAGGGAGCCGAGCTGGCCGCGGATCTCCTTGGGGGCCATCTCGGCCGAGTACATGGGGATGATGACGGTTGCGACGCCTGCCCGGGTACAGCAATCGTGTCAGTCTCTGTCTCGTATACCCGGGGTACTAGATACTGTGATGAGACGGGATATATATATATATATGGTCGTTTGTTACCTGCTCCGATGCCGGATATCGTCCGGCCGGCGTACCACGTTGCGATGCCGTGTTGATAAAAGAGCTGCAGCACGGCACCGATGTTGAAGATGAGCGAGGCCGCCGCCAGCGCCCATCGGCGGCCATACCGCGCAGTAAACGGCCACACGAACAAGCACGAGAAGAAGGCTATGACAAGTAAAAGTGAGTACCCGTTTATCGATCAGCAGAAAAACCAACCACAACCGATGAAGATTGTGTCATGGGCAAGTTAGAATTTACCTCCCGCCTGCAGCAGGCTGGCCGACAGCGAGGCGACGTTCTCCTTCTCGCGCTCGCTAAAGCCCATGTCCCGCTGGAAGGACTGCAGCGTCAGGACGCCGCCGACGATGCCCGTGTCGTAGGCGAAGAGGAAGGAGCCGACACATGACAGGGCGACGAGGTACGTGGCCCTCCATGTGCCGAGGCGCGTCATGATGGGGTTTGGGCGAGGGTTTTCATGGGTGGAGGGGAGGGGGGTTGGTGGTTTGGTGTAGTGATGTTAGAGGATGGAGGAGGTGGCTGTCTGATACATTTGGTGCATGTAAATGGGGGGAGATGCAGATACGAAAGTGATGATGAGATAGATGTGCGATGAAGAGTGGGAAATGTAAGGGTTGATGAAGCTCCCTTGGCGGGTTTGATGGAAGATGATTGTGAGGTTCGGTCTCGAGGTGAGGCGATTTACGTATGGACGGGCTTTGCGAACAGAACAGGTCTGATTTTGACGTAATCGGGGCTGAGCTGCTGCATTTGCACTGCACTACCTACCCATCTACGTGCAGACGGAGTGCTGTACATGTCCGTCTACCGTACATACCTACTAATAGCCAATTCATCCGGGAGCATACATGATAGTCATGCTATCTATCATTCACTATCCTCCGGTCTGAGCTATTCCCTATCTATGGTGTGACCGGCCATGCAAGCACACCACAGCGTATATCACCCTTCCATTAATGCATTCTCTTCGATCCAAGACCATTTTCCCCCGGCTCACGAGGCAAGGGAACAAGGGCTGGCTGCGGGGAAGTGCTAGCTTCGTGCGGAGACGGGGGATATATAGTATGTCGTGTGCAGTATGTGATATTTATCCGTAGTATCGTGTCAAGGATTTACTCCAGATTTCCTGTTTAGGGGAGGTGGATTATTACAGTTGGTGCTGAACCAGTGTTAGTTTCCTCGTTGGAATCGAGATTGTTGGCCTTGTCAAGGCTATAGAGGATAATATAGCTCATGCTATTATGTATCTTGTTTAAGAGTCTGAGATGGACAGTTGGAGGATGGCATTAGATGTTGTATGTGTGGCTTGTGGTGGCGGGGGAGGAGTCTGGGGTCAATTACATGTGGGTAGCTTCTGGGGGAGGAGGGTCGGCTATGGTGGGAAGCTATTGATATGAGGCGTTGAGCCCTCTTGACAAGAACATAGACTAGGATGAATTGACTTTTTGGGTAGTTTCGCGGCGTTCATTGTTGGATTTATAGAACTTTGGTGGTATTTGCGAGGATTTGCTTAGTTGGTGTAAGTATTGACAAACGGTAGGCAGGCAGGCAGAGGTCAAATAGGCTGGACATCACCCAGGCTCAAACATGAGTGAATTCTTGCCTTTGCATATAGTAGACAATCAAGTTGCCTACAAACAGAAAGCTTGAACAGTTCGGTGAATGGCGAGAAATCCTTGCGAGCGTTTCATCAGACGGAAAGATCTCATCTATGCATATGCCGCATCATGTCTGCTCTTCAGACCTCATACCTCGTCCGCTGCAACAAGCGACGGCGCCACCTGCAGGCTTCCCTCGCTCAGGCCGCCACGAAAGGGCTTCACTTGGGAGACGCAACAGAAGAGAAGCATCACGTCTTGTGGCTGTTAAATCGGTTGCAAAGGTCAACTCGAGAAGAAACGCAGTTTCGCGCTGAGTCTACGGACATGTATATCTTGCCCCATGGCATCTCATCTATTTTCATTGCAATGACAATCAGCTCCATACCCCTTCATTCCTCTCAAAGCTCGTCGATTCCAACCCTAGACTACAATTGAGATACTCCCATCGTCTGCTTCAATCACTTCGTTCGCCCAAACGTTGAGAGCCTCACCATGGCCCGCAATCAACTCTTCAGCCACCGGTCAAGTCGCTCCAGCCGTCACAGCTCTAGACCGAAAAAGACGTGTAACGCCCCTGATTGCCATCGAGAGCGAATATCCAAGTATCATGATGGCGAGACAAAGAACTCAAAGTTCTGCCACAGGCGTAATTCACTCCTTTTCTTTCTATTCATCTTGGAATAAATATTCATCATCTGACGCTATTGCAGATTGTTGCTCGCTGAGCCCCAGCTTGGGCCTGTGCTGTGCGGAAAAGAGGTCTTCGGATGCCTTTTGCCATGAACGTGTGTTATTCAGTCTAAGCACTTCTTACAAATTACAGATTAGCTGACAATGTATAGATTCGACGTGTGTCGTTGAAGGCTGCAAGTCACGCATCGATCGATCCTCCTCCAGGCGACTCTGCCTCCGACGTATGCACCCTTTCAAGTCCACCATATCCCCCCTCCCTTCACCTCTCTTACTTAGGGTTTTACTGTAGACAAATGCCATATCCAAAATTGCGACAACCGAGTCGACGCTCCGTCCTACAATTTCTGCTGGGAACATGATCGAGCCGTCCTTGATAGCTTCCGGCTTACTCACATTCTGCCCGTTGCGGTGTACGCTACGCCTACGCCTTCGCCTTCGCCTCCGCCTTCTTCTCCTCGGAATACAGTGAGACAGGAACTGGTAGAGAGCATCGTGTCTTCCGTGGAATCTTCGGCTGTTTCTCCCACAAGCACCGCTCCGAGTGTGAAGGATGAGCCTGTTCAAGACGTTGCCGTCAATGAGACTACACCTGTTCTAGTGGATCGAAAATCGGAGGTGAAGGCCGAGATTGCTAGTCCAGTAATACAAGACAAATCTCAATCATTCAAGGAGGAGGAAAGTCTGCCGGCATTCTTCTCAGGAGTGGGCGTTGGGCTTTGTATTCTGCTGCAGATCATCTACGCTCTTGTACAGCTGCTGCTGGAACTCGTGCGAGGGGGTAAAAGGGGGTGGTAAATGGTAGAAGAGGAGGATTCGGAAGACGGATGATGCAAGAGATCAAAGAGATGGAATACTATGATTGAATCTGCGGGTGTAAGGTACATGTAGTATCATGGGGAAACGGTAATCTGCGAAGCTATCTACGTATCTATGGCTCTCAAGTAACCTGACAAGAAATTACGCAACCGAACAGCGATGAAAAGACCATCATGCAATGAACAGATCAGCTTGATCCGTACAAAAGTTCATAATATGCCTCGAGCATATGTCTCAACGAGCGAAACGTCAATCCCTCCCCAATATTCTCCACCAGCTTGGCCTCGTCCCGGATCTCAATCATCAACGCCGCGTCCGAGAGATACTTTGGATTCACACCAGCATTCGGTCCGTACGCAAGCAGCTCGATGTATTCTCCCTTTGGCGACGGATCCTGCGAATAAAGCGTAGCCTCCCACTGCGGCGGCCGAGAAAAGGTCGGGGGCAGGATGACGACGATGCCGAGCTCGTCTACAATGTCGATGCTGAGGGCCGTGTGAAGCGTCTCGATGAGGGACTCTGTGAGGATCAGAGAGCGAGGAGGGTAGTCCTTGTCGCCAAAGTAGTCGTGGGTCGGGGAGGGAGGGCCGTGGGGGCAGTCTTCGGGGTAGAAGAGCGGGGAACTGGGACCGGAACGGGGGACGTAGGAGGCGTAGGCGCTGCGTTTGAGGCCGATTAGTTGGATGCTCTGGAAGGGGCGGGGGTCGACGGGGATGAGGGGGCTGGGGAGTGCGAGCTCTGAGATGTCGGAGTAGGGGAGGGTTGAGCTGGGGCCTTGGGAGACGGGGTAGGGAGGGATGGAGGAGGTGGTGCGTTGGGGTTGGTTGTTGGAGGGGAGGCGGGAGGGGCTTGGGCTGCGGGAGACGGGGTAGGGAGGAGTTGTGTAAGGCATCCTGGAGAGGATTTTGGTAGGGATATAATAGGGCTTGGTAGGATGTTGTGTTTGAGAGTGTTTGAGGTGGTAGTTTGTTGTGGATTTGTGAGTAGTTGATTGAGTTGAAGGAACTGGACATCTTCATCGACTTATACGCAACGAGGGACTTGCAGTTGACACGAGGATGAGATGAACGCTCTGTTGTTCATCAAGGTTGAGCACTTGCTGGTTGAGTTCATTCTGGTCTCTTGTCCTCATGAGAAACACTCTTTATATGTTATGGAGGTCGAACCTGAACGTGCTCGACAGTTTACAGACGACCTTCTGAACAAGCCAATAGTCTAGGATGCTCTGAAAAGGGAACAAAGAACATTCCTCACACAGGGAGAGAATGGTTTCCTTGACAATTGCCATCCAGCCAACTGCAAGTAACCAAGTCTACCTCTGTTGTTCGACTGCAGAGCATCGTGAAGGCTTTCGATCGCTGGCTGCATGTGTAGCGAATCGCCGTCGACTGAGCCCTGTAGAAATAGCAAGCGATATATGGTCAAATTGAGGTCTTTTGGGCTTCGCTCAGGGGTTTCATTTCGTTCACACTTCTGACTCTTAGATCGCTATAGCAAACGTTTGTTTGATCCATACAACTATCATAAAACAACTCCCTTTAAGCCACACACAGCAATTCTCCGAAACTCAATTCAACAACACAAACTACCCCCGAGCCGAGACCAAGCGAGGCGTCAAGTCCCTCAAGCTACCCCAAAGCTTCATCACCACTAGCACCATATTCCTAAGTTCTCCTCACAAAATCAGCCAGTTTCTCCAAACAGTCACCAAGCCTGTGGTCTTTCAACCACGTAATAAACAGCAGCAGTTCCACATCAGTCCATCCCATGACGTCTTGCACGCCCAGCTAAAAGGCTTCCGGGGCCACTGCCTATATTTAGACGTCAGCCCACGTTAGCCCGATCCCGCCTCTGTGGGAATCTGCGAACAAACCTGTCTACCAACGCACGCCTACGCCGTATCAATCCATCCTACGTCTACACCTGGCCGTTCCACACCTTTCCACACCGAGGTGTGCTTTTGCTGTAGATCCGGAGCTCTAATCATGCGGTCCACGCAAGCCCTCTCGGACCCGATACTGTCTCCTTCTCCGTTGTTTGTCCTAGGGTGTACGAGTACAGTTGATGCGGCCGTTGTCGGCTTCACCATGGCAACGTACGAGTCGTATCATGCACGTTTCCTCGATAATGCTCCAGTGTGTCCTCTTGGCAATGGCGGGGGCTGTGGATTGTCTTCATGTATTACTGTACGGCAACGTCTTATCATCATGTATGGATGTATGTACGTGTGCACATATGTGGGCATGTACTTGAGCGACTGCCCCCATTGTGCGGTGTATGTACAAGCATGGCTTTTGGTGATTGTTTTGATCATGTCATGTACGTGCGTGTCGGACGACATGCATACTACTTAGACAACGAGTTGCCCGGCACCCTGATTGCTTGCTAGGTATGAGACGGGCTGTGCTGGTTGGCGATGGTGACACGGCAGGTTGCGGTGGCGCGGGAATGCCGACACAATGCAAGAAGCAAATGCTTCGATGGTTTTTCTTCGTGTTGCATCTTTCTGCATCTCCATCATGGCTCATTCATACTGGCAGTACATACTACAAGCAACCCTACTTTTATGAACTCTAGCTGATGGAATTATGTATGCCTCAGACTTCATAAAGAAAAATAAAGGGCCCGTGATGCCCGGAGATCAGCGGCTTGCATGTCATGTCTTACACAAACACGCACGCAGACCGAGCGAAAGTCGGTGATGTCAAACCCGCGATCCACACGGCATGACATCAGAAGGGGTCCGACCCTCGCATCAAGCACCCGTAAAAGAGAAGCCAAAAAAAGAAATCTAGAAAATAGAAAAATAGAAAAAAATAGAAGCAGAAACACCGCCTTCTGGAGCAACAGGATTCCAGTGGAAAGAAAATGCAACCCCTGGATCGTATTCAGAGTTGCCACCGACGATGTCCGGAATACGCATGTCTACAGCACACAGCACAGCAGAAGACTCCATTCTTCTACATACTACATACATACACCAAAAAAGAGGGACTGCGGCACTGCAGCGAAGGAAGCAAAAGGCGAGGGTCCGACAGTTCTAGTGGAGCTGCATTGCATGTAAGAAGAGAGACACACACACAGCATTCAAGAGAGAGACGGAGAGCGAGGCTCGCTTCGCCCAACCTCGTGAATTTTAACCCTGGTTCTCTTGGTTGACTGTGGGGAGTTTTTTCTCAGAAGCAAGCATCCATCATTGGACAGGAAAAGCTGGAGAACTGGATGATCGGCGGAGCTGTTTTTGGACTCGAACTCTATCAGAAAAGAAGAATGACTGACGAAGGGAGGCCGGAGCTGGGGAGTTGATCACGCGGGAACGGCGTCTTGCCTGCGCACTGTGGCTGCCCTTGGGCGCAAGTATCCGTATCTTGATTTCTTGGGAGTTAAGCAATGCTTTATCAAGTTTGAATACCTTGGTCTATGGATCGTACAGTGCGGCTGTTGAAGCGCAGGGCAACCAGAAAAGCAAGACAAGACACACAAGACGGCGATTCGTATCCGGGAGGAACACTGCAGCTTTGCTTGCTTTGCTTGCCTGCCTCGTTCTGCGCCTCCACAGCACTATCTTTGGGGAATCCTGCTGTTGGTGCATTTTCTTTGTAATTGTACCCCTAATGCTGTGTTCATTCTTTTTTTGGGATGAATCTTGCCTTGTCGTCATGAATCGGCTTTTTGATGGGGTCTGAAGAAAGTATAAAGAGGAGAGCTGAGAACCCTTGAGTTTTGGCTCTATCTGACAGCTCAGACTCATCAGCAAACACTATTACATACAACAACAACTACTACTATCCAACGACTATCACCTCAACTCTCTCAGCCAACCTCTCTTCATCTTCTCCTCTTCATTATTATCAACTCTTCACAAAACAATCCGAAAAAAATGCAATTCCTCACCCTCCTCGCCGCCGCCTCGGCCCTCCTCACCTCTACCAACGCCCTCTTCATCCCCCGCAACGCCCACGTCGCCGACTTCCGCCTCTACAGTGCCGAGGGCTGCCACGACGGCAACCTCGGCGTCTGGACCGTCATTGACGACGACTTTGCCAACGGCGAGTGCAAGGGCCTCAACGGCGCGGAGCCGCTGTCGCTGAGCCTGACGGACATTAACAACGGCTGCACCTGTAAGAACAACCTATCTTTGGAATCTCACGAGTCAGAATCTCTTTGTATGTATGGCTAACGTTCAATGTGATACAAAAGTCACGGCTTATACCGACGACAAGTGCACCGCTGGCGAAACGAACCTCGCTACGGGCCAGTGCTTCAACAGCGCCGACGGCTGGAAAGCCTGGAGCATGAAGTGCGACTAACAAGGACTAAGGAATCCTAAGGATCAAAAAAGTCGGGGCTCCATACTCGCCTCCTTTTTCCTTGCATTGATCCATCGATCCATCGTTGCATCCTTCAGTTTTGTCTGCTTCACCGCAAGTCTGCCGGCATTGGAGAACCTTGTTTGGGTTTTCTATCATTTTTTTTTTCTCTCTTTTTATTCTTATTTCGCTTTGATTCATTCCTTACAATGGTGGAGTTCTTTGGTGGGATTTCAGGGTTCACTGGACTGATTCCGGGCATCGATACGCAAACGCGCGTAGACGCATTATGACGGCATTTTGGGAGACAAGGGGGGGAGCACTCTCGGGCACTCAATGGATGATATCTATGGCGAGGCGAGGCAAGGCAATGATTTTTATGACACGGTCCTTTTTTATGATGATGCATTACACATGTATACAGACAGCAGCATATACATTACGAACGATGATGGTGGTGATGGTGGTGGTGGTGGTAATAGTTTATGTAATTAAGAGCAACAGCGCCAGCGAGGCAAAAAGAATACGCATCCATTTGCGATAGATACCTGTGTCTAGTATTTCATGCAAACCACATGATAACATGGCATGACCGCCTTTGAATGTCTAGGACCCGATACTCCGGCAACGGTGTATGATAATGAATGAAAGGCTTGGCTGATCATGACATGATTGCGTCTGTGTCTGCCTTATGCTGTACACCCCCAACACGATGTTCTCGGTGAAGAATCAGTGTGTAGGCTAGTTGGACTCTTAGCAGCAAAGAAAAGCGAATAGTATGTTGTGTGAAGCAGCTTATGCACTGCTGCGCATGCGAATGGTCAGATGACGTTGAGTTGGATGGGTGCTTGTTCAGAGGTGAACGGTGATGGGAATACTTGTTCGAGTGTGATTCAAGGGTGTATATCCACCATGGCTGATGTCTCCATATGTATGCAGTGTTCATTCACGACAAGATTTGAACGAGGTAAAACCTCTCGTATTCTTACAAGGCAAAGTAGTAATGTGTTCAAACTACAATCAAGTAGTCTTCATGCTCGTTAAGATTCCAGGCAGTCGCAGTTTGTTCACTCAACGACCACGTACACGCTCGACATATTCGCTCAAGGGGGTTATGACAACGCCTCAACTCATGTCTTCAATCCACATTCATCCCCCTCTCTTCATTGCTCTAGCCTTGACCGCACCTACTCAATCTTGACGCAAACCTTGGCAAAGTGCTTGCCCGACCACTGGTACTCGTACGCCTCCTTGAGCTCCTCCAGCTTAAAGACCTTGTGGTCCACGACCGGCCGCAGCGCCTCGGGGTGCGCCTCGATCGCCTCGAGCATCTCCTCCATCTGCGTCCTGCTGCCGACGAGGATGCCCCTGGCGGTGAAGAGGTTGCTCAGGCACTGCAGGAAGCCGGGCTCCTTGTCGGCGGTGCCGCCGACGAAGCCGATGATGTCAATGATGCCGTCCATCTTGACCGCGGCGATGCTCTGCTCCATCTCCTTGGCGCCGGCGACCTGGATGACGTGGTCGACGCCGCGGCCGCCCGTCAGGCCCTTGGCCGTCTGGCCCCAGCTGGGGTCCTCCTTGTAGTTGAGGACGTGGTCGGCGCCGAGCTTCTTGAGCAGCGGCACCTTGTCCGGCGAGCCCGTGGTGGCAATGACCTTTGCGCCGACGGCCTTTGCAAACTGCAGCGCAAAGATGCTGACGCCGCCGGTGCCCTGGACCAGCACCCAGTGGCCGGCGCGCACGACGTGGTCGGCCGAGCCGAAGAGGGCGTTCCACGCCGTCAGGCCGGCGCAGGTGAGCGTCGCCGCCTCGACGGGCGTCAGGTGGGACGGGCAGCGCACCAGGGCCTCCTCGCTGAAGGCGCCGTAGTTGCGGAACGTGCCGTCCAGCACGCCGCCGGTGCCGGTGGCGACGCTCCGGGGGGTCAGGCTGCCGCCCAGGTGGCCCTGGTTGAAGAGCGTGATGACCCTGTCGCCGGGCCTGAAGCGGGTGACGTGCTTGCCGACGGAGACGACGGTGCCAGCACCATCAGATCCGGGGATGACGTTGGGGGCCACGCCAAAGGGGTATTCGCCCCTGGCGATGATGAGGTCGCGGTACTGTTCAGGGTCTGGTTAGTGACTTTTTGTCTCATATGATAAGAGCGTGAGACTGCCGGTCAACCCACGTTGAGAGATGCGCCCTCGACTGCAATGTCCGTGTTAGCACTTAGAACATGGGATGATGGCGGATAGCTTTGACATTAAGACTCACGCTTCACCAAGACCTGGCTGTCGCCAAGCTCAGGCAGAGGCTGCTCGGAGAACTTGAGGCCATCGAAGCCGTTGTGAGAAACCACGTTCCACTGCTTGACGGTCTGGGGTACTGCGATGGAGCCCATGGTGATGTGATGTGTTGTGATGTAGTGTGGGAGATGTTGATGCGGATTCGGGATTGAAACGGGGTATCAGCGTGCAATGTTTCGTCTGTTAACCAGCAACGAACGAATCTTTGAAGAGATTCAGAGTAAGAGAGAGAGTCAAAGAGATGTCTGAGCGTAATAAGAAGAGCGATAAAGTTGGTTCAAGTTGACTTGTTCAGGGGGGAAAACTGGGGGTCGTGGCCCGATATATGTTCTTGTCTGCATCCAGCTTCGTGGCATTTCCTTTGGTTTCCGTTTGACTCGCACATCCTGGCAGAGAGGCTGCAGTTCCACCTTTCTTGTCGTTGACGCCAAAAAAAGTAGGTCCATTTTGCCATCGGATTTGTAAGTTGCAACCTTGAGGGAGCACCTCCACGTTGATGCGGTCCACAAGTCGGCTGTTGGAGCCGAAGACGCCTTCTATCGCCATGATGAACGCACTTTGGCTGTTGGTGGGTTGACTTGACATGTCACACACGTCATGCGAAGGCCGCCGAAACCACGTCGAAACAGGTCGATGCGCAATCACACCAGACAAAGTGCGATTTCATGATACATACATAGCTGGAGACTTTGCATCTTTTTTGAATCGAATCTGTGGAGGGACCCACGGCTGCGGAACTTCCCGAGGTGCAGTATGTACATACGGCAAAACGTCAGTCGAGAAAGAGACTCTAGTGACGATGTCGCAGAGTCGCTTGCCATTGACGGGAGTTGAGGCAGGGACCATTCAGGCTCTATTGGTGGCCTATAGAAAGTGATCGAAACAGTGCAACTGGTGTCCTACCAATGGCTGGCTTGAAAAATTCCCAAAGGAGGAGTTGGTTGCTCTTTCGGGCAAAGATTCTGATTGGGGATTTTGCCAGTTAGTAGGAGACGAGGCGCGGGATTGGAGGCGATTCCGAGCAAGATCCGACGCCACCACCTGGGGATGAAGCCATACGAGTACTTGATATGCATCGTGGCTCGAGTTGATGCTGATAGCAGCTGATTTGATATGCGAAGTCCTTTGTTTTTCATGTTTTCTACGTTGAAAGTTTCATCGACGGTGTCAGATTGAGACTCTGTCAACATGAAGTTGTCGAGATTGTCAGATAGAGTGCTGACTTGAGATTCGGCTCCCTATGCGATTAAGCGAGCATCCCTCTCCCGGGGTACAGGTAGTAAGCCCACATAATCCCGAGATAGCTACACAGCCATTAAAGCTTCAACGTGGCAGAAACCGCTGAACTTGGGTCTCTACCCAGACAAGTCGGCGGCTGTGCAGTCCTTTGCTCATCAAACCATCCGTAAAAAAGCCTCTTTTACTGCTGCTTTTAAAACAAGTCATCACCAGTAAATGACACGTATGAGGCGGCCTCATCAGGACACTTGTCCATGAGTTTCTGTGACTTAAGAAGAGAGATGCTAGACGCCGGATGAGCCAGGAATCAATGTAAAAAGAAGACAGAACAGCAACTTCCTAGAGACAATCACACTCCTGTCATCTTGTAAGCCAGCGTCTGAAGCTTCTCATACCAACCCGCACACGCACCCATATCGTATCTCCGCAGCCCGCTGACATCTCTACCGCCTCGCCACGCAGCCTCATATCAATATACCCGCTCCTTTCCCAAGCATGGCCCAGATCCTGGTCCAAGACTCTCTCCAGCCTCCCCCCCAGCCGGCAGTGGGACCCTTGCCGGTGCCGCGGCCGCCGCTGTCCCGGATCCCGTCGAGCCCCGGCCCCGGCTCCGGACCGGCGGCGGCGGCGGCGGCGGCCAGGACGGGCATCGTCGTCTTCTCGGGCGGCAGCGCGGCCAACAGCCTCGTCGACGTGTTTGAGGGCGTGCGGCGGGCCAGCGCGGCGACGCTGAGCTACGTGATTCCCATCTCGGACAATGGCGGCAGCACGAGCGAGATTATCCGCGTCTTTGGAGGGCCAGGTGAGTTGGCGTTCTTCTTTGACGTTGCTGTCTTTCACATCCCTCTTGTCCCTCATATCACTCACACATTCCAAACTCTCAAAAAACCAGGCATCGGAGACGTCCGCTCCCGCCTCGTCCGCCTCATCCCAGCAGACAACAAGCCCGAGACGGCCGCCATCAAGCACCTCCTCAACCACCGCCTCCCGCCTTCCTACGACGCCGCCCGCGCCGAGTGGTTCGACATCCTCGAGGGCACGCACGCGCTGTGGCGCGACGTTCCCTCGCCCAAGCGCGAGCTCGTCCGGTCCTTCTTCAACAGCTTCAACCTCGAGGTGGTGAAGCGCGTGCGGCCGACCAGCCGCTTCGACTACTCGGGCTCCAGCATCGGCAACCTGTTCCTGACGGGCGCGCGCCTCTTCACCGGCAGCTTCGAGGCCGCCATCTGCCTGCTGAGCTCCATCTGCGCGGTGCCGGACCGCGTCGCCGTGCTGCCGGCGCTCAACACCAACTTTGCGCACCACATCGCCGCGGGCCTCGTCGACGGCACCGTCATCACGGGCCAGAACGACATCTCGCACCCCAGCGCCCCGACGGCCGCCGTCCCGCTGCCGGGCCGCAGCAGCGGTACCACTCCTGGAACGCACACGCCGGCGCTGTCGACGGGCCATGACCTCGACGACGACGATCACGACAACAACGAGCACGACGAGGATGAAGAAGTCGAAGTCGAAGACGCCAACCTCCCCGGCAGCCTGCCCGCGCTGCGCCGCCCGGCCATTGCCGTGTCCAAGCAGGACGAGGAGGACCTGCCCTGCCGCATCGACCGCATCTGGTACATCAACCCGTACGGCCAGGAGATGCGGCTGCCCGCGAACCCGCGCGTGCTCGACGCCCTGCGCGGCGCGCACACCGTCGTCTACAGCATCGGCTCGCTCTTCACGTCGCTCGTGCCCAGCCTGGTGCTCAAGGGCGTCGGCGAGGCCGTCGCCAGCCCGCTGATCCGCAACAAGATCCTGCTGCTCAACGGCACGATTGATCGCGAGACGGGCCCGTCGAGCGACCCCTTTTCCGGGCTCGACTTTGTCGCGACGATTGCGAATGCGTGCGCCGACTCGAGGGGCTTGCCGCGCCCGAGCAGGGCCGAGTATGCGCTATATGTGACGCATGTGATTTACATTGAGGGCCCCACGAGTCCCGTCGTCGATAGGCAGGCCTTTGCGCAGCTGGGGATTGACACGACGAGGCTGTATGGGCCAAAGGACGGGCAGGGCAAGGGGGGTCGGTACGATGCGAAAGCGTTGGAGCAGACGCTGGAGAGCATCATTGGGCGCAAGGACACGCGGCCGGACAAGCTCCGCCGGAACACGCTGGTGGGATGACTGCAGAGATGTATATAGGAATTAGATGAATCTGTATTGTGTGACGTTCACAAGCACAAGGTAGAGAGACAAGATGTAAAAAAAAAAAAGGATGTATCTGCCAGCGAACGGCACGGTATCAAACCTATACCAGCACTCCTCCGTTTCTCCCCCCTTTAAATAACCTCCCAGAATACCAGCCAACTTCCTCCCCTCGCCACCAAGTCCAACAACCGACAAAACCATGTGCTCTCTCTCATTCTCAGTTTCCCTCCCCCCCAACTCTCTTTCTTCCCCTTCCCATTTCCTCCTCCCCCCCCTCCTCTCATCTTCCAACAAATCATACCCTTTTACAACATCACGACCTCGCCATCGCCAGATACACCACCACGGCAGGCCACGCCGCCGACATGACCGCCGCCATCATGACCCGCCCGCCTCCCACGCGTATCCTATCCTGCGGACCCTTCCAGCGGTCCACGAGCGCGCACGTCGTCCAGACCATGACGAGCGCGTAGATGACGAGCAGCCAGGTGACGCCCAGGATAATGTCCGCGTGGCGGTCCGTCGGGCTGAGGACCACCTTGGAGAGGTCCGGCTCGGACGTGGAGGAGAGGTTGTTGCCCATTTTTGTGATGATTCCCTGGTGTTTGTTTGGATATACTATGGGATAGAAGCTTGTGGGTGAGGGTTGTGGTAGTGGTTCGGGGTTTTTTTCGAGGCGTTATCGATGATGGAGTTGACTTTTTGTGGATGTCGTGATGCAGCCGGAAGACTTATCGCAAGCGATGTATATATTCCCCCCAAAGTAATTGAAATCGTTGTAAAAAGGACTCGCCCAGCGAGTTTGATTCGAAGCCAAGAAGGAGAAGAAAGAAAGAAAGAAGCAGCGAAAACCGAGAATTCACACACGCTCACCAAAAAAGAAGTGCCCGCCAAGAAGAAATGAATAAAGAGAAAGGAAGCAAGAAAACGCGAAAGAAAGGAAGGGGGGGAATTCAAATCTAAAGTAACAGAAAAAACGAAACCCCCCGCGCAGGCTAAAACACAAATTCAAAACCTGGATCAAGGCACGATCGGATCATTAGCTTCACGAGTCCCAGCAAAAGCTCCGTGACAAGGGGGGTGGGAATCTTTGTAAGAAGCTGTCCGAAGGCTTCTCCAAGTTGCTGCTGCTGCTAATACATACTGAGTGTGTAACAAACGGGTCAGTCGATCTCGGTCAGCTGAACTCCAAAGCTGAAACCCCGTATCCTTGATTCAAAAAAGGTATCCTGATCGCAAAAGGAGAGGGAAAATGGTATCCCGCTGCTGCTGCTGCTGCTGCTTGTTGATTGAAGCCGCCCTGTCGCAGGTAACTGTCAAAGGTGGGACGCTCGTCATACAGTCCGCGTCTCAAATCCGTGGCGCTCGAAACACGGAGAACGCCTGTTTTGTTATTAGGGCGAATTCAGAATCAGGGCTGTGTTCCTGTTGCAATAAGTACTTAATATCTCGTCTTTGCATCTGTTTAGAATCTTTCAAAAATCTCACAGACGGAAATCAAAAGAGAGACAAGAAGAAGAAGGAAAAAGAAGAAGAAAAAGAACAGCAGCAGCTGAACCCATAGGCCCCCCGGATTCCCCATCACATCCAGCCATGCGCGCATCAAGTCACACGAAAATAAACCCAAAAAAAACACACAGCAAACAAGCGTTTCTTCCACCCAAGAGAAAAAAAACCCCTGTCATTTCTCCCTCCCAATCAAACAGCGCTTCTCCCCCCTTCATCCAATCAAAATCCACCTCTCACCCCTTTCACCCAATCAAACAACACCATTCCCTCAAGATATCGTCCCTCCGTCGGACCACCTCTGCCGTTTTAAGCGCCCAGGCTTGTCACAACATGCTCTTTATAGCAAGTAGAAGCTGCGCGAGCTGTGATTCCATCAACCGCCGTCATCTTGGCAGATGCAGCAGCGGTGAGACGTCATTCGTCCATTCCATTCTAATCCGCTGCTTATTATCCATTGTCTCTGACAGGTACCTAGTATGATTTGCTTCAACTTGCGCTATCGAACCTTTTCTGTCCGTGCCATGCTCTCAGCCAATGGCCAAGTCAAAGAGCAATCGAGATCCGACATCCACTCAAGCTGCTCAGCACAGCAGACGGGATCAAGGGATACAGACCTATACAAAGGAGCGATATTCCACTTCCGACTTGGTCGAAAATGAATCTTGATCAGTTCATCCGCTTACGCATATTCCACCCCTTCTGCTCATGTATGCGTTGTACTCCATACTGTAGCTACATACCTACGTAGTGCCTACTATATCAAGTCGGCGTCAAAGCAGAATCGGCAAAAACGCAGTCATTCACGTCCAAATGGCCCAGCACGCATGCTTCAAGAGCTTCATTAATCTGATTAATACTAATACTTATCTATACACTAAACATTCGCGTCACATCTTGTCTCCCTCATGGCAGGCGGGCGCTCAGCGGCAGGTCGCGCGAGGAGCTGCCCACGTACACAGTCTTGGGGTAGTCGGTAATGACCCACTGCTGCTTCTTCGTGTCCCAGTTGGACAGGTCACGGCGCGTCAGGTCTGCCTTGAACGTGACGCTCTGGCCGGGAGCAATGCGCTCGATGCGGTCGAAGCCACGCAGCACCTTGGGCGGCTCGTTGGGACCGCCGTGGCTCAGGTACAGCTGGGGAACGGCGTCGTCCATGACCGAGCCCGTGTTGGTAATGGTGGCCGTCACGGTGTAGAGAATGTCGTACAGCTGGCGGTTGCCGCCGGGTTCGCCAGAGGCCGCAGAGCGAGGCTGAGGGCTGCCGTCCAGGGCACCGGCGGGGAGGAACTCCTTCGCAGTCTGGCCGTAGTGAGCGTCACCCGACGCCTCCTTGCCAGAGGTAGTGGTGCTCAGGTAGGGGTAGATAAACTCCTTGATGCGGCGAACGTTCTTGGGGAAGCCATAGTCCTTAAGGTTCTTGCTGAAGCTGCCCAGAGAGGGAGCCGCAATCGTCTTGCCGTTGGGCGGGCTCATGGGGCCGACATTGTTCTTCTGGATGTGGAGGTTGGAGAACTTGAACGTCGACCACGACAGTCCGAAGCCAAACTCGTACGTGGGAGCCTTGTCCGAGCTGCGAGGCTTGCCGGGAGCCACCTTGTCAAAGTAGCGGTAGTCGATGAAGGCGCCCTCGTTGAAGTTATCCTGGGGAGCGCCGTTGCCGTTGTTGGGCGTGGTCATAACACTAACTCCGTAGCTCTCCAGCGACGGGCCCCAGGTGAAGGGAGTGCGGCCCGGGCTCTGCTTGCCGTACAGAATGTCGACCAGCGAGTTGCCAGACTCCTGGCCAGGAGCACCGGCCCACAGAATGGCAGAGATGTTGGGGTGGTTGGCGTAGTCCTTGAGAATCACGGGGCCGGTCGAGTGGATGACGACAATCGTCTTGGGGTTGACAGCAGCAACAGTCTTGATCAGATCGTCGCCGTTCTTCCACAGCGTCAGGTTCTTGCGGTCGCCCTCGTTGCCATCGACGTTGATGTAGCCCTCGCCGCTATCCGAGTTGGCAAAGACAATGGCAATGGCATCGGGCTGGCTGACGAGCGCCTGGGTCTGCGAGATGGCGTAGTTGGACAGGATGCTCTCGTAGCGGGTGCCGTCCTGGAGAGCCTGGCTCTGCAGGGCCGCGTCGGGGGTGACGAGGTAGGGGAAGTTGGTAGTACCAGATCCCCACTCCATGGCAAGAGTGCCGTCGTCACAGCCGCGGTCACCGCAGCCGTTGGGGCCGGCAGGGTTGCCGCCAGCATCCTCACCAATGACGGTCAGGAACTTGGGCTTCTTAAGGGGCAGGATGCCGTTGTTCTTGAAGATGACAGTTCCCTTGGCGCCAACCTCGCGGATGTGGTTCGCATGGTTGGCGCGGACATCGACGCCGTAGTTGACCTTCTCCCAGTTCTCATTGACGGCGGCCTGAACGTAGCCGTACTCGCCATTGGTCCAAGAATCAAAGTTGGTGTCAATGAGGCTGTCAACCGTCTTGCCCACCTTGAAGAAGGGAGCCATGATACGCATCACCATGTCGTCAATGCGCCACTCGGGGACGGTGCCGTTGAGAACAGCAAGCGTCAGGTTGCTTCCAAAGTAGGATGCGCCGGTGTTGAAGGCGGTGTCACCAGGCATGGTCATATCGAGACCGGCAACAGCAGACGCGACACCCGTGTGCTGGGCCTGCCAGTCGCTCATGACAAAGCCTTGGAAACCGTACTCCTCCTTGAGCAAGCCGTTGATGAGCTTGGAGTTTTGGCAAGCGTACGAGTTGTTGACCTGGTTGTACGAGCACATGATGGACCCGACACCAGCCTTGACAGCATCCTGGAAGGGCCAGCCGTACACCTCGTGAATCGTCTTGTCATCAACGTTGGAAGACAGAGCCTCGGTGATGGGGTATCCGTAGCCGTTAGCTTCGCCGACCTGGCGGAAATGCTCCTGCTCGTTGAGGAGGAAGTGCTTGGCACAGGCGATGGTGCCCGCGTTCTGGATTCCGGTCACGGTATCGGCCAGAGCCAAACCCGCCAGATAGGGATCCGAGCCGAAACCCTCGACGTTACGGCCTCCGTTGGGGTTGCGACCGAGAGGGCCAGCCACGGGTCCGAGAAGAACATCGACACCCTTGCCCTTTGCCTCGGAGCCCAGAGCGGTACCGCGGTCAACCCAAAGGTGTCGGCTCCAGCTGGCGGCGGCCGTCAAGCCAACGCTGAAAGCGCTGTTGTACGTGTTGAATCGGAGACCCAGGGGGCCGTCCTGCATGCAAAGACTTCGCATGCCCAAGCGAGGCACGGTACCAACGTTTCCAACGCACTTCTCACCCATCCAGCTACAAGAATGATTAGCACGCTTGACTGCAGACGTGATCCATATAAAGAGCTTACCCAACACCGGTGGTGAGGTTGACCTTCTCCAAGAGAGTCAAGCCCGAGACGAACTCCTTAGCTTGGGCATAGGCTTGCTCCCAGCCTGGAGCACTGGGGTCCATCCATGGCGAAGGGTAGAAAGGAGGCGAGTACGCCTGGTTGGAGTGAGGAGGCGGGTAGGGCTGTGCGTTCAAACGAGTGTCAGCAGCTGTCACAAGATCCAAAATTGTCGCCGTGGAGGCAGCCAAAAGAAATGATGCCTTCATAGCGAAAACGGGTGATGGCTGGGTACGCCGTGGAAGGCTGTGAGGTGAGGGGAGAAGGGGAAGTAAAGCACCGGGATGTCACGACAAGATATAACAGCAGCAGTAAACCTGGCGGAAGCGACCCAATGCAAGACTGCCCTGCCAATTGTGTCCAAACCGCTTTCCCTGGCTCAACTGTACCGATTTCTGCATGGAGGGAAAGTGGGAAGTCGATCAGGGCAGAGCTTCGCTAGGGAATAGGGGCTGTGAATCAGGAGACTCGCGAATCGACAGGCTCTTGCAAGTGCATTGACACAGAAAGCCAATGGGGCTGATAATTCTGCAGGCGTCCGATGATCCAGCAAGGAGGGAAAGCTGCAGTTGTTCAAGGCAAAAGGGGGAGAGGGCCAATGTCTTGGGTGCAGTTACAACAGGGCAGAAGGGAACGTACATTGGCCTCAGCTACGGCCGCCAAAAGGGCGGCAGCAAACACTGACAACGTCTTCATGATGAACGGGCCGCGACCAAGGTACTCGGGATCAGCGGTTGGCGATGAGGGTCTCGCTTGAAGAAGAGCAAGACTTGTTGACGAGGGCGGCGGGAGCTCAGCATATATACCCCGAGGCAGAGTCGTATCCCCAGCTCATGACGGCAGCGGCAAGGAACTGATGCCCACCGGTTCCCTCGCCCTCGCCCTCGCCCTGCCCTGTAGAGGAAATAATGTGCACCGATGCCATGCCTTTGTTCTCGTCATCCCTACCTTACTTTGTGCACTATGCTCATGACGGCGCTGCAGCTAGCATCCCTTCTCGGCCTTGGGTGCCGCCGCTCGACGTCTCTCTCCGCCTGTTGCCCCTGCTCGAGCTAAGTCGCTTGGACCCCGGCCCTAGACGACTTGGCTCTTGTGTGGACTCTCAGGCCCATCACGGGGAAGCAGAGCGGAGGAGCAGCAAGCAATTTCTTGTTGCCAGTTCCGGCCCCACCGCGCCAAGGCCTGTGATGGTAGCACCGCGTTGGCAGGGATTTGGACGAGTTCAGCGCTCCATGCGTTGAGCAGCAGTAAGACGGAATGGGTGAGAATCATGGCTGGCTGCGGTGTTATTGTTGCGCCTCCGGGCTGCGTCGAGCAGCCAAGAGGAGTGCGACGGCTCTGTAAGTTAGCCTGTGCGACCTGCGCGAGGTGCATAAAGGAGCCTGATGCTGGGCTGTCCAATGCTACCTTGCAGTGCTGTTGCTGTGGCTCTGTCGATCGAGATGTCGTGGCGAGAGAACAGACGGTGGCTGGCGGGAAGAAGAACCGTGGCAGAGGGGAAATGACGAAGCGATTATCAGGTAGGTAGTCGTCGGAAGCCGGATTAACGTCGATCGAGCAGTGCGTCCCTCAAGGTAGGAACGATCAATGGCGAGGCCAGCGGCTGGTTCCTTCCAAGCTCCTCTAGCTCCAGGCACTCTGCAAGTACAGGTTCCAGGGTCGCGGGTACCCGCGAGTGCGACCGCAAGTACACCTACAGCCATTGCTCCGAACAAAGACGGGAGCAGCGTGTTCAGCGCCTCCATTTCAGCTCCCAGCGGCGCAAATAAGGGCGGCTGAGTGCATTGGGCAAACATGCAGCTCTAGCCTCTGCGTATCGGTACACAGCAGCAGCCAAAGCAAAACCTTGGCTGCCACCCGCAGTACCTTGGCGCCGGCCGTGGCTGAACCATTGGCCAATGGCAGCTTGCTCCTCCTCCAATTGATTGTCTCCGTCCTCTCTCTTCCATACTCTACCTATTCGTGCCACAACAGCTTCTTCATTGATTTCAGTTCAGCCTCGATTCATCAAAGCACAATACAAAATCTCCAGCATTGTGCACATCACCTGAGCCTCTGTCGTGCACCCGGCACTAGCCAGAGACGTCGCCCTCGGAGAAAGGCGAGAACGCGCTACGTACGACACGCATTCCATGGCATGTCCCTGACCGAACACACCACGAAAGCATCATCTACTGGGGTGACCACCCGAGTGCCTGACCGCGTTGGAGATGCTTACAGGGCGAGGAGGGTTGCATCTGCCAGGCACTGGACAAAAGCTGCGGGGGAGTCCTAGAGCAGTTGGACGAAAGCATTGAGTGAGCACGCAGGCTAACAGCATTGGGCCTTGTCCCGCGCAACCAAGCTGTGACGACAAGCAAAAGGCGACGAGAAGGGCCGATGAGCCATGCGTGCTCGCCCAGTGCGGTCAACTGGGTGCGTCTTGACACTTCAATCACGATGTTCTCGGCTTGGAACCGACATGGCATAACGGCCACTCTTCTCAGCACGGAGCCCTTCTCCGCAGCCTGCGGGGGCGGCTCGTTGGGTCAATGAACAGTATCCCGGGCCCAAGGTCACGAGGAACTATTGTGAATTCTCCATCGACGCCCTCTAGGCCCATCGAGCAGCTGTTGATATTTCCGATCTAGATGGATCGTTCCATTGCTTCAAGAGTGGCATTGGCTCCTACGCACCAATGCACATCGGCCAAAAGGCAAGCTTGATGGGCTTTTTCCCCCAGCTCGGCGGAGACGGCCGGCCAAGCGAGATAGTTAGCGCTTCGACGTTGGCATTCGCGCTGGGGGCTTGGATGGCCGGCATGCCATCATCCTTGCTATTGCAACTGGCAGCGCTCATGGCAGTCACGGATGCTGATGACTGTTGACGGCGAATACCTTGTGATGAGGTGTCTATCCCCTATTTCAGCTCTTTGCGAAGAGTCGAAACAGAAACATACACTCATGCTCACGTTTCAATAGACACATACAAGGACGAGGTGAGGGTTACATGCAGTCGCGACGAGGCAGCATCCAGAGCCTCGGGCAATAAGCCCACGACACCCGCCAAAGCAGTACGCTGTCGACCAAACACGTTTCTACGGGCGCAAGCCACCGCTGTGGTCGACTCCCCTGCCAGTTCATAACTGCTACCCCAATGAGCTTGAGCTACCATCAATACCGGACCGAGCACCCAACTGAAGTGCCTTTTAGCACTCGAGGTCCGCTGATGAGCATCTTGGGGGTGGTATCTTTGCTCGACCCGCTGCGGAGCTGTCATCATCGTGGGGATAACCCCCATCCATCCCATCTTAGCGGCGAACCCCCCGGCCGCCGGCTTCGTTGCCTCTCCCGAGCGCCACACAGGCACCCAAGTCCCGGTCTCATTAATTTGTCAAGCTTTGGAAAAAGTTCCGAAGCTCATTAAACAACGTCCCAGTCTAGCCAAGGAGTCTCACGTTGCCACTGACGTACTACAGCAATGTGTTTTTCGATATACAGGTCAAGATGAGCACGACTCAAAGGACTCGACTTCTTCCGCACAGCATCAAGTCCAGCTGATCTGGAGGAGAAAAGAAAAACCCTGCAGCGAACATCAACAGCAAACGAATGCCGATCCAGGCGCGGCTCCGCTCCCGCATCGTCTCCCCGCATTTACCCCGATGCCCCGACTGACTGCTGTGCAATAGCCTGGGGACTGGCCTCCTCACGACTGCTTGCCTAGCGCCCCTGTGTTCGGGCCGTTTGTTGTGCACAAAAAGACCATCGGGGAGTTTCGCCAGAGATCCTGGGCTCTGTCCTCGACAGGGCATCCAACAACTTTTCCACCAATCCTATCAACTGCTGGTCCTCGGTACTTTCTCCAACAAGCTCTCTCTGTTGCTCTGTATCGTATGTGCGTGCATGAGGCAGCATGGAGGAAACACAAAGCATATTCAGGATCTCCAAATGCACACGCGGCACGGCGTACGGAGCAGTGTCCCGTACATGCGCAGTAGCAGATCTTGAGGACCATGTCAACGCGAGCACGCTGCATCGTTGCATCGTTGCGCACCGGCTCGCAGCCTACACGTGCCAAGCGGAGAGCCACCCTCTAACCACCACACTTCCAAAGGTAACCAGATACTAGTACCAGGTGTGCTCGTGTCCTTCGGCTCGGATCTGCAAGGAGGTCCTCTTACAATTCCCGTACAAGCAGGTCTACGCAGCTACGGCACACTCCCCGAGTCGCCGTTCCACTGGGCCGGAGAAACTGCTTGACCGGACGGCATCTCTCCTCGATCTACTTGGTCAACAAACGTAAGCCAGGAGACGGGGCCGGCCTGGTGATGCCGTGCTCGAGCAACAGTCGGTCATTTAGACTAACGTTCCTCAGCCTTGGGACCAGTTCGGCCCGTCTCGCCTCATCCAGCATGCATGTACATATATGCTCGACGTGCTTTAATTTCAGGATGACAATACTAGCACGAGCAAGGCATATCTTTCAGCTTCCTCCCAGACGTTCGCACGGGATACCCAAATCAACTGGGACGTACGTGTGCTATCGCTCCCAGGCTTGGCTTCTCACGTCGCCGCGTTGGTTCCAGTATCCTAGTTCATGCACCAAGCGTGTACTTTGTCGGCCAACCAAAAACATGCGCCTTGATATAAATTACAATTACATATGGGCTAGTATTGCTGTTCTCCTCTCATTCTCGACGAGAAACGCCGAATGGCTTCCGTAGGCGGCTGCAGACGCAACGGGCGTCATTGACAGCCTGCTTGCGATTCCCGTCTGCCTTTTGGTTGCTGACCACACTGAGGCTTTTCGCCGTCATTTCCAATATGGCTTCCTCACTACTTCGGTGGTTCTCTCGGCAAGCGGAAGCAATAAGATCCTTTGCTCTCCGAGCTAGACAATCGGCTGGCCGCTCTCAGCTGCCTAGTATATGCCAGGGATGATCCTCCATCGCACAATCTTCTTGTACTTGTTCCAATCCTCGCCATACTTGCGATAGCACTTGAGATCGTCTCGTCCATCGCGGTGGATGAGCAGGATCCCGAAGTACACGATATAGAAGTAGGTAATGAGCATGCCCCAGCCCTTGGCGTCACCTTGAATCACCTGTCGGCCGTCGGCCATGACAAAGGCCTCCTCGGCGGTGGGCGTGCCAGCAGCGAGGATCTGGTACCCGGCAAGGCCTGTGGGCAGGCAGTACGGCCACGCCTGGATCCAGTCGCCAAAGTAGTTGATGTGGCGCGCGATACCCCACCAGCCCGTGGTCAAGAGCTTGCTGCCGGTCTTGGTCTCGATGTACTTGAGATGAGCAACGCTGGGGTCACTGGGGTTGGTGCGGAAAGTGTTCTTCTGGCTGTTGGCAGAGCGGAAGATGTAGAAGCCAGTGCCAATGAGGGACACCATGGCGAGAAGTCCGAGGGGGCCGAGCGAGCGAGGATACACCGACAAGTATCGAGTCTGGAGGGAGTACACGAACGGGACCCAAACGAGGTCTCCGAACGCCAGCATCATGCCGAATCCATCGGTGGTGATGTCCATGGTCGTCAAAATGGCGGCCTCGTTCACCCATGAGTCGATGATGTACAGCGCCTGCACGACGGTGATGCAGATGGCGCTGTCCGTGACATAGCCATAGTTGCGGTACTGCTGGGCGCACCACGCGCAGTTCAGAATGATCCAGCCCATCATACCCGGCCGAAGCTCGCACCACTCCTTCAAGTCGACCTCTCCGATGAGGGGGATAGTGACGCGGGGGTTCAGCTCGCGCCCGATGAACCAGTCGTATAGCATGTTGCCAGTGCATCCGCCGGCGGCGAGCTCGCGGTTTTCCTTATTGCCGGCTTTGACACTGAAGCTTCGGACGTACACGAAGGTGGCGATGGCGTATGAGAGGAGGATGCTCGCGGTAAGGAGCTGGACGTAGTTTTCGCTGATGAAGGTCCAGACGGGGAAGTCTGCGCCTTGGGCGATTGTTCCAGCGGCCAGTGCAGCGAGAGTGGCCATGTTGGAGTACAGGGCTATCACGGAGTCAGTATAACTATCCATATCTGCCTGTCAGATGACGAGTAGGTTTGTTCCTTCAATGACGTACTGTTGAACCTGTACTTGAGGCGGCCACCAGAGCGCAGAACCGTACCCTCCACCTTTTGCGCGGGGAGAATCGCGTACAGGATCAGGTTGAGGAGGTAGTAGGCCGCCAAAGCACCAGATGCCTCCCAGCTGGCCAGGCCCCAGATGCCATCTTTGGGCCAGCCAACCTCGAGCTTCAGCTGATCCAGGGAGAGAGTCTTGGGGCTGAGGAACGAGGGCGCGGGACAGCCCGAGATGTCGTTGCAGGAAAAGGTGAAGAGGTAGACGAGGACGGGGAGGCCGAAGGAGATTCCAAAAGCACCCAGCCTGCGGACAGCGTTAGAATCAAGACAGATGCTTGTCTTTTTCCAATCGGCAACGGGCTGCGACTTACGGGCCTCCGAATTCGTAGCCGTGAGGCTGCTCCGCGGCAGCTTGCTTGGGCTTTGCCATTGTGACACGTCGATGAGGAGCCAAAGAAGCGCGTTTCCTTTCGGGCGATGTGGCGATTCTTAAGGCTCGTTCTCTGCCTCTGCAGTGAAGCTTGGGCGCACGACAAGACACGTAATGGGACGTGGCACTGCCTCAAGCCATTTGGATGAGCTCGATGATGGCAAGCTGGCAAAAGCTGGATCTCGGGGGCTCCAGCTTCCGAGTCGTTGTGATCGTCTAATTTGACCAGATGGGCTTAGCCTGCCTGGCCTAGCGGAAGCTGCCAGCTCCGAAACGGACAAACACATTACCCGATCGGCGTTGCTGTGTGCACAATCGGGAAGGGATCGACGTCATCCAGGAACCCGCCAACCAGAGAGCGGCCAAGGCGATCCCCAAATCCAAAATCCCGTGACCTGGATGACAACGTGCTGAGACCGGGGATTATCGTCGTGGCGCTTGTTGGAGAAGCAGGCTGCGAGGCTGAGGCTCTTCAACAACGCATTCTTTTTTTTTAATTTGCCTGACGGTACTGAACAACAGAACGAATTGTTCAAGGAACCAACAGTCGGTGGAATAGGACTGATTTTGCGCGCCAAGGCTGCGTCGCGCTTGTTCCAGACATTGTCGCTCGTTTACTCTCCGTGTCTCACGTCGAACCCGGCCGTATTACGCGGCAATTGATGATCGCGCAAGCGTCGCACGTCCAACAGCCCCTCGAGGCAGCTCTCAACCACTCGCCCTCCCATTCGCGCCGACTTCGAATCGACGACATCGCCCTACCAACACCCAACCATGATGCCCTCAACCTCTCAGCTCGTGATGCTGCTGGCCACGGCCGCGGCCGCCGTCCACGCCGCCGGCGACACCCCCACCGCGACGACTCATGTGCCGGCGTGTACGGCCACCTCGTCAACGGGCAACGGCGGCTTCTTCGATCTGCGGCCAGACACGGCGATGCCGCCGCCGGAGAATGGCAAGGCGCATAAGTCGGGTCTCTACAAGGACTACCACTCGCGGGGGTACGACTACGGCAAGAACTTTACGCTCAACATCTGCGGCGCCGTGGTCGATCCCGTCAGCGACGTTGTCGGTCTGAAGAAGAGCCAGTGGGCCAATGTCAGCGCATACTATACCACTCACAACAGCGTATACTCGATTGGGTTTGTTCTTGGCCCTCTTTTTACTTGTCCTTCACGTTGCTAATGGTAATTCTAGCTCCGTGTCGCTCGATTTGCACAGCCGGGGGAGAAAGCTGGTGCTGCAGTACACTGGCGGATCGCCGTGTGGGGAAAGCAGATCAAGTCCGGATAACGATCCCGACGACGACTACGACGATTATGACAAGCGGAGCTCGACCTTTGACGAGGGCCTCTCATCGCCCGGCCACGCCCACGCAGTCGAGACGATTGATCGAGACGAGAGCACGTCCAAGACCAGGCGCAAGTCCGCCACGATCTCCTTCCTGTGCGATCGCGACCCCGGAACGACGACCGCTGTGTCCTTTGTCGGCGTCGATCCCGACGAATGCTCGTACTTCTTCGAAGCCCGGTCGGTCCACGCCTGCGCCCATGCCGAGCCGCACAAGCCCGGCAGCGTGGGCCCCGGCAGCGTGTTTGGGCTGATTCTCGTCATTGCCGTGCTCGTGTACGTCCTGGGCGGCGTCTTCTACAACCGCACCGTCGCGCACGCGCGAGGATGGCGGCAGCTCCCCAACTACAGCCTGTGGGCCGGCATCGGGAGCTTCTTCAGCGTGCGTCCTTCCCGGCCCAAGGCGGGACTGCCTCCTTTCCACTAATTCATCAATTTTTCTTGTAGGACTTGTTCATCATCTTGCTGTCGTCGTGCGGACGCCTTCTACCAAGCAGGAGAGGGTATCAGCATCTTGGGTCTGGCGGCGTCGGGCGGAATAGCGAAGCGGAGAACCGATTGATAGACCAGCTGGACGAGGAGTGGGATGATTGAGTTGGCATCTGCGGGCTTTATATCTTGTCCGGTCTCTTTCTTCAAAAGACATTGATCTGGCGGTTTGAGCCAGGTGCTCTGTTCCTGTAGGGGTTGGTGTTTCTATTTGGATGTACATATTATATGTTTCTTTCCTGTTCCGCTTCTACTTTGATTGCACGGCATCCTTGGCGTTCTATGCTTTTTTATCTCTTGCCTGTTGCTTGAGCAGGGACGCGCCGAATTTCGTTGATCGAATCTCTCGGCTCGTTCACTCCCTACCCTAGAGGATACGGAAGAATGTGCACTATCATGACTTTGAATACCTATCTTCATCTGAAAGGCTGTCACTGGTCCATAAGATAGAACATGCACGGCAGGCATTACTTGGTTTTGATCATCTGTCCCTATCAGGCCCTTTGCTACAACATTTTTACTGGAGAATTTCTTAAAGAGTCTTGTTAATCGGGATCTTTACCGTTGCACAAGAGGCGGCGAGCTTCCTGGTTAAAGATGTTTTTGTGACAAAGAAGTAAGAATCCAACTACTCGAATCTCCCATCCATATTAAGCTAGGGTGTCAAGATCACAAGGAACGAGATTTGCTAGATTTGATCATCTTTGGGATCTCGGGCAAAGCGGTATCCGAAAGTCCTGGCGAACGTTGGGCCAGTCTTGATTCCCGACCTTAGTGATATGCGGGTTGCCGGCGGTGGTGGCGATGGATGGGAAGGAAGGCCAAGCCAGGTTCGCACAATGTTTTGAAATATGAGACTCCCTGGCAGGCTTTTTGTGTATGTCGGTAACAGTAGGTAGTGTATGTGAGGTGACGTGTGATGTTTGATCTTCAGCAGGAGAAATCGTCGTTAACTGTTGAGGCTGATGTCGGGATCTTCGGCCTCGTATCCTTGTGGTTTCTCTGGGACATGAACAGTTCGAGTTGAGGTATTAGGGTAAGAATCCACGGCCTGTTAACTCTCATCCGGTTCACTCTGTCATTGGTCTTGATGGGATCACTATAAGAGCCCCAGAATATCCCGTGCAAACAGGCGTTTCCTCCTCTCACCAGCTCACCGTCCCGCATCCGAGATTCCGCATAGCCCTTCCCGTCAGGACGTGTAATTCTCTCCGCGGCTGCAAATAGAATCACAGCATGACGGATTTATGACTTGTGCCCTACTTAAGCTGCACCTCTTTCAACATTCTTCCAGTCTATGGTACAGTAGATGTCCATATACTGTAGGTACATAGAAGTTTAGCAAATGATCGATGACTTCTAGTAGGTACACGATACAGCCATGCCGCCGTCGCCGATTCGGAGAGGGCGAACTTTCTGTGCGATTCGACCTGTTACAAAGCGGTGGATAAGCGCCTTTTTTCTCATGCTGTGCTCTCTTCCATTCGTCTTATGGTTTGCCCCTTGCTGGTGACGCGGGACTGCATGTGCTGTGTGACCTGGATAGGTCGATTACCCGGAGGGAATAGGGCTTGTGTGTATAACAGGCTCTTCAGCTGATGAGCGGATGGACAGATGGGGCGGATGATGGATCCTAAGCTCAGATATGGGGGGGGGGGGGGGGGGGGCAATTGACGGTCGGTGAAGAGACTGGGGGGTTGCGATGGAAGCCTTTGATGCATGTTTCCTTGTGTTTTTCTTCTTGGGCCTGGACTGACATGAGCTCTGGGCTCAGCGGAAGCAAGATTGTATGAGGATCCAAGATGTAATTACTCACAGACACTGTTCGTACATTGTCTTGAATCAGGAGTTTCTAATAGTAGACAAATCAAGAATGTCAGTCAAGATTGTGCTCATCTTCTTCCCCGACTCTTCATCCCACGTTCATCCATTCCTAGCTGTAGCGAGCCTTGAAGCAAACCGTCACACAGTCTGGAAGAAAACTCGCCTTCCACGCATGAATGCACGTCGGGGCTGAACACATGACACAACGCACCTCGGCATCATGCCTCCATCCCAGGAAACCGGCATATTCTTCTCTGCCCTCTCTCCTCTTCGGATCACCAGCACCTGATGTTATTTCCCTGCACTGACTCCAGCAATGTCATGTCATGCAGTCTGCCGAGCACAGGACCCCGGTCTGCTCCCGCTCGTTCAAACACTTCCGTCTGGAACCCCATCTAGGGCCAGCGGCGTGGGCGTCCAACCTATTCACGGCTTACCCCGAAACTATATGGACGAGTGCCGAGAGGGTTGCAGAGAGTGAAATCGGTGTGATGTGATCCCAGGGCCCTGGTCGTCGGGAGGGGGCAGCGACGGCAGCTATGCTTGAATCGGGGGAGGCAATCTTGCTGTTGACAGGCTTGACGTTGCCGTGACATATCCGGCGTGGGAGGCGGTCTGTGCAGGAGATTGAGTATTTGGGGTGATATGCTGGACGTGGCTGGGCCAGGAAGAGGATGAGGAGGGATAAAGAGAAGGGGAGAGGGGGGAGAGAGAGGGGGGAGACATGCATGCTTTGTGCGCATATGTGCATATGGCGACCTACCAGTTGCGTACGCAAAAGCCTTGTTGCTGCTTCTGTGCATATTCCTCTGTCATTCCACGGCGTCGGTTCTGCCGGTGGCATTTCCAGCCTCCCGCCTCCCCCCTTTTAAGCTTCTCCGACGATACAGGAGATCGCTCCATACGGAGGTCCTGCTGTACGACGAAGCGATACAGATACGGAGCACGTATGGAGTTCATCTCCTACAGCCGGTGGCGTGGGAACTCTGAACATATTCTGTGACGCTCGGGCGTTCAAGCAGCAGCTAGACTCAGGGGCCCTGAAGAGGAGCGTGTGGGGGAGGCGGGCATCTCCCTATGGTGAATTGAACGAACCTGAAGCTGGGCATGCCCGATTCAGAACGACTTGCATCGACTTTAATCAAAGGGCTGGTTATTGTCCGCGGCAACGGGAACGCAGTGGCCACTCTGCCCTCTGCAGGACAGAACTGGGGAGGGTGCCGGGAAGCTGGGGGAACGAGTGAAAGGGGGGCTGATGGGAAGATGAAGTGTGCTACTATAATCTGCCATGTCGGGGGCTGTGATTTGTCTTGTATTGGAGATTCTCAATGCGTTATGAGGCTGTCGAGTAGGAAATGATATTATGTACGAGGTGGAAGCTCGATCTGGAACATTGTGGCTTCCTGGACACTTCAGGTTTGCCAACTGACGAGCGGTTCCGGAGACTCTGTCACTGTCGTTGAAGGTCCGTCTGGCAGCTGTCAGGGCTTAGGCCAAGCACCACTCGTTTATTGTCGTTCCTTAACTCACATTCTATCAACCGCTGTTCTCCGTCCTTCTTTTTCCTTCCTTGCACAGACTTCAGAGCTCGATTCTTGAAGATTACTTCTTTGATCATCCTTCTTTCGATACGCATTTTTCCTGAGCCATCGTAGCCGTCTACAACTTCAACAAAGCCTGTCTAACTCTCTTCCATTCTCCTTACTTCCAAAGCAACGAGTTTCGACGCCTGCTTTCTCGTCTCTTGGGAGACCCCAACCCGCTCTTCTTTTCACGACTTTTCTCACTTCTGGCACGCGCAGGTTCGCGTCATCGTCAACATATCTTCATTTCCGTTATCTATAGAGTCATATAATCGTCGCCAGCCTCAATATGTCGCAGTTCCCAGCGGCCAACAGTATGTTCCAACCCACTCACTTCCTACCCCAACTCTCGTCCCTTGCCCTCCACCGCTTATCTGAAGACGGGAATCTACATCATCCCGTGCATTCCAGATCTACGGCTCACCATCTTCACAGACATGGATAGCGTAGAGAACACGGGTAATGACGGTCAGTTGACCTGGTGGGTGCTTCTTTGAGCGGGAACAGGCACACTGACTTCAGAATCAGATGCAGACACCCAAGGCTACGGAAACGATGGGTTCCCGAGCGGCCAAGCTACCGAGAACCCTACTCAAATGGCTGTGGACAATGCAACCCAGAGTCATGCTCTTATATATGAGCATGAATTTGACCCCAACTGCCCGGACTGCCAGCAACGAACATTTGATTTGCTTGGCTTCCAGCCGTATGCACCCCCAGGAGCCTCACAATCTGTCTATCCAAACCCTGGCCAGCAGTTTGCCCCGTATCCGGCACCAAGTATGGCCGATGATGCGATGTTCCAGTCTTTATCAGACTTTGAGGTATGTTCTGTCCTTGCTCCTACATCGAACCTACTATTTTGCCTGGCATGTGCCGTACTGATTTTTGACGGCTGCAGGAACTAAACTTCTTTAACCAGCCTTATCTGTTACAACCACAAGATGACGAACTACTTCAGTTCCAGCAGCAGCAGCAGCATCATCAAGAGCAACAGCAGCACCAAGATCAGGAGCAGCTGGACTTCTCTTCCACCGTCATCTCTCCCGAGTATTCAGACCCTTTCAACAGCGCACGGCACCTGCAGCAGGATGAGGTCGTTGAGCCTCCCCAGTTCTACTTCAATCCACCGCCCGTCGAGTCTTCCGACTTTGCTGGCTTCAATTTCAATACCTTGCCTTACCGCCCGGTCCAGCCGTCCATCGCAGGCGAGGCCTGGATGCCGGGTCATGATAGTAACCCTTTCACCTCTGCAGCCCCCGAGATCATTAAGAGTGAGCTTGACGAGGCTGCGGGCATACCCATAATCTTGACTCAGCCCACGGAGAGCATGACGACGGCCCCCCTACCTCCGACTCAGAATCCCTCCATGTTGGAACCCGCTGTTGCTGCTGGGAATTTGGCGCCTCCTTCACGCCGCTCCCTGGCCTCCCATCGTCCGCAGCGACGACTTTTGCCGGCAGTCAGTTTGCGCCGACCTGTACACCGACAAGCGGACGTTCGTTCACGACGCTCTCCCGTGATCCAGATGTCTCCGCAAGCAGCAGCTGAAAGAGCTGCCAAGGACCGGTTTCTGGTGCAGTCTCGTAGCGAAGGCCTCTCCTACAAGGACATTAAGCGCCTGGGAAACTTCAAGGAAGCGGAGTCGACCCTGCGTGGACGGTGGCGCACTCTCACCAAGGAAAAGAAGGACAGGCAGCGTGACCCCAAGTGGACCGATTTAGACGTAAGTTTTTCCAAGAGTTGGGTTTCTAATCCAGGATGTGTCTCGTCCAAGTTGTGTCCTAACAAATGTTTTTTCCAGGACCACCTTCTGAAGGAGGCCGTCCAGGTGCTGGCGCACGGCCAGCACCCGGACAGGGCCAAGCTTTCATGGATGGCTGTGTCTGTCTATATCAAGGAACACGGAGGGTATTCTTTTGGATACTCTACTTGCCACAAGAGGTGGTTGCGCTTTGAAGCCGCCGGTCAACTAGGGAGTACTGGCTTCGACGATAGCTGGGAAGATGAGGAAGAGGACGACCATACCGATGAGGGATATGGCGAGAGCCAAGTTGACGAGCTTGAGCAGGGCCATGAGTCGAACGACCAGAATGGGGACGACGGCGAGGAGGACGACGATGAGGAGGACAATGTGGCTGAGTGAGGACAGCATGGCACGAAGATTGTTGGGGCACACCGATGTGCTGTTTCTTCTTTGAGGTTTCCTTCGTTGACTTTTGTTCCCTTGCCGGTTGTTCTTTTACGCAGAGGGTTGCTTTCTTTTGTTTTGCGTTTTGCTTTTTTCCACCTCTCGTTCATTGAACAAGACGAGGACAGGTGGAGGTCATACACTGCACGCACTACATGGAGTTCAGGGGTTGAGAGATATGGAATTCTCCTTCGTCTTTTCTTCTTTCGGTTTTTTTTTTTTTTTTTCTCTTTGTTCATTTTCGATTTTGCCTTTCTTTCTTTTCGCCTTTGTTTCACATTTGCAAAGGAATAACCACATTCGCATTTGCCAACAGGCCCAGTGGTAGCAATGCCACCCATAGCGACGGACAGAGAAAAGGATAGAAAACGGATAGGACAACCAAATGGAGGCAGGCAAGCATCGTTCACGCGAAATTCTCATGTTAGAGTACATATTTCTTCTTGCGTTTACTCTTAATACATTGATCTCTATGTCATTCATCTAGATATATGCCCACTAGAGCTTGTTCGATTCACCCTGGTACTCTTCTCGCGGTACGCCGATGCTCTTCAACACATCCAGCAGTTGGTCTGGACTCTTCTTCAACGCCTCCCACTCTGCTTCGCTCTTGACCAAGGCTGTGCCCGCCAGCACCGTCCCATTCAGAGCGAGGAACCCAATCGGAGACGACGTTTCGGCGTCTCTAATCTCACAACCATCGCTGAGTCGGGGGCAGATGACCAGCCTATCCTTTGTCATGGCCATGTTGTAACTGATCTTGGCTTCTCCAGTAGAAGGAACCTCGTCATCTGTTGGGGCTGTGCTCCCTGCGTGTGTATGCTGAGCGACTGCTTGACATGCCTTTCTGTAGAGGCGGAGATATGCGGCGTGGAGGTTTTCCGACGAGGTGTCTATGCTGATTGGTTCTGAAAAGGCAACAAAGGGGGTTTTGTCAAGGGAATCGGCTTGCTGAGCGAGGACTTCCCACGAGGAGCTCGTTTCCAAACCGTCCCTCATGCGGGATATGGGCAAGAGCTGGATGTGTCTATGAGGCTGACTGGCGCCCGAATGATCCCCCCCATTGAAGAAGGCAAACAAGCCATCCTCCTGCGCAGCCTTCCCCCCCCTTGTATCGGTTAAACACGATGCATCAACAGGCTCGCCGTTGGGCGCGGTTTGCTGCTGCTGCTGCTTCGCCTGTTCATACGCATCGATGCACGCGAGCGTGGCTTGCAAATCAGATTCCTCCAGCAAATGAGTCTGCAGCTTGAACTCCTTTGTCGCCAAGATGAAGTGCTCCGGCACGACGGCAAACTTGTTCAGCACGAGGTAGTGCTGGTGTCCCAGGTCTGTGATGAAGAGCGAGGCGGGAGGGTTGGCAAAGGGATCAAAGGGCTTGCGCGGGTGAGCGGGATCGGGGGGAGGGCCTTTTGGTTTGTTGGCGAGGGCGGGGGAGAAGCGGAGTTGGAACTTGAGGGGGGAGGAGAGTATATTAGTTGAGGAGCTGGTTCTTTTATGGGAGGATGAGGGTGTGTTTATTATGTTTGATAGGGGAGAGAGGGGTGGTTGAGACTGAGACTTACGGGGATGGAGTTGATGTGGAGGATGGTGACTTGGGTTGGGAAGTAGTGCAGCTCGTTGGCGGCGAGGGCTTTGCTGAAGGTCGTTTTGACGAGTTCCGGGAGGTTTGAGGGGGCTTTTAAGAGCGACATTGTGAGTATCCAGAATGTGGGTTGAGATGGTGTGAGATGGTGATTACTATGCAAGTGAGTGTGTAAGACACATGTATGTAAGAGGGGGAAGAAGTGAGATGCTTAGACGCCTCTATCACTGATGATGAGGGTTGTAGAAGTGGTCCGTGCGCTAGAGCCTGGGGATGCCCCTCCATGTCGAGTGTCACGATCATCGAGAGGATCACATGCAGACCTATGACCAGATGCAACGGCGGCCCTTGATCTACTGGGATTGATGCGGAAAAGCAAGATCGTGGGTATCATGACATTTTCATAGAACTAGGCTAACTTTCAAGTCGGAAGCTAATCATCATTCCGTTTCCACTCAAACAAACACATGGGGTAGCCGGTGCTTCATCCATCTATATTCCCGGCAGACCAACCACTCCTCGTACAGCCGGTACAAATCTGGGCACGTAATAGACGGTGTACATAGCAATGATGGCGGTGAAGAGTCCCGTAAACTAGATACATGGCCACTGTCAGCTTCTCTGTCAGACTGCATACCAGCGTGAAGACATACCTTTTCGAACCACGTGTGAAAGTATATGGCCGTCATCAACAGCATCCACAGACTCAATGCGATGAAGCCAATGGCCGTCTTTCCTCCAATGTTAAACGCAGGCTCTCCCGCGCCGTATCCGACCGCCGTCTCCGACTCCACGCTGGCGCTCTTGACAGCTCCATCCGGCATGACGATGCTTCTCTCTTCGGCTACCCAGCCGCTGAACCTCAGAGCCGGCCATCCAACCTCTTGCATCAAGAACACAGCGCCCAGCACAAGCAGGAAGACGTGTCCCGAGATGTCGTGGCCGCCCTTCCACTTCCCCCCAGCCGCCTTACAGGCCACGGCCGTCAGCATCTCCTTGACAGAACCTCCTCCTTCCACGCTAACCTCTCTCTCCGCCAGCTCGCATTTGCCGCCGGTCCACCGAAAACTGCGATCGATAATCGGCGGGCCAAAGAACCACTGCGTGACAAAGAACCACCATCCCGTAACCGCCAGCCACCGGATCCCGGCGCGGATCCGCCTCGCCAGGACGACCGCGGGCGGCGCCTTGCCGGTGGGCTGCATGAGCAGGGAGAAGACAAAGGCAAAGGTGATCCATCCCCAGCCGCGCTTGACGAAGACGACGTTGAAGATGTTGTTCTTGCGGGCAAAGTAGCCCGGGACGACGCTGGGGTCCTGGTGGTGCGACTGCGAGACGTGGTCGTATGCGGAGGCGCGGACGTCGGGCGAGACGATGGAGAAGATTGTGCCGAAGACGAGGATTGCGGGGAAGATGCCGAGGGCGATGCGCTCGAGGGGCGTGGGGAGGTATGGCGGGTTTCGTTTGACGGGCTGCGTCTGCTCGGGGGTTGTTGAGGCGGCCATTTCGTTGGAGCTGGGGTCGAGGGTGGATGTTGTTTTGGGGCGTCGAGATGCCATTTGCCGACTGATGGGGGGAGTATTAGAGGAAGAATGAGAGGAGTCTGGACGCTCAAGAAAAGACCCGGGTATCAGCGCGGCGCGAACATGAAGAAGGATCGTGAGAGTTGTAGAGGAGAGAATGCGACTGGTTTGGGACGAGTTACCGTGGCTGCAAGGCTGAGCTTTGGCAGGCGTGGGATTGATGACGTCGACCGAGGCCGCTAGAAGCTGGCACGATTCAGGGCAGCGGCTTGTGGGGTCAAGTCAAGTTAACGGCACGTTCACGTCTAGATGATATCAATGGATTCATTCCATATGAAGCTATGTCAATTCCTCTGGGTTATTAATTGACTCGTATCAATCATTTATCGAGGAAGATATATGTTGATATGTTAAGATTGATGCACAGCGAGTCGTCATTCTCGTAATGAGTATCTACCTACGCTACCGTTACTGCAGAAAAGCATGTGATGCCACCCACTGACACGAGATGGACTTGCTTGAGTAGTAGTGACAGCCTAAGAGCATGTCCAGTATGATTAATGCAGTCACGAATAGAATAGGTACCGTCTCATATGATTCGTTGTACTCTCCTGTTTTCATTTTTGATCCTGCACCCTCTTCCTGAGACTATATGTACAGGTATGCATTCGAATGCAGACTCTCTCGTTCATTTACAGGGTAGCACTAAACCCGCCCAGATTCGATACAGTATTACTAGCTGATGCCCCACCCTTATCGCCATTCGGGAAATTCTCTAATCAGTCGCATCTTGAAATTTCTCTTCCTTGTCTCCAATCGCTTCCCGTAAATCGAGACATCATCTTCCACCATCCTCAATGCAAACATGGCGGCCGGCGACGAGGCTCCTGTCGCCAATGCGCCTTCGGGCGAGCGCAACGAGGCCAAGCCCCAGGCTCCAGCTGCAGCTTCATCTGCAGACGCCGAGACAAAGAATGGCGACCAGAAGCCTGGCAACAACAGCCGCGGCAAGGGCAAGAAGGGCGACAGAGGCCGAGGAGAATGGAGGTGCGTTATTGACTCAAGCCTGCTCATGACAAAACGGTGAACTGGCCGCATGTACCAACGGCGCTGATTCCAAAGACTGTAGCCGCACCAAGGTAGACAAGCGAAAGCGCCACGACGAGTATCGCGAGTACAAGCGCCGCAAGGTCAGCGACATCGACAACCCCAAGGCGAACCCCTTCTCCAAGGAGGAGATTGAGGCCGAGGGCCGCCGCCCGAAGCGCAAGGTCGCCGTCATGATTGGCTACGCCGGCACGGGCTACAAGGGCATGCAGCTCAACGGCGACGAGGAGACGATTGAGCGCGACCTCTTCCAGGCCTTCATCAAGGCCGGCGCCATCTCCAAGGCCAATGCCGACGACCCGCGCAAGTCGAGTCTGGCGCGCTGCGCCCGCACGGACAAGGGCGTGCACGCCGCGGGCAACGTCATCAGCCTGAAGCTGATTATCGAAGACGAGGACATTGTCGACAAGATCAACGAGGCGCTGCCGGCGCAGATCCGGGTCTGGGGCATCCAGCGGACCAACAACAGCTTCAACTGCTACCAGTACTGCGATTCGCGGTGGTACGAGTACCTCATGCCCAGCTACTGCCTTTTGCCGCCGCACCCGCAGAGCTTCCTGGGGAAGAAGCTGGTCGAGATCAACAAGGAGTACGGCGCCGAGGAGGAGACGAACGCGCGGCTGGCCGACGTCAAGGATTTCTGGGCAGAGGTCGAGGAGAAGGAGATTCAGCCCATCCTGGCTCGTCTCGATCCGGAGACAAGAGCAGCCGTCATGGAGAGGTTGCATTCCGAGGACGCGTTCGAGGAGAAGGCCGACAACAGCGCACAAGCCGCAGAGCCGGCTGCTACTGCTACTGCTGCTGCTGCTGAGCCAGAGGAGACGGCCAAGGAGGACGAACAAGACTATGTCATGGTCGACAAGGAGGCGCCATCTGCGGAAAACGCCGAGCCGGCCGCAGCCGACGACGACGACGACGCCGCCGCCGCCGCAGCTCAGAAGCCCGCCGCCGTCGTCCTCGAGACGGTGCAGCCCAAGCGCCGCGAGCTGGGCCCCGTGGACTTTGCCCTGCGCGACATCAAGGCGGCGTACATTGGCGCCAAGCGAGCGTACCGCGTGTCGCCGGAGCGCATCCAGCGGCTGCAGGAGGCCCTCAACAAGTACGAGGGCACCAACAACTTCCACAACTACACGGTGCAAAAGTCGCACGGCGACCCGTCGTCGAAGCGGCACATCCGGTCCTTTGTGGTGAACCCCAAGCCCATCATCATCGGCGACACGGAGTGGCTGTCGCTCAAGGTGCACGGGCAGAGCTTCATGATGCACCAGATCCGCAAGATGGTTGGGCTGGTGACGCTCCTGGTGCGGTGCGGCACGACGCTGGACCGCATCACGGAGAGCTACGGACCCAAGAAGATGGCGATTCCCAAGATGCCCGGCCTGGGTCTGCTGCTGGAGCGTCCCGTGTTTGAAAACTACAACAAGAGGGCTAAGGAGACGCTCGGGCGGGAGGAGATTGACTTTGACAAGTACAATGACAAGATTGAGGCGTTTAAGCAGGAGCAGATTTACTCGCGCATCTTTAGTGTTGAGGAAAAGGATAACTCGTAAGTTTTGTCATACATATATAAGGTACTTGGGGTTGAAGGAACGCTACTGACCTGGGGCTTTTCACAGATTCCACACCTTCTTCTCGCAGATTGACCAGTTCAGGTCCAACCACTTCTTGTGGCTGACTGCCGGCGGCATGAAGGTCGCGACGATTGACAAGGCGGGTGGCAAGGTGCAGGACGTGGACAAGCAGCTGGGCGATGAGGACGAGGAGGATCCCGAGGGCGGAGAGGGTTAAGGGGAGGTAGCTGAGTATAGATGTTGCGTTTGCAGACAAGAGTGTGATTCAAGATCCGTCTGGGAGACATGGTTATTTGGCGTTTAACCAATTGGATATGCTTTTCGTCATTTCATGTGTTCCGGTCAAGTGGACGGTATCTATCATTTTCCCTCTATTATATGAACCCAGCTGCCCCAAATGCAAACTCCCAACGCCCTCATAGAACAACTTTCACACCTAAGAATTCACCGGCCAGCCCCAAGTCCAGGCCCAGCAGACGCAGCAGACGCAGCAGACGCAGCAGCAGCCGCCGCCGCAGCCGCAATCTGACTCTCCATCTCCTCCCGAACGAGCGGCTGCCACGTCGCCCCATTGCTTTCCGCGAGCTGCTTCATCTTGGACGCCTCCATGGCGTTGAGCAGGTCAGCGACGCGGTGGACGTGCTGGTCGAGCTGGTCCTGCTTGAGCTTGCGGTCGTCGTCCTCGATGCCGAGGGGCCCAAAGACCCAGAGCTCTTTGATTTTGCGGGAGAGTGTTAGGAATTCTTTGATGGAGGTGTACTTTTTATATGACTCGTCAGCTCATTATGTACTTGACTCTTCCATCTTAAACACCCTCTTTGAGCTGGGAATTTGGGGATGGGTGGAAAGGGTGGTGAGGGAACGTACCAGTCCGTCGAATTCCATCTTGATGGATATGCCGGTGACGGCCATGGCTTCCGGGTTTGCATTGTTGCGGTCTTGTTCTGCTTGGACGGTGGCGAGCATCATGAGGGTGCGGTAGCGGGTGAGGATGTCGGCGATGAGGCGGTTGTGGTTGTCTGTGTGGTTGTGTGAGATGAGAGTTTGATATCCAAGTGGTGGGTTATATGAGGGAGGGATACGAAGAGGCGTGAATAAGAAGGGTTCAGTCTAGGTATTACGATTGCCATGCTGAATCATGTTGAAGCTATAGGATGAATGATGTGGCGCAACAGATTGAAGCATTCGTGTAAGCAAGGCAGGGCTGCCATGAAAGAGCTTACCCATCAAATTGGACGAGGCTGGCTGTGAGCGGTCCATTTCCGGGACGGGTCGACTGGTGCTTGCTTCTTCTCAGACGCGGGTCTGATGCGCATGGAAAGCTTTCTGGTGAGAGGATATTTTGAGTGAGTTGGGGTTGATTGCCCGATTCGGGTCTGGGCGGCTTGATGCTGGATGGAGTTTGTTTGTCGAGATTGAACAAGATGAACAAGACTGGAGAGATTCAATTCATCGGGTGGGTTAAATGATGAGGCTAGAGGGACACGGGTTGGTGGGGCTGGCGGCTATGGGATCAATCACTGGATCCAATCGCTAAGAGCGCTGTATTTTGGGGCGAGTCACCACTGAAGGATGCTGCTGTTGCGCTGTTACAGAGGTCCACGGGTAGCTGTAGGTGCTCTGTTGTGTACATGTAGCAGAGACGGCATCATTACGTGTCAATCATTATCTGTATTGATGGGTTTTGATAAGAAAAAAAAAAAAAAAAACTAGAGGAACAGCCGTCAATGAGAAAGGTCAAAAGCAAGAGAGAAACAAAAGACAAAGAGTCAAAAAGTTGGCCCAGGGCGAAGTGGACAGTCGGGCAACCATGAGCGCTTAGCAGCCCACTCACAAACCTCGCCCAACTCCCCATCAGTCAATCCCCAACCCAGCACCACACCAACCAAACATGAAGTGAGCCTTGCCGCATGCACCAACTAGCTAGTAACAGCTGCTCTAGCTCGGTGGATAAGTCGGGATCCTGAGAGTACGAGTACTAGCCCTGTAGCAGAGCCTCTTTGTCGGATGTTGTTTCGTCGTCTGACAAAATGGACCAAAGTCGCTCCAAAACCTCATCAGCAGCCCCTGCAGGCGTAGCGCTCCTTGGCGCCGTTTGGCGGCCTGTAACTTTCATGGTTACGACACCCTGCTGTAGGATTCTTGCGATACGGCTGCTGGCGCGGTATTTGTCAGGGGGGAGTGTCCTCTTGAGGCTCTGAAATCGGAGGATGACGCGTGGCGGTGTTGCTTTTGCGTGGAGGCTCTCGCTTGGAATAGCCGCCGTGGGTGGGACCTGTTCCCAGAGCTTTGGAGATGGACAACACAGTGATTCTTGAGAACAGAGAGGGAGACATATACTTACAAGAAATGCTTCCGGGAAGAGAGGACTCTGAGTCTACGAGAGAGGAAAACAAGATTAACAAGAGATCGTCGGTAAGCACTATATGAGTCGACTCCAAAGGTACAGAGTACAAGCCACCCCAAATCCTCGCAATCAACCTTGGAAAACAGCACCAGAATCCTCCTCAACTCCCGTCCACTCAATCCAAACTCCCCCCCGGACAAGGAACAAGGCAGCTCTAAAACCCGTGCCGCCATCTCCACCACCTCGCCTCGCCCCATTGGCTCACTCGCAAAGCTGAAGACTCCATCTCCGAACATGGAGGCCGATCCTTCGCCTGGGAAGAAAGCGCAGCAAGAGAAAAGACGCCCCAGCCGGAGCTTTGGTGTGAGTGGCTGGACTTGTCTACGAGTATGCATGCTGATGTCGTCCGACGGGGTGGGAGGAGGAAGAGGAGGAGGAACATGTGCTACAGTACATGAGCCTTTGTTGCTAGTCTAGCGAGTTTGATGTACTGCGGACGGGGAGGATGGCTGGTGATGGGGTGAGTGCGTGTTGTTGAGGGTACATGGACGTTGATAGTGAGGTCGGATGAGCTTGCAGAGAGAGGCCCAAGGACCTGGACCTTGTCTAGTTCTTCTCTGTGAGAGCTCATCTTTCTGTCTGTCCCTGTCTTTCTCTTCTTCTTTTTTTCTTTCTTTTCATTTTCTCTCTCTTCTAGCTGTTCTTGTTCTTTTCTTCTCTAGCTACGTGTGACGTGCACACCTGTTGATCGAGTTCCAAGAGATTTGCTCGACAACTCCCAACCAAGCGAGAATCACACGATAGTCCATCCTATAGATGGCTTTCTGACGCATTGAAGCTCTCCTCTACTGCCTCTTGCTTCCCATCTTCTTTCGATTTATACCTGGAATCCCCCCCCCCCCTCCCCCTTTCAAAGACCACTCGACAGCTTTCTCAATGGCCGCCATAGACTCAACAGCCACCCAGGCAACCACCAAGCCGGCCGTCCCCGTCGTCACCTCATTCCCCTTCAACCCGCTCACAACGACCTTCACCCGCCCGTCCGACTGCGACGGCCTGTTTGCGTCCTCGTTCCTCTCCGGCATCGACTTCTCCACGTCGTGCGTGCCCAAGGGCTTCCACACCGACGAGACGTCCTACTTTTCCCCGGGCCTCATCTGTCCCTCGGGCTACTACTCCGCCTGCCACGACAACATCGGCGCCAGGACAATCACCACAGTCACATGCTGTCCGACGTACGGCAGCGACGTCTCGCTCTCGTGCGTCACGGCGAGCACGCTGAGGAGCGTCTGGTCGACGCTCTTCTGCACGTGGATCGCGCCGGACGGCGACGGCACGGTGCTGCCCATGACGGTGAGCAACGGCGGGACGACGAGCACGGTGCAGGGCGCGTTTACGGCGCCGGGGGGCCTGAATGCGTACGGCATCCGGATGGTCTATCAGAAGACGGACACGGAGACGACGACCATGGCGACGAGGACGACGTCGTCGCCCACGAGGAGCAAGGCCACCACCACGGCGACGAGGACCGGGGGCCAGCCGGGCAAGACGAGCGAGGCATCCTCTGGGTTGTCATCTGGCGCAAAGGCCGCGATTGGGGTCGGGGTTGCCGTGCCGATTGCTGTCGTCGGGCTGGCTCTCGGCCTCTTCTTCTGGTGGTGGAGGAGGCGGAAGCAGTACAACAGGGTGCGCGCGGGCCAGACGACGCCGCCTACGGAGCTCTCCGGGCACCAGAGGCCGAGCGAGCTGCCGAACGAAGGGGTGAACAAGCCCGTGTATGTGGCCGAGGTGCCGGCGCATGAACCTCCTGCGATAGAGCTCCCGGCGCCGTTGAGGTGAGGACGGGGGTTGAGATTTTGGATGAGAGAGTTTTGTTTGCTTGGGAGCGTTTTTTTTTTTTTTTTGAACGAGATACCTACTGGTGGATTGAGTTTGTTGGTTATGAAGGCGAGTTCGAATGTGTGAGAGGAAGCAGCATATAATTCTTGGTGTAAGCGTTCCAGCGATATAGAAATGGTTGGTTTTTGGCCGTTTTGATTCAGACACAGTCGCGGTATTGGACTGACTTTGTGTTCCATTGTGAATATAGAGCACGGCAAAGACATTGTTTGCAGAGTATCGCGGTGCAACTGCCTTGGCTCATGGGAACGTGACGACTGTTGGCTCTTTCAGCTCCGTCTTGTACATCATCTGCATATCTGCTGTCGTCCAATATCCACCTCATCAACTATCGACAGTCCTACTTGATCAAGCAGGACTACAGTCATCAAGGTATGTGTAGCTATTGTAGGCGTCAAGATTCGTGTAATGCTGCAAGACTGATGCCATCACCATATGAACATGGTTGCCTTTGCTGCTCTATGCAATTCTATTATTACACTCTATTAATTACTCTATATCATAGGAAGTCATGACCCTCTATTGCAATATAGTCCACCCCCACCGTCTTATTACTCGTCATTCACCAACACATAGCGATACTTTGCCTTGCCCGCATCCATCTCAACAATGGCCTTATTCGCCTCGCTCATCGGCCACAGCTCAACCCACGGCTTGATGCCCTTATCCGCCGCAAGCTGCAGCATCTCGCGAATCTCATGCGGCGACCCCATCAAGCTGCCGGTCAAGCTGCGGCGGCCAAAGGCAAACGGCGCGGCCCCGACCTTGAACAGGCCGTCGTCGGGCAGCCCCAGCTGGACAAAGACGCCGTCGCGCTTCAGCAGGCCAATGTACTCGGTCAAGGGCATGTTGGAGCTGGAGATGGAGCTGACGATGAGGTCGAGGGAGCGGGCGTGCTTGGTGGCCCAGTCGTCGTCCTCGGCCGTGGCAATGTACTCGTCGGCGCCGAGGGCGAGGGCATCAGCGCGCTTGTCCGCACGCCGCGAGACGGCCACGACACGCTCCGCGCCCATGGCTTTCGCAAACAAGATGCCGAAATGGCCCAGGCCGCCGACGCCCAGCACGCCCACGGACAGGCCCTTGAGCCTCTGCTCCAGCGGGCCCTCGCCGCGGTTCCCAAAGTGCGCCAGCGGCGAGAAGACGGTGATGCCGGCGCACATCATGGGCGCCGCGTGCTCGCTCGGCAGGTTGTCGGGCAGCTTGAAGGCGAACTTGGCCGGGCAGCGGTGGAAGCGGGCGTAGCCGCCCATGCTCTTGCCGCCGGCCCGCGTGATGTACGTGCCGCCGTACGTGGGCGTGATGCGCGGGCAGTAGACCTCGTTGCCCGAGGCGCAGGCCTCGCAGCCCGAGTGGTCCTCGACCGTCTCGGGCGGGCGGCGGCACTGGCACGAGTCGCTCTGGGCGCCGACGCCGACGCGGTCGCCCACCTTGATGCCCGTCTGGGCGGCGGCGACGGAGCCGACGCGGACGGCGGTGCCGACGATTTCGTGGCCGACGACGATGGGGTATTCGGTTGGGCCCTGTTGGTTTTGGTAGATGTGGTGTAAGTGAGATGTTTTTTTTTTCTCTTCTTCCCCGGTCTCTTTTGAGTTGGGAGGAGGCAAAAGGGGGGGGGAGTTCATGTTGTCAGAATGCTTACCCAGCCAGATCGAAGCTTGTGCAGATCGGAGCCGCAGATGCCGCAGTGTGTGATTTTGATGTCAATGTCTGTCTCCTCCCACGGCTTGACGTCGTAGCTCTGCCAGACCATGTTGCCCTTGGCGGCGTCCTTGTCTAGGCCGACCCAGCCCTCGAACTTGGGCTCTTCAGAAGATGCCATGTTGTTGTTGTTGCGTCTGCAAGTTTTTTGAAGCGTTTTGGAATACTGTTTTGTTGTTGATTTGGGGGGGGGGTTAAGACAAGGAGAATTGATGTGGTTGTTGTGTAGTTGTCGCTGAGACTCCTTCAAGTTGATTTTGTCTTGTCTTTCGACACAAAACGATGACTCTACAGCTTGCACCCCTTTACATATATATATATATCACGTTGTCAATCTGGTGATGCAACCCCCTTTATTACATCATTCATTCACTCCAGGGAAAAAAAAAAAAAATCGAAACTTGGCTTCCAGACACGGCCTTTGGGGTTCCATGACTCCATACATGTCCACTTTCGCCATTGCCGGATGCCGAGCCCGCGGTGCCGCGGCAGAGACCCCCATCGGCGTTTACAGTAGAGGCGATGCCTTTTGGACGTTTGAAGGCTGCGATTCTTCTAGAAATGACTCTAGAAGACGGCGGCTTTTTTTTTTCCCGCTGGGTTTTTAGTGGCTGCCGACTCTACTAGTTGATCGTTTGCTGACAGGAACGTGAGACGCTGCTTTTCTTTCTTTTTTTTCCTTTCTAAATTTTTTTTTCCCCAGCTTATGTGGACGGGTTCAAACTGGAGGATACAGATTGAGAGAGAAATGGCGTCTTGCTGTCTGTTGGCTTAAGTCCGAACGGTGGATCGGGTTGAGTACCTTAGATAAAGCTGGATTAATAATGTGCCATGTTTCGATTTTTTTCGAGTTGTGCTTCGCTCGAGGCTCCACCGTTGCCGAGTTTCCCAACTGTGTGTGTGTCTTTTTTCCCTTGGTGGAGAAGAAGTTGCAGCCCATCAATGACATTTTGTTTTGACAAGCCCGCCCCTCTGTTGTGTAGATCAGAGGCGAAACGATTGAGTGAGCAGTTGGCTATGAAATCAGCAGCTGCTTCATCTCGGCGTACCTATGTCATGTGTATTATCAAGTATCCTAATCCAGTCTGCGTCATTCAACAGATAAGATCACGTCACAACAACAACAACAACAACAACAATGTTTACAGTCCGAAATCCACTCTAGAGAGAACATGACTGAAGACGGAATGAATACCTTTAAATGGTTGGTTGAGAATATGATTATCCCGTATCTCGATTCTAATAGGATGCGTCTCTGCCGATTCTAGCATGCCATCTGTACGATAGTAGACCTGCTTCTTTCTCCATCTGCCGAGTCGCACATCCGCAGCCCACATGGCCAGCGGGTGGATGGCGGCAAGTTCCGAGACATACATGCGATATCCACTTTACAACAACAACTAGATCTACGACAACACGCACCGACATGCCATACAGCTCAACAAGTGTGTTACTAAGTAGTATACGGAATTTTGCTTGTGCTCAAAGATGGATTCTCTGGTAGATTGTATCCCTGGTTCGAGATCCCTGAAATGACGACGACTTGGAAGAGTCAATATAGACAAGACAACGTATAAACTCACACAAGTTGAAGCAACACTGCGGGATCCGCAAAGAAGGCCATTCCCATGTGCAACTTGTCTTGCTCTCTCGTCAGAGATGTATACATACACTTCAGAGATTGTGCTTTCTGGCGTCAAGTTGACTTTCCATGAAACTGTGCCGTAGATGCTGCCTGATTACACTTGCAGCACAAGTCACCACCGAGCAGCGAACAGGCAAGTGTTGACTTCCAGAGCCGGAATGGGATCACTATTGTCAATTGCCGAAACTGTCTGATTATATAAATATATTTTTCTTCTTGTCGACACTACAAGATTTGTCCGCTGTTACCATCCACGTTATCACGCAATCGAGTTGACATAGTAGACGTTGTCAATGGGACACACCGCTGATGCACCAGATCCATCACAAGGACATGCAAACGCGACGGATCCATATAGTCAGCAAACCCGTGTCATCTTTTCGCAAGCACTCAACATCCCCAAAAAGTCGACAAACTCCCTTTGCGTGAAACAACTCGGAGTCAGAGTCGCTCAACAACGCATCTCAACCTAAATCGGGTGCTGCAAATGCCATTGATCTCGATGACCCCTGGAAACTAAACAGAATACAGTGGAATAGAAGCAGGTAAGAAACTAGTGGGAAAGACACGTGGTGCGAATCGTCAGAGACAAAGACGACAATCTCGTCAGACAACTTGCCCGAAGACCAAGCGGCTTGAACCAAGGCAAGTCGAGTTATCCGAAAGAGTCAAAAGAAGCATATCCTTGATCGAGGCACATGATGCTTCCTTAGTCATGGATGTCAGATTCGGCGTCATTTCCAGCAAGCGTAACCAAATAGCTTGCCAGCTGGGCTGCTCGTTCATCTCCTGTGATACGATGAAAGTTGTAGTCTGTTAAGGAACAGCGCCAGTCTTACTCACATTCGACGGCGGGAAACCCGTAATTGACGCCGCGAGAATAGTCCCGATATAGTTGCAGAAAGTTGCCTGATTGGGCGCCCAATGGCAACCTTACATACATGTACCTAGACTACGAGAGAGAGGGCCTTAGTCTGCAGCGTCTACTGCGAGCCGACTTGCGGCAGTCAGCAATACTATCAGCAAGGTTGTGTGCTCGTGAAACAGCCCCCTTCCATCCTCTGAAGAAATCATGGGTTACATCTCTTTTCTTCTGTCGTAATACATAGCCCCTATGTCTGTGTAACTGGGACATTGTCAGCCCAGACAAAGCCCGAAGACCATGCAATAGAGATTCAACTTACAAGTCGGCCTAATATCTAGCTGTCACCTCGAGGGCGAGCAAATCCAGTCCTCAGTTGAGCCTCAATGGGCCGAGTCATGCATGTTCTCTGCCTCCACCCTAAGCTATAGCTTAAATATTTTTAGAACGTCTCAGTCCTTGAGTGGGACGATGATTTCGACCATTGCACCCAAATTTGGACCGCTGGGTCATGTCCTGCTGCAGCTAACGTCCAGAATTGGGAACGCCAACATGAAGAATGTGCTTCGCCACGGTACGACCTTGGTTCAACGCCGTCACAGAACGAGTTCTACCAGCCGGCATGGAGCATGCATTGGCCAGCCAAGGCTCTGCATTCTCATCGTTCGGAGCTGCTGATTAGTGACCGACTGGGAGCGGTGGTGTGCTGATTCTCCTTGCCAGCCTCTCATGGCCCCCAGAACTGAACGGTTGGCCTGGCTGTGTGATTGGAGGCTCCGAGGATCGAGTCTGACGATTCGATGCGGAGCGAATCGCGATCACGCGGGCTCCAGCCCAATGCGGGAGAAATAAGAATCTTCGCCCCCTTACCTGAGCCCGTCCCATGCACGCAGCCCCAGACAGGCCCTGCACGTTCATGTGCGCCCGACTGCTCCGTCGAATGATACCAGGCAATTCGATTGTGGTGCAAATGCTCGTATTGCTGCTAGCCCGAATCCCTTGCTGCCTCCGCAGGCTCGCAATTGCTGAGCTGCATCTGCTTGCCCAGGCTTCGGCGCAGACTACAGTACTACTTGCAATTGGCGCCTATCAGCCGGGACTCACGAACAGGGTGTTGGTGCTTGGCTGAGCTTGGCATTTGACCGCAAAAGCTTGATTGTAAAGAAGCACCCTTGACCACGACCGCTCTGAAAACTCTTCTTTTCTGGGGCCTGGAAATTGTCGACTGGGACAGATTCCGGGTTAACATCGTTCTGACGCGGCCTCCTGGCCCACCGGCCGGTGCCCGTTCTCATGGATGTTCCCTTGCTCGGAGTTTTGCAATCAGTCGCGAGTTCGAGCAGTCATGTTGCTGGGAGATGAATACCCATCTGGCAAACCCAACGCAAGCTCACCGTCTCCCATCTGTGTGCCCCGAAGATAGCGGCGGTCCGTACCCGTAGACGCTGACGCTAAGCACTTAACTCGCCGGCTGGCTACGTGCAAGCACGGTAGAGGCCAACAAAGACAAGGAGGTCGCTGCAAGTGCCGGTCATGGACGATGGGACAATCCTGATGATGGCTCGCCCTAAAAGCAACTAAAATAGAGGAAAGGGGCCCCGTCCGGAAGGCATTGCGGCTGATGGAACGGCTCCGTTTGCTGGACCCAACGGTGACCTCGTATTGGCCGAGGTTCTAGACGGGCAGAAAGATTGCAACAGCGGACTGTCTCCAGGAGCCTCCACCGCAGGCTCGTAGCCTCTTGGCTCAAGGCTCAAGGGGGTGACAGATGGTGGCCGCCGCGGCTTCGTCCCAGTTTGCTGCGTAGCCGGTTGACGCTCAGACCTCGGTGTCGTTGATAGAGTTTTGGTGGTGTTCTCCAGATGGCCTCGCCTGCAACCAACCCAACCACACAGCTCGCACCATCCAGCGCACCCACCCGCCGTCTCCTCCTGCGTCGAAACTCATGCCCTGTTTCGACCCCCTTGTCCGCTGTGGGTGGCGCTGCATGGCTTGCATGGCCATGGGAGGGTCGTCGAGCCAAAGATGAGACTGGCTCGGCCCAATCAAGCAGCTGCTGCATGTCAGCGACTTCGCGTCTCTTCCCTGCTGCGTATCTGCCCAACGAATCGACCAGCAGCGGTACCTCTGGGCTCACGCTGGCCAAGTACCGTTCGACGACGAACTGCTTGCTGCTATATCGTATGTAAGCAGCCTCCTGAGAAGCCACCTTGTTTCAGACGGCGGGTCTGCATGGAACCCTCCGCTTGGACGGACGAATTGGATGGTTGCGCCATGGAGACGCCGGCTTGCATGCGTTTGCAGAAGGAATAGAGACAGGGGCAGAGAGAGGGAAGCAGCAGCAGGAGGATTGAGACGCAGGAAGAAGAGGCTCAACAAGAGCACAAGGGCTGGGGGAGAAATGGATGAGACGTTGGCGATGGAGAAGTGAGGCAGAGAGGTGACGAGCGAGGAAGTCAACAGGAAGACTTCAGAGATGACGGTGATTTGGCCACCTGCCTGAGGAAGAAACAACATGAACATGACCGGGAACCTTGAGAGGTCTGGTATCTGTAGGTAGGTAGGTACATGTACATGATTCTCGCTTACCCAAGCACAAGTTCAAGTGAAGACAGGCGTCAAAGCAGCAAACGGCAATGTACTCGTACCAGTACCAGGCAAAAGCCAACACAGCACAGCGCCGAGCCCTGAAGCTCTCACGGACCGTTAGCGGCAGCTCACCCAAGCCCGGTGGCGCTTCAGGGGTCGACGGCACTGTGCCTGCGCCCTACGGCCCTCCCAGGTGCCTGAATCGATCCCCGCGCCTCGTGGAGATGCCCTGGAGCTGCACCTGCACCTAGAAGCGGCGCTAGAACCGACTCGACGCAAGATCCATGCCCGAGGCCAATGCGACCTGCAGGTGGTGATATTTTCAGCATCGACCTGGCCGGCCTCTCTCTCTCTCTCTTTCTCTTTTCTGCCTCTCCTCCCCTTTCTTTCTTTCTTTCTTATATCCTCGTTCCTTGCCTTTGCGTCCCCTCTTTTTCCCTCCTTTCCTTTTTCCTTTTTCTTCTCTTCTTTCATTACCTATTCACTGTCCTGTTGCCGGGTGTATTGCAGCCGTGTGACTCTTTTTCTTCTTTCTGCTTGCTGCTTGCCTCCGTCATTGTTTTTCAAGCTGCCTTTTCAACTTCTTTCACTCTTTTGAACCCCAGCTTTTCTCCAGACGCCCGCTCAAAGAACGGCTGTCCACCTCTTTGTCTGCCGTACAATAGCCTCCCAAGGTCATCTTGGTGTCTGTCACCTCTCAATTTGAAAGATAAATACCGCATCTATCGCGACGCCATAGTATCCAGATCGACCGCAACCATGTCGGACGGCGAAGCCTACGTCCCCACGGAGGTGACGGCCGTGAGCCACACGCCCAGCCAGGGCCAGGGCAACGAGAAGCATCGCGGCACCAGCCTGGAGATTCCTCTGGAGCAGCAGACGACCAATGTGCCCGGCTCCAGGATGGCCGCGGCGATCCCCGTCACCCGGCGGCACACGCTCAACCTCGAGGACTACTTTGCCGGGCCTCGCGACATGGACAAGCATTCCAAGTGGCCCCTGTTCCTGCAGATGCACGGCAGTATCCTGCCCAAGATGATTGTGCCGCTCATCTGCATGTCCGCCTGGAGTACCTGCATCACCCTCATCTACATGAAGGCGCACAAGAACATTGCTGTCAACTCCATCCTGCTGACGGTCCTGGGTTTCGTCGTCTCCACTGGTCTCAGCTTCCGTGGTTCCACGGCATACGAGCGCTATGCTGAGGGTCGCCGATTCTTCGCCTCGCTCGTCACCTCGTCGCAGGCTCTCGGCCGAGTCTTTTGGATCCACGCCAAGCCCCTGCCGGATGTCGACATGCGCAGGCAGATTCTCTACAAGATCAGCGCCATGAACCTGGTGGTTGCGTATGCCATTGCCCTCAAGCACAGCCTGCGATTCGAGCCCTACACCGCGTACCAGGATATAGAGCACCTGGTGGGCCACCTGGACACGTTCGCCAAGTCGGCCACCTCCACCATGCCCACCAACATTGGAAAGAAGAACTTCTTCAAGTCCGTCGGCGACTACCTGGGCCTCTCGTTCGCTGCCAGCAACCCTCGCAAGCAGCTCAAGAAGGCGGCCAAGCCCCTGGGAAACCTGCCGCTCGAGATCCTCAACCACCTTGCTGTGACCATTGACGACCTGGTCAGCCGAGGCCAGCTCCCCGTCCCCATGCAGCAGACGCTCGCCTACAACAACCTTGCCGCCCTCAACGATGCCTACACCGGCTGCCAGCGCGTCCTGAACACACCCCTGCCCATCGCCTACAGCATCCTGTTTCAGCAGATCACATGGCTCTACGTCATCCTGCTGCCCTTCCAGATGGTCGGTGTGCTCAACTGGATCACCATTCCCGCCACCACCGTTGCGTCTTACATCATCCTCGGCCTCCTCTTCATCGGTCAGGAGATTGAGAATCCCTTTGGCCACGACGTCAACGATCTCCCCCTCGACACCTACTGCGAGCAGATTGCCCTCGACATGGACATTATCGCCTCGCACGCCAAGTACAAGCCCGAGGACTTCTTCTTTAGCTCCGAGAACGTGCCCCTGTGGCCTGTCAGCGCCGCGCCTGCCGACACCTGGCTGCAGCGCAGCGAGGCCAAGCTGACGGAGACGATCCGGACCAAGCCCAACAAGACGTTTGAGTGGAGGCGCTGGAGGGGCGACAAGCTCGGCGACGAGGAGTCTGCCAAGACTGACTGAACGCAGTGTCTGGATGTTGTGAGGTGATGTGTATTTTGCGTTATGGCATACGAGACTAATTGAATACGTGGTGGCGGTGGCTTCATGTTTTTTATTATCCTTCTGGGTCTCGAAGAGGGATCTTGTGTTTCGCTCTCGACTCTGCAATCACAAAACGGACAAAAGACAAAGAAAAAAAAATTGGGACAAGGCGATCAAAAAGGGACTGGATTAGGCATTTTGGGATTCTTATTATTCTCTTTCCATCATTTCAGGCATTTACATACAGGGCTATTAAAAGGAAAGGCTTTGATTACGGCAGCACGGTGTCTCACGCAATTATCACTTACGTTCAAGGCCGGACTCGCGGCAGAACAGAGGGGTTCTTCCTCTTGCTGCTGGTTTACGGTATATATATACACATACATATGGTTTAGCTCTTGTTCAATTATACAAATGGTTGTGCTGCCACATGGCTGTTCTTCTGATGTCTCTGAAAGACTGTAAATGGAGGGAGAGATGAGTGATCAACTTCATGATATCCAATCTTGATATTCTTTTGACTCTTTTATGTGCCATAGCATTGATTTTATGTACATGTACTGGACCTGATGTAGAAAACACAACACTCTTGATGCTTCTTATGCTGAACGTTTATCCAATCATCTGCCTTTCCATCCCTCTCTCTCTCTCTCTCTCAACCTTGTTTTTATAGGTACCCAAAGAAAAAGATAGGATCTCTCGTCCAGTTTTCTCCCCTTCCCGTCTCACACAACTCACTCTATGAACATGACCCCTTCCTTTGATACATGCATCATCACTCATCCTCCTCTTCACGGAGAATCTTGTGCGACTGCTTATCCTCCGGCAGCCACCTGACAAAAATCGACAGCGACATGGCAATAGGAATCAAAATGACCCAGACGAGATGCCCCAAGAGGATCTGGTTCCGCACGCCAACCGCAAACATGACGGTGGAAACGCCCGGGACGAATGAGCGGATGGCACTAGCGGCGGTCATGGCCAGGGCGTTGAGGGTGCCCATGACGTGCGGGTTGGGCGAGACGTCGTTGAGGGCGAGCTGGACCGCGGTAAAGGCCATGGAGACGCCGGGCCCGACGACGGCGACTATGGGGCAGACGATCCAGAAGGCGGCGAGGGCGGGCTCGGTGTGGATGCGCAGCAGGAGGTTCATGACGACGTAGCCGAGGAAGAAGAGCGGGTAGACGGCGACGCAGGCCTTCATGGAGCCCTTTGTGCCGATGCGGCGCTGCAGGAAGGGGAAGGCGACGATGAGCCAGGTGGCCTGGCTGGCGCCCTGGACGGCCATCCAGAGCGAGTTTTGAAAGGGCGAGAAGCCGACGCCGCCGAGGCGGACCGGGGTGAAGAGGTAGACGGGCAGGATGGCGGTGAAGGCGAAGGCGAGGAACATGACGTGCGTGTACACCCAGATGACGATGCCGACGCCGGGGGCCTTGAGGAGCTCCCGGGTGGACAGCCGGTGCGGTCGGCTTGACGGCGTCGTTGCTGATGCTGAGGAGGCGCTGCCGCCGACGCCGCCGGGAGTGGTTGTTGGGTGATGAGAGTCTTCGGGCTCGAGGGTTTCCTCGAGGTAGAGCGCGGAGAGGGCGATGCTGACAATGTTGATGATGGTGATGGCCACGCCGGGCAGGAGGTACGGGTAGTCCTCGAAGAGCGGGATGCCGCCAAAGACGCCCGGGAACTGCTCTGCGGGATCGGCCAGCGCGCCGCCGATGATGGGGCCGAGGAAGATGCCGACGTTGTTGGCAAAGGCGAACCAGCTAAAGGCGACGGCCTGCGTCTCGGAGGTGGTGTGGTCCGAGAGCATGGTGCGGATGACGAGGCCGGAGCCGCTGAAGACGCCGGCGAGGCAGCGGAACAGAATCATCTGCCAGATGGTGGTGGCGACGGTGAAGAAGAAGGTCGCGACGGCCATGCCGATGAGCGTCCACAGCAGCACGGGCTTGCGGCCGATGGTGTCGGCCAGGTGGCCCCAGAAGTAGAGCACCACCATTTGCGTGGCGGAGAAGAGCGACTCGATGAGGCCGCTGTAGAAGCCGACGTCGGACGTGGGCAGGTTGCCGTTGCGCTGCACCATTTGCGCGATGAAGGGGAAGATGGCGAAGAAGGCGATGGGCTCCATGGCCTTGGCGAAGCAGAGCAGGAAGACCTGCATCCCGGGCAGGGGCTTGCCGGCGTGGTGGTGGTGGTGATGCTGTTTGGAGGCGGCATTCTCGATGTCGTGGGCGGTTTTGCCGGGGAGGAGGAGGGATGTTTCCGTGGGCATGGGCTCGGGATCCAGGAGAGTGAGGTCGTCTGAGGAGGAGGAGCAGGATATCGACTCCGGGAGAGGGGGCGCCATTGTGGCGGTTGCTGTGTGGGAGTCTGGTTCCCTGGAAGTTGAGGTGAGGTTGAGGTGAAGAGATGGGGATGAAGAGTCCGGCGAGGGGGAGATGATAGAGATTCGCACCGCGTCGACGGGGTTGAGCAAAAGAGTCTAACCGCCTGGTCAACTGCTGGCCATTAGAGTGATTTTGAGATAAACTGCCATATGAAGAGGAGAAAAAGTAGATACAAGAAATAAATGCAAAACGGCCAAAGGATGCCAGAACAAAGAGGCAAAATAAAGCAGGCGGACCCCGAAAAATATCGGACAGTCACCGGGAATGCACTTGTAGGCAGGGAGGCGGTTGAGATAAGCACCGGCGTTTTATTATCAAATCAATCTACACGAAAAGTTGCTCTGATTCTTTAAAAAAAGAGTCCTCCTATTTGCACCGTAGCATATCTCTATTTGAACCGTAGTGGTCTGTGCACAGGGCACAATTACTGCGCATACACCATTAAGTCTATCACTGCACACCTAATTACAGTGTGAGATAATGGCAGGCTTGTCTTCATGCAACACCACACAAGGTCACGGCTTCAGTATTTTCAACTATCGCAGCCGACCTCAGAGCCAACCTTATCGCGGCCGGCCACCTGATTACAGCGCGAGATTAATGGCGGCACTTATTATCATCCCAGGACGAAGGAGGCGGCCGCAGCAGCAGCAGAGGCAGCAGATGCCCTGGTGTTGATCCTGTATGCCCTTTACCTTACAAGTATAATATCTCTAACAGTAATGACTTCCAGTGTATAACACTGTATTCTGGTGCTTGGGTGTGGGATATTCTACCTAGGGGGTTGGTCTAGCTGGTGGCACGGACCACTACGGTTCAAATAGGAATCTGTTACGGTGCAAATAGGAGGACTCTAAAAAAAAGTTCCCGCTCCCAGTTCGAGCTAATGACGCAAGACGACGCATCGATCTGGAATCCATGCGGTAGGTGGCTCCTCAAGCTGGTCCTTGACCCTTTGCCAGTGGTGGTGGACGCCTCCAATCTTCTGACACAGACCCTGAAGGATCCATCCATTGATGGCACCCCGACACCGCTGAATCAATCCCGTCGCTACTAGTTGCCCGCCGCCCACAGGCAGCCACAGCACGCCTACAGCCCCCAAAAGGACCCCGGAAATCCCCCGCTAGCCGCAATCTTACAGCGCACTGCAGCGGACCCTAGAGCCACTGGCGCCCCGAGGTGCCCCCTTTCGGCCGCCGTGCATGCGCTAGCCGCGGCTTGGGAGCGTGTGCGAGTCGGCAGCTGAGCCGACAGGACGCAGAGGGAAGAGGCCGTTTGCGCCTCGTGATGCGCTGCAGGACGTCTTTCATCCCGGGTGAGGAGGTCGAGGGTCATGAGAACAGCAGAGCCGACGCGGCTGCGGTGCCGAGATCGCTTCTTATCAGCCCGCCGTCGCTCGGTGTCTATCGGTACATAAGTAGGTATTATCATCACCTCATACCTCAGTATTACTACTTGTACTCAGCATCCTGCCGTTATTCCCGCAGCAGCGACGGTGTGGCAGAAGCGAGGATGTATGTGCCCCGTAATGGACAAGGAGTCCATCCGTCTTATGCGGGGGGACGAGGCACGCGGCCCCTCCTCGACTGTCTCTTCTTTTGCTCCGTCACATTCTGGGCAACATGACAGACAGGCAGTGCGTTGCGTCCCGGGCTTCCGCTTTTCGGGGAGGAGAACTGATGAGTGTGTGCATGCAACTGCAAGGGAGGGAGAGTCATGAGCGGTATGGACGACGAGATGGTGTCGACGTCTTGTGAAGCTTGGTCGAGTTTGTCAGGTCCTGTCAGGTCTTGTTGAGCCTGTTGCTGCATCCTGCTGCCGTGTGATCGACAGCCCGTGTTGCTCTGGTCAAGCCACGTAGCCGACCGATGGCGGAGTGGCCGTTGAGGCCATCGCGGCCACGACAAGTCGACGGGCACTCGAGCAGACAGAACATCTCCAGACTGCTGCTCTCTACAGGTATCGTGGCCCCTCGGGCAGGCTGCTGCCCGCAATATTGCACTGGCGAAAGAGGCGCACCTCGTCCTCCGCAAAGGCCCCCACGACGGAGTGCAGCAGGCTTCTGTTGTGGAAGATGACGAAATCGCCCTCCTCCCAGTCGTGCGCATACACGTACTTGGGCGCGATACCGGGCCGCTGCAGTCGGTGAACAATCTCCCGCACCTCCTTGAGATCGTCCACCACCTCCCCGCCAGCCAGATGGAGCTTTCGAACCGCGGACGGGTGCACCTGCAGCGCCAGTCGGCCGTCCTGCGGATTGCGCCAGCACATGGGCAGGATTTGTATCTTGTCCTGCTCAATCTCGGGCAGGCTGTCCAGCGGCACCTCCTTACCCTCCGAGAGCAGGCCCAGACCGTCCGAGCGAGACTTGGCGCCGCTCATCCACACGTAGGGATGCGGAGCGTACTCGACCTTGGTGGTCATGGCAAACTGCTGGTCCTGCGGCGATAGGACGTCATACATGGTGTAGCCAGAGACGAACGCCGTCGTGCCCAGCGGCACGTCCAGCTCCTCGCCCGTGTCCTCGTATCGAACCGTCTGCCTACGCCCATGGGGGACGCGGGCCGCGAAGAGGGTTGTCGCTACCGGAGGGGCCAGTCCGTACAGCGCGGCGTCAATGTGCCATCTGTAGAAGCGTGTAAAATCCAGGTCGTCCTCCTCTGGGATGACGGTGGCGTGGAACGTCTTGTGATGGGGGTGCCGCAGCTGGATATCCTTCAGCCCCTCGTACTCCTCCACGAAGCCGTTTCCGATGACCTGCACCTGCGGCTGGTGCGGGATCGTCTTGAGGTCTGGATGCAGGATGGATCGTTTCGCGTCGAGCGTCTTGCCGTGGCCGTACGAGGCTGTCGCTTTGGGATCGAACCGTTGCGTAATCTCGTATTGCGCCCTGGAGGATGCGCCATGCTGTGCCTTGAAGACGAGGATCTGGTGCTTGTATAGGGCATCTTTGATGATGTCGAAGTCGGCATCTGAGATTTGTTTGGTACGATTAGCTGGTGTGCTGCTGCTATGGACTGCGGCCAGGGTGACACAGAAGGGGGCTCTCTCTGGACGCAAGGCTCCTTACCAGAGATCCTGTCAACGTTGACGCCCTGGACAACGGCGCCGAACCGGATGCCAGACCCAGGCGGGTGCGCAATCGGCTGTATCGAGGCCCTGGACGCAACCGTGGCGTACGAGGCCAACTGGCGGCCGAGTCCACCAGCCCTTCGCAGCGACATTGTGCTTGTGCTTGTGCTTGTGCTTCCAGTGCTTGTGCTTTCCAGTGCTTGTGCTTTCCAGTGCTTGTGCTTGACGTGTCGTGCTTTTCGTGTCTCACCAACCAAGAGTCCAAGGTTCCGGTGCAGATCTGAGAATGACGAATGACGAAATGCGATGGGTGGCGTCGCACGTCTTCTTATCCTTTTGACTGTGAAGCTAGGAGAAGCTCTTACCGTCAGCTTAGTGGGTCGTATCAGAAGCTCTCTTTCCGAGCTCCGAGGCTCCTATCTCGAGTCATTTGTGAGCTTATCATTTGCTGTAGATGATTGACCCGATTGGAGATGACAGACTGTCATGGTTATGTTCGGCATTTGGGAAGAGAAGCGGGCGGATGTCGCCGGTTTGCGCGTCGGTTTCGGCGAGGGAATGATGGGAGGTCGAGGATGGATCCACCATACTGATAAGAGAGGCTCGAGCTGGATCGATAACGTCCATGTCCTCGAGGATGGAGATTGAGCTGCGATTGTTTACATAAAGACCAATTGGACGAATTGGTAAAGGCAATCTCTTGACCAAGTACCATGACCTCATGTTAAGACATCAGATGGCACTTTGGCGGTAAAGTGCGATTCCGGAATGAAGGCATCATGTTTGGTCCTGCTATGTGCCGGTTGCGGTGTCACCCACCACGGAGGTACCAGGATCTACAGAGATGATAGTACTGCAAGGAACCATGTCTAAATAGGTGCTCACTTGGAAGAGAACCTTGAAACAACCATCAATCCATAAAAGTACATACAGTATCCTCTGTTGTTCCTGCTCCCCATCAAGGCGGCGTGGACTTGGCGATGGGCGGCTGTGCGAGGCTCTTGATCTAGTGCCTACATGTACTACCTACCTACGCGGGTGGGACTGTATTTTAGTCAGAGCTTATATAAGATGTTTAGCGCAATAATAGAATTTATATAATACTAGTAGAGAAAAACTATATTATGCATCTGTTTAAACCTCTAGATATAAATAAATAAAAATTAAATATCTATTATAAATATATATTATATTTAATGCTTATTTAGTAAAGAATAAATATATAACTAAATAATTCTTTATTATAAGTATGCCTTTATTATATTATAAAATCTATTTATCTTAATATCTATTTAATTAAGAAAAATCTGCTTTTTATATAATATATTTTATTTATTATTTAGTTATATATTTAAACTATATTTTCTTAGTTAAAGATCTATTTAAAAATAAAAATAAATATACTTTATTTTATAATTATATTTAATAGTAAAGTAGCTTTTTTATAAGAAATTATATATATTAAATATTTTTAATATTAAAGAAAGATACTATATAGTTTAAAAATATATTTTATTTAAAGGTTATTTATTATATTAAAGAATATTTTAAAAACTTTATATATAAATAGCTTTATATCCTATTTTATTTAAATATACTTATAAATACTTACTTACTATATATTAAATGCTATTCTTTATATATAAATATATATATTAAATTAAAAAGCTTTATTCTTAATATAGTAAATGCCTAAACTATATACTTATAAATATTAAGTTTTTATTAATATAAAATAATAAAGAGCCTTATTATAAAAATAGTTATATTTTTATATTATAGTAATAGTATACACTCCCTTATTAGCTACTTATTACCTATTTTAGTATATTTATTCTTAAAATGCTTTAAACTATAATAAGTATATTTCTCTTTATATATTATTAAAAAATAAAAAATATAAAATATTTATTATTATATTTTATAGTAAAAGAAAAGTAATAAGAAAACTTTAATATACTATAAAGGAAATAGTTATAAAAACTCTTAAAGTATTAATTAAAAGTAAATGCTAGTATACTTAATAAAATAAAGCAGTTATTTTATATATTATAAAATAACTAAAATAAGCTATATTTTTACCTTTTACTTATTTTATTAAGCATTAATTACAGTCTAGCTATATATTAATAGTAAGTAGAAATTATAATATAATATCTTTATAGCATAATAGCCTTTAAAAATATAGCTTTTTTAATATTTTCTTTTTATATATATTATATTATAATAAAATAAAAATAATAATTAAAGTATAGTAGTAGTAGTTTTATATCTTGCTATTAACTATTATAAATTAGTATTAGTATTTTAGTTAGTAGCTTAGTCTTAGCTAGTAATATAGTAATTAAAAGCTTAATATATATTTAGTAAGAATACTAAATTAATTTTAATATATTTATATTCTTTATTAACAGTCTTTTAATATTTAGCTTTTAATATAATTATAGTTAAATAATTTAATAGCTTAGCAGTTTTATTAATAATAGCTAGGGTATTTAATTTTATAATAGTAGTATTATTTATATTTTTTATTAATAATAGATTTAGATTTATTAATAATAAATATAATTTATAAATATTAGCAGCTTAGTTAATAAATTTAGCTTACTTAGCATACTTAAAGCTTAGCAAGGGCTTTATTAAAGTAAAAAATAGTATATTATTACTATTATTAAATATAAATAGCTTTTATATCTTTTTATTTTTTTTTAATATATTCTGCTTTCCCTTTTTATAGTTAGTTTATATTACTAAATCTAGTATACCTTTCTTACTATACTTTAAATTAAATATAATAAAGTAAAAAGCTATTTTTATAATCTATTAATTAATTTTAACTTTAAACTTTTTATTTATAAAGGTCCTTAGTTTAATAACTAAGCGTCTTATATAAAAAGTAATATTTAGGTTTATATTTATATATTACTTTTATTTAATTAGTAAATACTTTTTATTAAGACCCTTTATATTAAGCAGTGCTTTAGTAAGCTAGGTTATAGTTAAGCCTTTTTTTAAATTCTTTAATTTAGCAGAGTATATATAAATAAAAAATTAGTAAATTATATTACTAGCTATAAGGTATTTTTTATAAACTGCAGGTTTTTTATTAATAAAGGTTTTAGTAATACTATTTTTTATTATTATATTCTTTTATATAGTATCCTTTTATAACTTTAATAAAGCTATTTATAAATATATAGTATTAATAAGTTATAAAATAAAACTATAATATAATTTAAAGTATATACCTATTTTATTTTAAAGCGCTAAATATAAAATAAATGCCTTACTTTATAAATTTTAAATATATATAATAATATTTAGGTAAGTATTAGCTAAACTCTAGCTTAATACTAAAGTATTTATAAAAAATAAATAAAAAATGCTAAAAACTAAAGATAAATAATAGCTATTAAGTAAAAGTTTAAAATAACTAAGGATATTAAAAAAGAACTTTTAAAAATGCAGCTTATATACTGAAAGGGATCCCCGTCGCAA